CTTAACAGTACAAATTGGAAAAAAGTAATTTGTCGAAAAAGGAAGAATTTTTCAATCAATTTTATTAGAATGTAATGATGGATTTGTAAATGTAAAATAGAGCCTCTCGAATGTATTGGTAAGGATGGACTTGAAATGTGCGATGATTAAGCACTTGAGTATTGATGCAATCATTTTTTTTAATTAACCCATTTCTGTTCAAATTGTTATGTTTAATATTTGTTTTAAAGTAAGATAGATTAATTCTAATTTTAGAGTATACGCTACTTGAATTAACTATTTTGATTTTTGCTTTAAAGACACAAGCATTCAATCAGTAAATAAAACTCATTCAGGTAAATTTTATTAATTTATTATAAATTAATAGTATTTTTTTCATATTTGATAGGCTTTAATAAAGGATCAGTATAACTATAGAAATGCCAAAATAGTGCTAATAGAAATTGCAAAGAATTAAGTATTTATAGACCTCACTAACCATATTTTAAACGATATGAAAATCATACATAACAACAACATCGGCAAATTGTGGTGGTATATTAAATAGAATTTGTTTTCGACCAAATTAATAAATTTTACAAAATTCCTCTCTTTTTAAATCATTGATTTTAAAGACTTGATTGAGTGTAATATTTGGTTGCAAATCATTAAAGTTTTAAAAAATGTAATATACTCTATATGTGCATTTAAATTGATAAAAAAGAAGTTGGATTTAATTAAGTGAAGTTTTACAAGATTTTCATAATGTCTCTAATTAGGCTAAGTTTATTAGAAACCAAATTGTATTTATGCAGAATATCAAGATACCTCTCTGTCATGCTGCAATTAAAAAGGAATACTTATCATAAATTGTAAAAATTTCACATGTATCTTTCAATTCATTATGTTAGTCTGACTTTCAAGGAGCTACTTCCATCAAGAATAACTTCAATCAAGAGTCTTTCCAAAAAACTTGAGTTTAATAAATGGATTTAAACTTCATCATATTTATAAATATAAGTCTTATTCTTATAAATCTCTGTGTGGAAATATATTCTTAGAGATCTACTAAAAGTAATTTAAGATCAAAATTCAGTGTTCCTTCCCTTTTTCTCAAATTTTTGGGTATTTATAATCTGGTTATTCTTGTCACAGTGTCTATATATAGATCTTTTTTTCTCTTTTTTTGAAATTATAGACTCTCTAATCAATTAATGATATCTAATAAAGTAGTTAATTGAGAGTTTGAGAAAAAGAATAATTAAAAAAAACTCCAAATGTCAAAAAAATTGTATAATTAACGATCAAAGGGGAAGCAGCCCTTATTAGGTCAAATTAGAAGTCAATATCACCATAATAAACCAAAAATGAATATTATTTGACTGCTGAATACTTGATTAGGACAATTATGGAGAAGGGTAATGTGGAGGAACCTATTTTAAAACTTTATTCATTGGAAACTCAAGATACATCCATTACTATCAATCATACTATGGCACAGCAGTACTTATGGATAGCAAGAGCTTAAGGAAATTGCAGAGGTAGAAAGAGTCTTAACCTCAGCTCAATTGGTGCTTAGAGATAAGGACACATCTATTCTCCCGATTGCTGCATCCCCATAAAAATTTAAAAGGTGGGTGGATTTATCTTGTGAATATGTTAAATTAACCTTAGCAACAAATGAGGCGAACTACATGATCCAAAGAGTAACGTTTATGACATAGATCAAACAGTAAATTATAAAAGAAATGGAGTTCCAAGAATTAGTTAATGATGATTTTGCCTCTCTAGAGCAGATGGTGAGGGAGATGTCATCTATGACTCATCGGCTATTGAGCTATTTATTTCCCTCAACTCTGAAAGGATTAAAACTAATTTTGATAAGAAAAATGTCAGAAACTAGTTATGAAGACATGAGTGTATGGCAGTATTACACTACGATGAGAAAATGATATGCCCTATGCTTTAAGCTCAGAAATATTCAAACACCTCTGTCATACAGGTCATTATGAACAAAAATGAATGAATATCAAAATTAATTTTATATTTTAACATTATACAGGTTTGTGAATGATAAACGTCGAAAACAAATACAACAACAATCAAATTTCTATCAATAAGAATTTATAAAATAAATTCAGAAATTTAGAATAATTGAACAAAATAATCCTAAGGTTCTAAATTACTATTAAAGAGATTTTCGCAATTATAATTATACAAATAAGGATAAGGATAAGGACTTTTTAATTTTCGAATTAAATTCTCGAATATAATTGGACCTTCTATTGGTTATTTTTTCTCTCATAGACCAATAACCTTGTTATTTCTCTTCAACCATTTAATGAATGAAAAATAACATTAAAATGCTAATTTCTACTCCATCTAATTTTAAGCTTAATAGGGTGAAATGGAGGCAGGAATTTCGGCATTTATGTTATTTTATAAAGATAGCAGCATAATTTTCATTGAATGAAAGGTAATTTTAAACTCTGTAACATTTAGACAGTTTATACTAAAGAACAATATGAATTCTTAAAGTTATGAATATGATTGAAAATTAGAGTAATGAAATTGACAATAATGTTTTATATTTCAAATTAAAGAGGATTGTTTCTGATAAAACAAGAATGCGCCTTGGGACAAATACTTTGAATTATTAAAGAATAATTAGAGGAAATTTAAGGCTCATTAGAAACAGAGGAATTGACTAATACTTGGGATTATATTGAGATATAAATTGTATATAGAGAAGGTTAAAGAGAAAATTAAGGCACAGTTTAAAAATGCATGAAGGAAAATAGGTGGAATAGAAAGAAGAATAAAAAATTAAATGGAACTGAATGTTTAAAAATTTAAAAAAACAGCAACTGACTCTTGATCTATAAAAAATAAGATTTCACACGAATGTAATATTGCTACTCTCTCAGATTCTATCAATTTTAAGAACTCAGCCGAATAAAGAAAACAATTGATGTAAAATTAATAAATGATTAATCTAATCTTACAAATCAGAATGTAATTATGATGATATTTCAGTTCAAATCAATCATATTTTCTTTCTTGATGTCGCTGAGGGTTTAATGGATGATTATATGAGTGAATGGCTAAATATTTAGTCTGAAGGTACTCAGCTGATAATAATGTTGAATACTAAATAAGTAAACATTGAATTGCTTTGTAAATCAAATTACTAATAATATATTTGACATAAATATTTATCACTTACTGATAACCAAATTTATTTTATATTTTAAGACGTGATTCTATAATTCCAGAGAAGGCACAGAACAATTGCTAAAATATCTCATCTGAATAAAACCTATTAAATGCAAGTTCAGCTCTATTGATTATGCTAATAATATGTGTGAAAGTTATTTTACTCGTAACCAACAGATATTAATTGCTTGTTTTAAGTACTTCAAGAAATCAATTCCATCAACAGGATTTATGCACTGGAATTCAATAAGTGGAATGCAGCTCTTTAATCAAATTTGCTTATCTCCAATATGGAATTATGTGAATGTGTGTGAAAAATTTGTAATAGGAATTCATTTATAATTGTATTGGATTCACTAAAGTTATCCATCTTAGAAATTAACTGAATCAAATAATCGTTTGATTGAATTCGATTTTAAAAATACAGGCTAATATATTTATAAGAAAGAAGCACTTAAATAGATAAAGGAATTCAAAAGCTCTAAAATAATTGATAATACATAATTATTATATAGTATGCTTTATCAATAGAAATAAGTTAAAACTATTAAGAATAATACCTCATAAGAATAATAACTCATAAAAATTATACAATAGCGGATCATAGATTTCGACAGCTGTATTCCTGCATAATATATTTATATTCTCTAGAATACTCCAGTATCTATTAGTCTGTTATTTAACATAAGGTTAAAATAAAGGCCAAAATGTGCTTATTCTATCTCATTATTCATCATTATCTAAGAATCAGAAAGGTCTATGTAATAAAGACTCCACATTAACAAGATCAAATTTTACTCTTTTATCTAAGCAAGAAACTAAAGTATTCCAATCTCTACTATCTTTTACCAGGAGTTTATACTCGTACATTAAAATTCAAGGTGAGGCTTAATAGAAGAGATGGAGAGTTGTCTCATTTACAATACCTTTAGGGAGCAACCGAGAGGACCCAATTAAATATTTAATAAATCTTACAGTCTTCCAACTATATGCACTTTAAACAGTCAGATTAAGCTAGTTGAATGTATTATTCAACTCCTTATACTACCAAATTTTTCAATTTTTACTCATTTTATACGGATGGTTAATGAAGTATTATACAGTAACAATCCGTGTTGATGTTTGTACAACTTATGTCCAATCTCGTTGAATTTTTTAAAAGTATGCAACTGAATATTATTTTTTATTGCGCAAGATTACCTTTCACCTTTATCAGTTGCCCTCCCTATTCTACAAATAAATAAATATATCTAGTGTGAGGCACTTGTGAAATATGCACCTTTATTCATTCCCTTTGTAGGATCTGTAATTAATGCACTGGTCCTTGTCCTGTTTCTATTTTCTAAGATAGTTGTTAAGGGCTCCCAACTACTTATGGACGAGATACTGTAAAATTAATTGTCTCTGATCCCTTTCCCTTAAAGGTTATTCAATTATTTTATCGATTCAATTATTGAATTTAGATAAAGTGAATCTTAAAGATATACAACTAGCATCTATTCCTCAAGTTTGATGTAATAAAGAGGAAATAAATGATCGTTGGGGAGAATCAAATTTTTAAAACCGAACTTCAAGAGTCATATTTCATTTTGAATATTTGGAATGCAAATATTTGTCTTAATATATATTCCTACAAAAATTATAAATAGTACTATTAAATAATCTATAAGCATTGAAATTCTGATAAATAATTAAATTACCTTCGAGGCTGGTTTAATAATAAATCATTCAAAAAGTGATACCCTAATTGTATCTCAAATGGGATTGCTGATATCTTGAATTCAATTTGAAATAAACATTAAAAAATGTATAAATCAGTCAGAAAGCCTCGTTTGACTGCTAGTTATAATGCGCTTACAAATAGAGTGTCTCTTTATTTGACTTAATGTCCAACATGAGTTAGTAAATAGTATATAAATATTAGAACTACAGGTAAAAAGTCTAATCTAGCAAATATCTATCTTAAAAATGTGGATTAATTGATATATATATATATCTGTATAGCAGTTGAAGAAGGAATCAATATGTATTTATTAAAAGAATATATAAATTTCATGTTTTTTGATAAATTACATTTATTTTCCTTCTTTCATTGTAAACAAAATAAAAATCGCATATAGTTATCCATTTAACTAAGAGCAAATAAGCGCATTCAAGCATTGTCTCTTTTATTTAGTCATTCTAAGTTAAATATTCATCTATTTGTGACTAACTTCAACCTGATGTTATACTTTCTTCACAATTTGAAGTAGTTCTTCAATTATTGAGTAGAATTATTAATAAACTATTAGACTTTTGCAGAAGTATATAATAATTAATGCATATTTTAATAAGCTAAATTCTTTATGCCTAGAACCTGGTTTTTAGTTATCATACCTATTATGTTTGGATTCTTGTTTTATGGAATAATACTAAATGTGAACATTATCCTATGTCCAACCGTTTAAACTAATGAGTTTCTAATATTACTTTGATATAACTATTGTGTTTCTCACTCTAAAACCGATGCTAAGCCAATATTTTCACAGCTTGCATAAGCAATTACTCCCATTTACGTATTGACATTTTCGAATATATGATCCTTCTCTATCTTCATGATCTGCATGGATTTCACATGAACTTAATGTACACATATGAGCTTCTAACTATCTAATTACATTCAAAGCTCTAATAATAGTGTTGATTGTAGAGCTAACTTGTTACTAAAACATATACTCCATGATATCCCTATCTTATATCCTTATTCAAAGCATGCTGGGCGCATTGAAGATTATCATTTGAGATGCTTAAATGTCGTCAAGTGTTAACTGCTATAAGGTTTATAAGACATGAGTTAGAACTTAAACTATGTCTTTGTTATGTACTTCTTTCGTTTATTTTCAAGTATATTTATTATAAGGGAAAATTAGAAAATTATATAGTAGTCACTCTAGATAGGTTAAAGGCAGAATTTTTTTGGAACATTCTAATAATCAAGATAATTTGCTTTTGATGTTTATATCAAAAACGTGGGTGTATTTTGGAGCATACTCGCCTTGCAGCTCACAATATATAAAATTTAGAAGTTAATATATTGTAATCTTTATTTTTACATAAACTCAGGGCTAAATCTATAAATTGAAAGTAGGATAGAAGTTCCAAGAAATGCATTAGGATATTGATCAAGGGCTATTCAATAAAAATTATAATGATATTTTATAAAAACTAAGATTAAAATGATGATCATTGATATTTAATTGTTAAGTAGAAATTTAAAAAAAAAAATGATAATTATTCTTGTGAACTAGAAATATCGGAATGTAAAATATTAATTGAAGCATGTTTAACATAATTCCTATAATATTGTCGATAATTATAAGGTTTTTCTTATTTTCATCAATTCAGAATATAGCAAACCTGATTGATTAACGTTCTATTGACGAAAATTTACATTTTCTTAGATTTGGAGTTTTCATTTTGTCTCAAGGAAAAATCAACATTTGAGGTGAATTTTTCATGCAAAGAAATCTTCTTAATTTGAAAATGAGATGATTATTAAAAATAATATTTTTTTGCTGATAAATCTTTATAGCATGTTTATTTATTTAGAGATATATTCATTACTTGATTTCTTTTATTATTGTAATTTTTAATTATTCTAGAAACAATTATCAATATAAAAATTTACGAATTTTGTAGGAGAAGCAAATCTAAGAACTTTTTTTCAATATTAGAGAGTAATAAAAATACTTGAATGAATTTTTAAATAAAAATGTTCATTAATTGTTTAATTCCTAATACGATTAAAATATCCATTGAATTTGTAGCTATTGAGAGTATTCTATTTCATCATATTTGTAATCCTAAATCCCTAAATATCGCTTCATATTTTGCTGGATTATACCAATTTAAAATCATAGAATAAATGAAAAAATTGTTCTGAACTAAATCTCAATTAGGAGTTCTAGATTTCCTACTTTATTATTGTTTTTCGCTGAAATATTCGCTATTCTGACTCTAAAGTGAATATAGAATCTTTACCTATATTTAATAATGTAATATAATTTATAGAACTATTAATACAATAGCTGATATCAGAAATTATTACAAAAATATNAATCAAGATAATTTGCTTTTGATGTTTATATCAAAAACGTGGGTGTATTTTGGAGCATACTCGCCTTGCAGCTCACAATATATAAAATTTAGAAGTTAATATATTGTAATCTTTATTTTTACATAAACTCAGGGCTAAATCTATAAATTGAAAGTAGGATAGAAGTTCCAAGAAATGCATTAGGATATTGATCAAGGGCTATTCAATAAAAATTATAATGATATTTTATAAAAACTAAGATTAAAATGATGATCATTGATATTTAATTGTTAAGTAGAAATTTAAAAAAAAAAATGATAATTATTCTTGTGAACTAGAAATATCGGAATGTAAAATATTAATTGAAGCATGTTTAACATAATTCCTATAATATTGTCGATAATTATAAGGTTTTTCTTATTTTCATCAATTCAGAATATAGCAAACCTGATTGATTAACGTTCTATTGACGAAAATTTACATTTTCTTAGATTTGGAGTTTTCATTTTGTCTCAAGGAAAAATCAACATTTGAGGTGAATTTTTCATGCAAAGAAATCTTCTTAATTTGAAAATGAGATGATTATTAAAAATAATATTTTTTTGCTGATAAATCTTTATAGCATGTTTATTTATTTAGAGATATATTCATTACTTGATTTCTTTTATTATTGTAATTTTTAATTATTCTAGAAACAATTATCAATATAAAAATTTACGAATTTTGTAGGAGAAGCAAATCTAAGAACTTTTTTTCAATATTAGAGAGTAATAAAAATACTTGAATGAATTTTTAAATAAAAATGTTCATTAATTGTTTAATTCCTAATACGATTAAAATATCCATTGAATTTGTAGCTATTGAGAGTATTCTATTTCATCATATTTGTAATCCTAAATCCCTAAATATCGCTTCATATTTTGCTGGATTATACCAATTTAAAATCATAGAATAAATGAAAAAATTGTTCTGAACTAAATCTCAATTAGGAGTTCTAGATTTCCTACTTTATTATTGTTTTTCGCTGAAATATTCGCTATTCTGACTCTAAAGTGAATATAGAATCTTTACCTATATTTAATAATGTAATATAATTTATAGAACTATTAATACAATAGCTGATATCAGAAATTATTACAAAAATATAATATATATTAATATATTTTATCAGCTTGTGAGAGTCTCCCTAAGATTTCAAATTTATCAAATTAACTTATGTATATATTGGTGAATTTCCTTTTATGGCATTCCATCATTTCATATTTTGCTAAACAAAAAATAATGTTTTGTATTTTAATTATAAAATATAAAATAAGAGAAAGTTGTATTATAATATCTCCAATATCCCAATAAAGAGATTTAGCTAATGAATATCGTTAATTGCTATTCTTATTTTTAGAATTAACATAATAAATATGATGCATTATATTATAATCTCACAAATTTTTGAATTATTCACATCTACATCGGTACATAAATACTAATAAATTCAATGAAATATTTTGAAATGTTTATGTTTTATGTAGTCTGTTTTATTGGTTATTTTAAAATTGACTAAAATTAGGTTTAAAAGCAAAACAGAATAATAAGTTATTGAGTGTACAATTTATTGTGGAGCATTTAAATATTTATTTCCACTCTAAACCATCGAATAGTATTTAGATAATGATATTTTTCAACCAATTTAAGTTTACTATATCATTTTTTCTGACCCCGCTCCAAGCCAGATGATATGCTCAATATTTTGGAATTCATTTTAATAAAATTGTTTAACATGCAATTTTTTAGGGAATACACTTTAAAATTGAAATTTTAAGAAGTTGACGAATATTAAAATCTACCACAAATTTAATATTGTGGAATAAATTTCATGAGTGATTGAAAAATTTGATACTATTGGAGATAAATAATAAAAGTATCAATATCTAAAGTTAGAATAGGATTATTAAAGTTGTGTTGGGTATTTGAAGCATTGCAAATATATATATTAGTTTGCAGACTGAAAATGCCACCTAAAGAAAAAAATGAAATGAAATTGATAACCAAAAGGGAACTTCTATTTAAAGAAAAGATCAAACTAAAATTGCTTTATGATGATTGGTAAAGAATCTATAATTTTTGAAATTATTGGATCTTGTTCCTTTTTTTTTTCTATAAAATCATCAACTTTTTCTTATAATCCTTTAAAACTTACTTTACACATAATTTAACAAATAAACTATGTTGAAGTCTCAATATTTAATAACTTCTGAAAATTTAATCTGAATTGAGTGCTTAATTTAAAATCAATTAGAGGATTAAAATTAAAGGGACTTTGAATCAATTAGGAAAGATTATTTATATGTTACTACAAATTTAGAACAAATTCCTAAATTTTCTTTTAAATTTATGTTACTCTCTTCTATAGATATTTTGATGAAACATTTTCAATTTAATTCTTTATTCTATGAATAAATATTAAAACGAAGAATTCATTCTTTCCTACCTTTAAATTAGCAGTTTAATTCTTAATAGGTTTGTAAGAATACATAAAGTTATTTAAACTAATTTGTATAAATGACAACTAAATTGATTCAATATAAATCAAATAGTAAGAAAGGAAGGTATTACAAATTCAAACAATTGAATTACAATCATTTCAGATAAGAAAAAGTATTTCCTACACAAATAGAAATATAAATTTATCAATATTTGGCTACCATTTTAAGACATTGAATTACAGTCCAATAATTATATATATAGAATTTAATTAAAATATGATATTTTTCAAAAAGGTTACTTTCTATTCATAAAGAAGTGAATAAATAATTAATAATATAACATATCTGAAAATTAATCATCCTTATTTTGAGATTTTTCTTATTGAACATAAAGATGGAGGATAAAATTATTTTAATACATAATTTTATCAATTTCGAAAATTGAGATCAAATCGAATAGAAATAATTAATACGATATTTCTTATATTATGATAATTGCTAAAATGTTTAATATTAGTGTTGCTTAAACATTATCTTGTTAATAAAACTAGAAATACTTAAGGAATTTTATATCAATTTAATAGCAATAATTGACAAAGATAAGGTTAGCGATTCAAAAATTCTTTTCAATCTAAATTCATTTTTCTCAATTAAAACTTAACCTGAATATTGGTTAATTTGGCTTTATTAAAAATATGTTATTATATTTTAGTTACTCATCGTGTGCTTTGTTTATAATTCCAATAAATATGTAGATATTCGACTCGAAATGTTTTGACAACAAATCAGGTTTGTTTAATATCATTAATTAAGATAATTACGGTTCTGAATGCCAATTCTAGCCCAACAAAATTTCCAACTTTTGTAGCTGAATTTTATAATTTCAAGGTGATTTCTAAATCCTTTCTCTTTGCGTTTTGATATTTATTTTACAGTTGGGATGACAACTTTTCAATGAAATAAAAAAGTTTGCTAAGCTTATATCTAATTTGTTTGCTATTTACAGATTGTTGATGTTGAACTTTTGAATAGCATAAAGTGACTATATTTTAATAATAATTGTGAACTTAGAGTCTAATGGAGTTGAAGATATACCCTATAATCAAAGAACTTATCATAAAAACTGTGATAACTGTTTGACAGTTCTGATCGCTCTTATGAAAAATTTCATTTCTTTGGCAATCCAATACTTGTTTAAAGTACAAATACTTCTTGTTCAATCAGAGTTGATTCTTGTAGTGACTCATTTATTTGTTTTAATCTAATCGAAGGTTGATATATGAATTATACTTCTAATTGTGGATATATGTTGAAAGAGTTCCTACGCTAACCATAGTTCTATTGTATACCCCATTTTTTGATAGATTTATAACTCTATTTGATTAAGCACAATAAAGTTATTATATATGAGAGGAAATAATTGTAGTCGATTGATATACTGAATAATTCCATAATATAAGTTTTCCTGCTGCAACTTAAGGTGGATCATTTCTTTATAATCTAAATCTTACTTAGTTCATATTTTCAAGTTTCACTCCATAAATTTGTGATCACATAATTTAAATTACATCTGATAACTAGTATTTAATTTCCCTTAGACCCATAAGTTTAGAGCTCTTTAGTATATGGAAAGGAGTGAAATATTCTACTTGTAAATTAGGTTCCCATTAAAATTGTGTTTGTTATGTTTGTATTTTTTAAACTTGCTAATTTTCTGTATCCGCTTAAAGTAGTTTTTTTTAATTATTTTAAAAATTCTTATTTCCTTTTTCATAAATGTATTGAGTGATAATCTTTTGAGGGTGCAATCTTACTTGAAGCTATTGGAAAAAGTAAGTATAATTATATTTTCATATATGAATTATGAAAGACTGTTTTAAATATAATTTTGCCTGCATTAAATATACCTACTTTTATTTGTAAATTGCTAGTGAATATCAATCTTGCTTACACCTTGCTCAGATAATGTGCCGTCTGTTTATCTCAAGTAATAATAAGTGGAATTTTTTAACTTAAAAAATTATTGATTAGACGATGACATTAATATTTAAAATACAGGGCTATTTCAAATATATGTTTACGGTCTTATACTGCTTTCTAAACTCTTATGAATTAATTAGAGTGCTTCAATTTCTTTATTAGATCTGATGCAAATAAGCCACAGTATTGTAAAACATGTACTATAAAATTATGTAACCTGGAACGATATGGATGAACATGCTCCAATACTGACTTTGACTCAATAATCATGAAAACCCTGTTATGCTAGCTGCCTCCTTCATAATAATGTTTAACAAGTTTGTAACGTCTGAAAAGATACTGATGAGAAACTTAAAGATTGTTTAGATGAATTCTATAAGCATCACAACAGCCTATTCGTATCTATCACAAATAATTTGAAATAGCTTCACCTTAGTTACACACTCCTCAATTTATCTAAATAAACTATTATCTTTCTATACAAGATTAGAAGCGAAATTTTAGCATATTTTCTATTCCTTTTGAGCAACTCGTTAATAAATGAATTGATATTGTAAATATCTATTATCATATGATGGTTTTTATGATAAATGTTGGCTTTCCAAAATACACTCAATATTTTAATATTTTTACTCCTGTTAAAAATAGTTTACAACTTGTGAGATTCATCTTTTGATTTTTTCTGAACAAACTAGAGGTTTATCCAATATTCAAAGAGATTATTAGAAAATAATAAGAAAATAAACATTAGCAATACCTCTAAGAATTAAAAATAAAGTTCCGAATTTCTTCCTGATCAGTTAAGTGGGGTGAGATTATTTCTTTAAATTCCCGCTAATCCTACGTGCTATATTGATAGAGTTTTGTATGATTTGAATACTTTGTAACGTTATTTACTCCATAATTATAAGGCTATACTATAGATCTATCTTTAAAGGTTCAACTTTAGTGTGTTTTGTTTTCCTACTTCCTCAAGCTTTTTCGAGTCTTAATTTCTTTGACCAGGTACTATCATTAACCTTAACATAAAATAACACCTCCCCATCAAATAAGTTAGATAAAAATTTATTAATTTTCAGGCCATAGATAATAACATACGATTTTTAGTTTTAACAAGAGAGTGTTGATAAATAATTACAATTTGCTAGTTAAACTCTACCAAAAAATCTCTCAGACTCATCAATAGTATTTTTAATATCGAAATATTGATGAATTTAATGACAAATAGACCATAAAATTATAGGTGATGGAAAAATTAGCTCAAAATTTACTTACTTGCTGGTTCAGATTATCTTTGTATTATAAAACGATAATAACAGAGATATTACGCAAATTAATTATACTTTGTTTGATATGTAATTTAAATAAAATTATCAATACATAATTAAATTTTTAATAAAAACTCATTCCTTTGTAAGTAAGAACTGATAATTTCACTAATTTAAATAATGATACTACAACAATATATGAGATGATATATGATATTTGTGATGATCATTATAAAAATAAATTTCACTGTTAATTTATTTAAAATTAGCTTTCTATAAGGCAACTTCCACATTATTTTAAGAATATTTTTAAGTCATAACCTGATTTATTTACAAATTCTCCTTTAATAATAATAGCCCCTTCTGCTGAGAAAGTTGGTTTCTGTGATATATGGAGAATTTTAATATAATTAGAGGCTAAAAAATTTTTGAAATAATATTACATAGTGAAAAATGATTTGACTAATAAAGAGGGGTTTTGAGCTGCTTTAGTTTAGTTTCATCATGAAATTCTTCTCCTGTCTTAATATCCCAAAAACGAATCGACTTAAAATAAGAAAGAGAATTACCGATTAAGGACTATCAGATTAGAAGCAGACTGACAGAAATCCATTACTATAACCCTCTAATTTGGCCTTTTATTATGCTGTCTAAACATCCCATAAACGGATAGACTTATCATAACCACCAGATGCTAATGTAGTACCCAGAGGGGAGAAGCATAATGATTGAACGCGATGTTGATGACCATCCAATTTTGATATTAATTGTCCTGTTTTACAGTTCCATAAACAGATAGAAGTATCAGTACCACAAGTGGCTAATATAGTGCAATCAGGAGAGAAGCAGACAGTGTTGACATCCCCGTCTAATTAGGCAATTTATTATTTTGTTTTTACATCCCAGAAACGGATAGAATCATCACTACTACCAGATGCTAAACTAGTACCATCAGAAGAGAAGCAAACTGAATACACAGTATTAGTATGACCGTCTAACTAGGCTTTTTATTATCTTGTATTAACATCCCATAAACGGATAGTATTATCGCCGCTCCCGGATGCTAATGTAGTCCCATCAGGGGAAAAGCAAACTGATAAAACATGACTTTTATGACCACTCAATATCGCTTGTTATTCTCCTGTCTTAGCATCCCATAAACGAATAGAATTATCATTACTACCAGAAGCTATTAAAAAACCATTTGCAGAGTAACATACTGAATAAACAGCACTAAGATGGAGGTCAAACTATGCTTTTTATTATCTTGTATTAACATCCCATAAACGGATGGTATTATCGCCGCTCCCAGATGCTAATGTAGTACCATCAGGGGAAAAGCAAACTGACAGAACATGACTTTTATGACCGCCCAATATCGCTTGTTATTATCCTGTCTTAGCATCCCATAGACTTATAGACTGATTAACACTACCAGATGCTATTGTATTACCATCAGGGGAGAAACAAACTGATAAGATTGAATTGCTAGGCTCCTGTAATTTGATATGGTTTCTTCTCTTCTTAACATCCCATAAAAGTATAGAATTATCACTACTAGATGCTAATGTAGTACCATCAGGGGAAAAGCATACTGATAGATTTTTATTAGAATGAGAATCCAATTTTGCTTTTAATAGTCCTGTTTTAACATCCAATAAACTGATAGATTTATCATAACTTCCAGATGCTAGTGTAGTACCATCAGGAGAGAAGCATAATTCATTAACTGCTGCATTATGATACTCTAATTTTTATTTTATTTATCCTGTTTTGGCATTCCATAAACAGATATAATTATCCTTGCCACCAGAAGCTATTGTAATACCATCTGGAGAGCAGCGTACTGATAGGACAGAACCAGTATGCCCATCCAGTTTGGCATGTTATTTTCCTGTATAAACATTCCATAAACGTATAGATTAATCCTAGCTACCAGATATAAGAGTAATTCCATCTGGAGAGAAGCATACTGAAAGGACATAACTAGTATGACCATCCAATTTGGTCTTTTTTTTTCTTGTTTTAATATCCCATAAACTAATAGAATTAGTATCACAACCAGATGCTAATGTAGTACTATTAGGTGAAAAGCAGACTGAAAGAACATAACTTGTATGGCCACCTAATTTGGCTTTTTATTATCCTGTCTAAACATCCCATAAACAGATAAAGTTATCCCAACATCCAGAAGCTATTGTTGAACCATCAGAAGAAAAACATATTGAGTAAAGATTCCCGTTATAAATTTCTAACTTGGATTTTTATTATCCTGTCTTAACATCCCATAAACGGATAGATTTATCATAACTACAAGATGCTAATGTAGTACCATCAGGAGAGAAGCATACTTATGTGATAATCTAACTATGACCATCGATTTTGGCATTTTATCCTATTTCAGCATTCCATAAACGAATAGATTTATCACCGCTGCCAGAGGCTAAAGTGGTACCATCTGGAGAGAAGCAAACAGATGAGACAAGATCCCTATGACCATTTAATTCTGCTTTTTATTATCCTTTTAAAACATTCCATAAGCGGACAGACATATCATTACTACCAGATGCTATTGTCGCTCCATCAGGGGAGAAGCAAACTGAATAAACAGCACCAATATGACCCTCTAATTAGGCTTTTTATTATCCTGTTTTAACATCCCATAAACGAATAGAGTGATCATCACTACCAGATGTTAATATAGTACTATCAGGAGAGAAGCTGACTGAAAGGACTGTACTAGTATGACCACATAATTTTGATATTTGCTTTCTTGTCTTAACATCCCATAAAATTATAGATCTATCTCCACTACCAGATGCTAATGTAGTACCATCTGGAGAGAATACTATTTATTTTACCCAATTATGATGCCCATTTAGTGTGTCTTCACATTCTCCTGTCTCAGCATCCCATAAACGAATACAGTTATCATTACTACCGGATGCTATTAAAGTACCATCAGGAGAGAAACACACTGAATAGACAGCGCTTCTATGAAGATTCAATTTTTTTTTTTATTTTACTGTCTTAACATCCCATAAACCGATTGACTCATCTCCACTGCCAGATGCTAATGTTGTACCATTAGGCGAAAAGCAGACTGATAGAACATAACTTGTATGGCCATCTAATTTGGCTTTTTATTATCCTGTCTTAACATCCCATATTCTAATAGACTTATCAATACTACCAGATGCTAATGTCTTACCATCAGGAGAAAAGCACACTGATTAAACACAATTAGTATCCCCCTCCAACTTTATTGATTCATTTATTTTTATGTTTTTCCATTTGCAATTAATTAGTAAAGTTTCATTTAGATTTATTCCGCTTATATCTACATTATTAAATTCGGATCCGATCAAGTTACATCTAACAAAATTAGCTCCTTCTAAGGAAGTATTTTTCACTTTGATATTTTCAAAACATTGGTTAGACAGATCTACTCTCATTTAAATTAAAAAATTTAAGGAATTTGAACCACTTTATATATATCTATCATCTATAGCTGTAAGGTGAACGAGAAATTTCAAAAATTCAATTATCCCTTTTTCTTAGGATATTAATTTTATTATTTATTATTTAGTATTAAAATAAATTTCAGTTGAATAGTCATTTACATTAAAATCGTGATCTTTAATTTAATTGAGAATATTAGTGATTATCTAAATGTTATTTCTAACAACAGTCAGCTATAGTTCCTAACCTACTTGTGTTAGTTTCTCTATTTATTAATTTTGTTATTGTTGATTTTCTATATCCTTTAGATATCCTAAACAGTCTGAAATTTTTTCCTTTCTAAGCATTTCAATTATTTTTTTTAATTATTCGATATCAACATCTTTAACTTTGTCAAAAATTTCATAGAACCCTTCTATCTAATTATGATCACATTTCATTTTGATTTTTATTAATGATTCTCTATTACTTTTTAAGTGTTATCACCTAATTCATAATTTTTGTTGGAGGAAGATCAAACTTAGTACAGATTTGGAGTCATGAAATGAAATTGAAGAATGATTGATAAATGAGATGTTATGTCGGAACTTTGGTGACTTGATTCTTTAACAATATAGAACAAATACGTATATAGAATTCTATAAAAAGATATTTAAAATTCAAGAGTATAAAGAGATAAGTAATATTATTTCTAAAAATAAGGCTTGAGAGTTTAGATAAAATGATTGACAACAATCCAAAACTATATATGTTTCTTGAAATTTATAAGTGTATTATAAAAAAAAAGAGTCCAAAGGATATATTAGGAAGAGATTGCTAACTTTATTATGAGGTCGGCAGACTCGAATATGGACAGGTTTTAATTACACGTAAGGTATCAAGTTTAAAGAAAATTTGCTTGTCAATTTTAATAAATTATTCAAGTTATTGTTCTACTTTACTCTATCTTTAATATTTCGGTAACTGTCGTATAATTTAAAGGCATTTTTGGCAAAACAGTAATAATCGATCTTTTTTGAGATGTTTAAAGTTTCTATACAGTCTATTTTAAAATAATCAAAATTAAATCACCTATTATGGAAACTTAGGGAAGTTTAATTATTTGAATTTGCATTGTGTAATTATTCACAATTGAATCATAGAACAAACTTTACAATAAAAAAAACATTAATAAGATAATTCAAATGGGTATGTAAGTCTATGATATTCAATATTTTTAATGATGTATAAATTATAAAAAGTAGACTTGTTTCAACTTTGAAAATATGAAAATTGTCTTTCTTACATATTCGGATTTGAATTTGTAGCAATAGAGTGACTTAACATCTTTATAATCTCGATATAATATTCATTTGCACCTATACTTATATTAAATTTCTTGTAAAAAAGTTTAACTTAACTAGCTCTAAATTAAAGATAATTACAAAATTTCTATTAGTCTCAGTTGATAAAATCATTATTATCAAATAATAGTTACAGGTGTTGGTTGTAAGTAATATAGTATAATAAATAAGTAAGATATTAAATAGTAAAGAGGCAAATATATGTTAGTTTAAATAAAAAAGTAAATTGAAAAATTATATATGTATTAAAATTACTAACTTTCATTGAATAAATATACCAAATCCTTTAAATTCAAATAAGAATTAAACTATTATAATATAGAATGATTTTTTAACATTCTAATGGATGTAAAATTATGACTAGTTATTTTTAAGTTTTCAAGTGGATACATATATGGTGGATACTTTCGTAAATGCATGATGAAATCTATACTTTACAATAGGATAACATCTACCTAATTATAGAAGTACATTTTTATCACTTATCTAATTAACTTTTTGTAAGAAATTTAGTGGAACTCTTTGGAAAAGGATGAGGAAGGATGAGCTATATAATGAGTATTCAACTAAACTCAAATATTTGGAAATTTATTACATCAATCCTTAAGGTTTCTTATATGCCAATTGCACTGAATTCATTAGGACTCCTAAGTTCTTAAATCAGTTGGAAATTTACAATAACGATATAGAATAGCAATTATACTTTGGTATCCAGTAAAGCTTAGCTAAATGCTTTAGAGAATGATTGGAGGAAACTTTGACCTTACATTTTTTTTAAAGTGGTGAGATGTATTTTATCCTAAATCAGACATGATTAGAGTTCTCTATCCTTTTGCTTTAAGATGAATAAATTGAATTATGTGTGATAAGAATTTTACACAATCAATATCTGCTTTTTTGGTATACTATGGGGGAAATATGTATNAATCACCTATTATGGAAACTTAGGGAAGTTTAATTATTTGAATTTGCATTGTGTAATTATTCACAATTGAATCATAGAACAAACTTTACAATAAAAAAAACATTAATAAGATAATTCAAATGGGTATGTAAGTCTATGATATTCAATATTTTTAATGATGTATAAATTATAAAAAGTAGACTTGTTTCAACTTTGAAAATATGAAAATTGTCTTTCTTACATATTCGGATTTGAATTTGTAGCAATAGAGTGACTTAACATCTTTATAATCTCGATATAATATTCATTTGCACCTATACTTATATTAAATTTCTTGTAAAAAAGTTTAACTTAACTAGCTCTAAATTAAAGATAATTACAAAATTTCTATTAGTCTCAGTTGATAAAATCATTATTATCAAATAATAGTTACAGGTGTTGGTTGTAAGTAATATAGTATAATAAATAAGTAAGATATTAAATAGTAAAGAGGCAAATATATGTTAGTTTAAATAAAAAAGTAAATTGAAAAATTATATATGTATTAAAATTACTAACTTTCATTGAATAAATATACCAAATCCTTTAAATTCAAATAAGAATTAAACTATTATACAAATACTCTTTAAGTCAACATTATTCAAGAGGCATAATGAGATTCTAAATCTTCGCTCTAACTCAAGTATGTTATATATGTTAGCTTATGATGATTGGAACAGAAGCATTAAATCTCTGAAAAAAAAAGTTAATATAAAAAAATGATAAAATGAATAAAAGAAAAACACAACTTTTATTTTGGTATCATTTCAATTTTCATTCTAAAAGAATTCTATTTTTAAGGATGGAATTTATGTATTCTCCATTTCTATATTTTCTGCACTTAATTTCATTTTTTTTGTTTTTGTCTCTTTTTTTCGCCAATAATTTAGGAATTAAATATATTATTATGAAAGCTCTAGAGGCAATTTGGACTTTTATCGAGAATTTAGCACTGGTTAGAACCTAATAGTAATAAAGAATTATATCAGATCAGACAGAGGAACGTCAATCAATTTACGACAACTAGCCTTTTAACCAAATATAGCTGGTTTCAACAGTAAAATATGATTAAAGTTACTTCAATATAAATTAATTAAATTAAAATTTTGAATTTCTAGTTAATAATTGAAAATGTATTAAGTCAATAAAATTTAACTATTTTATTGACTTAATGCCAAAAATAGCAATATTTATTTCACTTTTTATCCGACTCATATCGTCCCTATTTCATGATTATATGTTTGAATTTATGAATTAATACCCAATTATAATACATATGTCATTTGTTTCAAATTGCATTTTAACCAATTCCATATTTTCAATAGGATTAAACTGATGTATGAAGAGGTAAAATTCAATGGGGAATCACTTTAGAATATTTTGTACAATTTTACTTATAATTTGAGATTTATCATTTTTTCCTTAATATACTCCTATACCCATCTTTTAACCAATTAACATAAATTCTTGAAATTAGGAAAAATTTTGAATCATCCATTTATTCATCAATATTTTTAAAGTTCAGAAATACTTGATTTGTTGAGAGTCTCAAATTGCCTAAAAATATTATATTTGTAAAGTTCATTCTCTCCCTTCTTCAATAACTTACTGTAAAAACAAAATGATTGAATAGTTATCACCTTATTAGGTAAAATATTTCGATTTGACATTTTATTTTGTTTTTATGAAGTTCTTTGCTTTTTTTTATTCTCTCGAAAATATATTAAATGCAAATGTCATAACATAGATTTCTTAAAATTCTTACCAATGAGCAATTATCTCCTCTCAAAGTAATTTAATGATTGAGATTTAAGAAAAATCTTTAAAAAAAAAAATTCATAGAAACAAATTAGAGAAATAATTTAATTTTGTATTTCCCATTTTAAGGAGTAAATTGGCAATCAAATATATACACTCAGAATCATTTAAAGTAGACTCATAATTAGATGTAATTTGATCAATAAATACTTTATAATTGATTTTTCAACAATTTTGTGTATTAGAGTAATTGCTTGACTTAAAAATGGAGTTGGTAATTCATGATCAAAGTAATTATTTATGGAATAATGAGTGTTATTACTTACTCTAATTTAATTAAACTTTTTAACAATAAAAATTAATTCAATACTATTAATTTTTCCCTCCTAATTTTTCCCCATTATTTTATATAAAAATGCATTTTGAATTTTCAAAGACAAAAGAAAGAAAATTTTATTAGATTCGATATTATAAGGTATTAAGAACAGTTCTAATTAACTAAATAATTAATTTTTTCAAATCAATATTTTAGAATTAAAAATTGAAATTTTAAGATTGCGAAAACCAAAATCAGGATTTTAATTTTAATAAATTGTGCAAAATCCTAAATTAAAATTCTTAACATAGTCCTTAAAATAAGAATAAATAAATGAAATAAATAAAAGATTGCTATGAATTTGCTCGATCATTTATGAAGTCTGTGTCAAGAGAGAAATTAAAGGAACTTAATGTAGAAGTCAATTCTTTAGGGTAATTATTATTAGAATATCATCTTACTTCTAAAAAAAGATAAGTTGATTAGTGATTTATAATTAATTTTAATTATTATTGGAATGATATATTATTAAATGAATTCAGATTATGAATATATAATTAATGTAATTATTATTCTCAATTTGTTTAAGAGAAAAATAATTTTTGGTATGTTTATTCAAAGTTTAGTATGAATATAGGTATCTAAAATTAAAATGAAATATAATTAAATAAATATTAAAATAAAATTAATAATAAATTAAATAATGGGAAACGATATTCAAAGAGTATAATAATTAGGAGATAGCATAAGACAATTGCGAGAAGACATGGATGCACTATCCAAAATCGCTCCTCAAGTTGAAAAGATGATTGCCTTGTCAAGTACTTTAGAGTCGACAACCAAAAATGTAATTTCATATATTAAGTGTTAGATTAATGAGAATATGTCTAAAGTAAGTAAGACAATTTAAGATGTTGATGAAAAGGTAAAAAAAGCCAAGGAAATCATAGATAAAATACCTGGAGGAAATAAATTACAATCATTTTTTTGAGATTTAATACATTTTATTTAATTCAATAATTGATATTATATGAATAGCAAATAAATTAGCGTCTGTGTCTTAATATGGAAAATGTTTTAAAAGTTCCCTTGATACTACTATTTTTCTACATTATCTTAAATAATACCCCTAAGATTTCATACAATAAGTGATTTGATTAGTTTGGATTGAAAATACTGCTTGATTTCAAAAGATATATATAATATATATATTTAAAATGAAATCAATTGCTATATTAATCATCTGCTTTGCAATGACATCATGCATTTACACACCTGCTGAACGCCAATATAACCAAGAAGCATTAGAAGGAGCTTATGAATATAACAATTTGCCTCAACCATAGCATGTTTCTAATTGCGGAGACGATGCGATTTAGATTGACATTTTCGGATTTGTTGGTTATATGTTACAGAAAGCTGACAAGGCTGGTGTATCTGAATTATTAGCTTTAAAAAAGGAAGTTGACGACTATTTTAATGTAATAGAAGTTCACATTTATATAGTCCCTACCAGAGGAATATACAAACTGCTTATATGCTGAACCTGAATTTGTTGAGATGTGTACATTATATGGATTGAAGGAAACAGATAGAATGGAACAAATCACTGATAAAATCTATGATTACGCAATGGCACACTTCTTTGCTACTAAGAAAGAGATTCATAAGGGAAATCTTTTATGGAATACAGAACACAAATATCATGAGGCAGGATATTTGGTTGCTAATTTTGCCATGAAAGCCTTGGTAACAGGATTAAGATAGGTTGAATGATGATTTAATTCTTAACATATTAATTGTGTATAAATATCACAATGTTTCAATTCTAGCCTCGGATACTTTTGCTTCTTTACTGTCCCAACCACTAAACAAATATGCAGCAAATCTGTAATTTTTATTAGGAGGTAATTTGAAGGTAATTTATTTATTATTTTCACCAGCTTTTCTAATTGTGAATGCATCTCCATTTCTTATACATTCGATAATCTCTCCTTATTTTACTTCGATTCCTAGAGATTTCTTATCAAGATTCTCATCGTTTGAGGCAGCAACCACTTAAATTATATGGATGATTTACATTTGTCTGAATAAACAATCCACATTCCATGGTCTAATCCATAATTGCAATTTCCTGAAAAATCGGTTTCTTTGACAATATCGAAATCCACTATCCCAATTCCGATGCTCTGTAATAATAATGAATTTTACTGTTTATATGGTATCACAACAAATCTTCACTTTTATAAGGTCTTGTTCTTTTGCAGGTTCATCCAAAAGGACTAAACCACCTTCTTCTTGTTCCTCAACAACTGCGAGATTACCGTGTACCTCAACATATTCACTTTTATAAGTAGAACTAAAGTTTCTTGCTTCAGCTCCACTTCCAATTTATTAAAATTGTGGATCACCTATAACTGTGTTGCTTGTCTCACAATTACCCATTATTTTATTTAATAAATAATTGAAAATATTTTGGCAATTAAATACTATAAAATACTTTATAAAGAATAGAGCAAATTTAATTCACAATAAAAGTAATTTAGTTATATGTCTGAATTTTTGAAGTTTTCTTTATTGATACATCAATTTCATCAAATTGTTACATATTGCCATTGCTCCTGATTTATTAATAAATATGTTTGATTAACAATTTATATTAGTTTTAAATTAATTAATAGTAAACAATTCAAATAGAAATTCTTTTTTTTGATAATTTTGTACTTGTACTTTGAAAAATAATAATAACTAGTACAAATTTAATGAAGATTGGAAATAAAAATAGGAATTGTGATGATGATCCTTTATAAAAGACTTTGAAATACGATTAATAATTATATATAGCAACAGTAGATCAATTGTTAACAAATTCCACTCTGATATAAAATAAATAGAAGGATCTCATTTGTACAAATCCTGGAACATTTTTTATGGATGTTGAATTTGAAATAAGTAAAGATCAAATGAGCATCATGAGTAAAGCATTGAGGTGTTGAAGATTACATGGAGAGAAAGAGTTGTGGGATATCAGAAATGAGTTGAAAATATAGAGTTTGTGTTAATTTCTAATGTTGAGTATTTTTTACTTACTGACTTGCCTGAAGCATGATTGTAGATGGTCAGCACATTGAGCATAAATGAAAATGAGATTTATATAAGAAGAATATTGAAGGAGATATTTATTATTATTATTAAAAAATAGAAATGTTTGGATAGGTGGTGCATAAATTCCAAAGAAACTAAAATCATCTGTTAAGCAAATACCTAAGAGCTGGAAATAGGTAAATAAATAAATGGGATGTAGATCAAATCCTTTTGAGAATACATTGACTATCCTTGAAGACCCTGCTCATCATAGAAAACTATATCTTATTGGATCAACACATGCCTCTACTATGTTGGCCTACAGAACATAAAAATTGATTAATGAAGTCAAACCTGATAGTGTCTATGTGCAAACAAACCAAGAATGGTGGAATATTGTTAAAAATATTGAGGGAGTCACATCTCAATCTGAATTGAATGTCTATAATGATGTATTAAGAGGGGCTTATAAATGGGAATTAGAATCTGGAGTCAGGAATTTCAGAAACACAGTCTTTTGGGCAAGACTCTACTCATGGTTAGGTTTAATGTAATTTTTGAAAGGTAATTAATATCTATTAATATTTAATTTTAGCATTTAACAGTGATTTCCATCCATTCATTCCAGGCTTAGAAGTCAAGTATGCTATTGAATAGGCTCGTGCTCAAGGTGCCAATGTTGTTTTTGGTGGTTTGGCAATCACTAATGATGACCTATTGTCATTGAAAGTACTCTCCGTTATATCCTCTTTAGACCGAACCAAGATTTGATCCTCTCAGTGTTTCTTTGAACTTCCTCAAACTCCTCAGTCAAATCAGATGGAGAAGAGAGAGATAGGATTTGGCCTTTTAATTGGCAGTTCTTGGTGGAGAACAATTCGCTGAATCAGTAGATAAATTCAGAGCCTCTTGGTTTGTTAAGCTTTTCGAGAAACTGAGTCCTCATTAGAAGAAAATCTTGGTGGACAGAAAGGATATTGAAATTTTTGAAACTCTTTATAAACATACTCCAGGAAAAACCATCGTGGCAGTTGTTAATCAATGGCATACTATGGGGATTGAGGCTCATTGGAGACACACTACTAAGACTTAGATCAACACTGAGCCCATTAATCCCATTGGAGATTTGGATTTGGAAGCCCTCAATGAGGATTTGGTGGTCAACGACTTCTTGAGACAATTTACTTCAANGTACAAATCCTGGAACATTTTTTATGGATGTTGAATTTGAAATAAGTAAAGATCAAATGAGCATCATGAGTAAAGCATTGAGGTGTTGAAGATTACATGGAGAGAAAGAGTTGTGGGATATCAGAAATGAGTTGAAAATATAGAGTTTGTGTTAATTTCTAATGTTGAGTATTTTTTACTTACTGACTTGCCTGAAGCATGATTGTAGATGGTCAGCACATTGAGCATAAATGAAAATGAGATTTATATAAGAAGAATATTGAAGGAGATATTTATTATTATTATTAAAAAATAGAAATGTTTGGATAGGTGGTGCATAAATTCCAAAGAAACTAAAATCATCTGTTAAGCAAATACCTAAGAGCTGGAAATAGGTAAATAAATAAATGGGATGTAGATCAAATCCTTTTGAGAATACATTGACTATCCTTGAAGACCCTGCTCATCATAGAAAACTATATCTTATTGGATCAACACATGCCTCTACTATGTTGGCCTACAGAACATAAAAATTGATTAATGAAGTCAAACCTGATAGTGTCTATGTGCAAACAAACCAAGAATGGTGGAATATTGTTAAAAATATTGAGGGAGTCACATCTCAATCTGAATTGAATGTCTATAATGATGTATTAAGAGGGGCTTATAAATGGGAATTAGAATCTGGAGTCAGGAATTTCAGAAACACAGTCTTTTGGGCAAGACTCTACTCATGGTTAGGTTTAATGTAATTTTTGAAAGGTAATTAATATCTATTAATATTTAATTTTAGCATTTAACAGTGATTTCCATCCATTCATTCCAGGCTTAGAAGTCAAGTATGCTATTGAATAGGCTCGTGCTCAAGGTGCCAATGTTGTTTTTGGTGGTTTGGCAATCACTAATGATGACCTATTGTCATTGAAAGTACTCTCCGTTATATCCTCTTTAGACCGAACCAAGATTTGATCCTCTCAGTGTTTCTTTGAACTTCCTCAAACTCCTCAGTCAAATCAGATGGAGAAGAGAGAGATAGGATTTGGCCTTTTAATTGGCAGTTCTTGGTGGAGAACAATTCGCTGAATCAGTAGATAAATTCAGAGCCTCTTGGTTTGTTAAGCTTTTCGAGAAACTGAGTCCTCATTAGAAGAAAATCTTGGTGGACAGAAAGGATATTGAAATTTTTGAAACTCTTTATAAACATACTCCAGGAAAAACCATCGTGGCAGTTGTTAATCAATGGCATACTATGGGGATTGAGGCTCATTGGAGACACACTACTAAGACTTAGATCAACACTGAGCCCATTAATCCCATTGGAGATTTGGATTTGGAAGCCCTCAATGAGGATTTGGTGGTCAACGACTTCTTGAGACAATTTACTTCAAGACTTACTAAAAGTGAGCCAGCATCCACCAGAGCCTATATCACTTAGTATTACAAGGATGTGTTCGAATATGAAAGATGTAAGAATCAAGTTATTAATTGTTTTTTATAGTCAGACATGTTGAATTTGATGGTCATAGTGATCCTCATTAATTCCATGGAGGCAGTCCATTTGAAGGAGGTTATTAACATCATCATCCATAATTACCTGCTGATGTAAGAAAGTAAATTGAAGAAAATTGGAAGAAATAATATGCCCATCATCATGAACACCATTGAAATATTATTCATAAATAAAATAAAAACAATATTTTGGTTATGAAGAGCAAGTTTTCTGTTAGTTATAATTCAAATTTCAGTTTCCACGAGGCAATTGAAAAACGGAATAAATTGTTCGTTTTTGTGTAATATTTAATTAAATGAAAACCATTTGTGTTCTGGTATTGGTAATTGCTCTTGCAACAAGTTTGAAATCCACTTTGAGATAGACCCCATAAAAATTGTAAGCAGAACTATAAAAATCAAATTATGGAAAAGCTCTCTTGCATTTGGTTGAATTACATTCATTGGCTGGAGGAGCTGTGAGTGAGTTGGTTGATGCAATTGAAGAATTGGATAATGATTTGATTGATGGACTCCAATTATTGGAATTCAATTTCCAACAAAGAACAAATCAACACAATGCCTTGGTTGTCTCATTGAACTAATAAATCAATGATGCCCAAATTGATATCAGCAGATCAGAAGACGTCATTGAAAATTTGTTGGTCCCAAGAAGAGAATAATTGGAAACAAGAATTGCTACTCTTGAGGAATATCAAGAAATAAACAGAAAAAACTACGATGAGGAGGTCTTAATTAGAGAATAAGAACATGAGGCATTTGAAGCCTAAGTTGCTGAATTAACTGATGCAACAGTTGCAGTTGATGATGCCCTCGCTCTCTTGTAAACTTTGAGCAATCCATCATTGGCTTAAGTCAAGAAATTCTAAAACTCACTCAAGAAAATCGAATAAAGCATCAAACCAAGATCATAAATGGCTCCATTCTTGAAGGCCCTTATTACATTAGCATCAAATCAAAACTTTTCAGATTAAGGAATCATTTCTTAAATTGTCAATGCTTTGAATGAATTCAGAAATGCCATCGTAGATAGCATCAATGATCAAACACTAGCTGAAGCTGTTGCAGTAGAGGAATACGAAGAGAGATTAGCTTAATTAGATCATGAACATATTGAATTCCAAAGATAAATCAACGCTGTCAATGTTGATTTGACTGCCACCAACAGTAAGTCATTATCTCTACTATTTTCATAGACAAGATTGATGATGTCACTGAGTTCCTTAACCAAAGAATCGCTGATTTGAAATAATACTCCGCCGAATTACAATTAGAAAATGACAACTATGCTGATGAAACCCAAATCTACAACGACACCAAGAATGAATTCACTAGAGAATAGTAAATCACTGAGTAAGCTTTGGCTTTGGTCCAATCAGTCGATTTCAGCCATATTCAAGTTTGAGTATTAATAATAATGCACCAATACAAAATTAATCATTTAATTTTTAATTTATTTGTGAAGAAAGAATTTAACAATGGAATAATCCAATCTTCAAGATATTTTATCATGCACGAATCTCAGAAAACAATACTCCTAACTAAATAATGTGATTCACCAATATGAGACCACTCAAATTATCAAATTAAAAAAAGTAATTTATTTCATCCTATTCAATTAAGACATTATTATTGGACTTGTTCAATTCTTGTTTTGATGAGAGTTTATTGATCGGAGGTCAAGTCCTATAGAAATTGCTCACTAAAATATATAAAGAATAGGGTCAAGAGGACAAAAAGAATGTAGAATAGTTTAATCAAAGATTATAACAATTTATTTCTATCTTTGTTGATGATTACATCGAAAGTGTCAAATAAAATTAGCACAATTACAATCTAAATTATGCACAACAGATTAACAGAATTTTGGCTGAAGTCAAGATCGAATGCATTCAATACATTATTGATCACATTATAAAACATGATTAAAACTTTCATTAACACAAACATAAAGTGTGGGCTGTTGCTTCCTTACTTAAATTTGCTAAATAAGAACAGCTTATTACCGTGAGTGAACAAGGTATCGTATATAAGAATGGAACCATCTTGAATTTGGATATCAATGTTGTCTAGAAATGGATGTACAATATTGATAGAGCTATCTAATTTGAAGCCTTCTAAATATTTGCCTTGAATAGCAAAAAAGCTGCCAAACCTACTCAAACAGAACTAGACTCAGTCACACTCTTTGTATAATATGTCATTAAAACATCATATCCAAATTTTAAGAAGAACTATTTATCAAAATTAAAGTTCTTTATTGAAAGAATAAGGACAAGCTTTTAGAAGGATCTAAAACTCTTGGATTCAGGTAAATCAAAAGACACAACTTCCATTTAACCCATTATTAAATTCACTCAATAACTTCTAGATATCCTATATTCGCAATTGATACCTGAGTGCTGTTACGAAGTTTCAAGTCCTTGCTTAGAAATTTTGAAAATGATATATATGTATTTAGGTACTCCAGAAATGATAGAACCTAAAAAAGGAGAATTCTATAATAAAACATAATTTTTAATAAATTATTGCTTGGAATAAGCTTATGGCAATACCAAAGTTGAATAATTAATCATTTAATGTAGTAGCAATTGGGAGTCCTCGAGAACTTTGGCTTATGAAATATTGCTTTTGCTTCCCAACGAAATCCAATTCTTTAGTGAATAAAAGGCTAAAGAACTTTATAAGATAGCTACTTCCCAAATAGGAAATCCAATCATAAAATTCTATGAAAGTGGTTCTCTCTTACTCTCCTTATTATTAAAGAAATACGCAAAAATTCTATATCCATCTTAAAATCCAGAGATTGAATTTTTAAATTCCCTCATTACTGAATTATAATAGAAGTTTAATACCTTTAAGTAAGTGTTCTCCAATGATATTGTATAATTACAATAGACACTCATCCATGGGTATGTATCCACTTTCTGGATTATTTTATAAAGGAACAACATCCATAAATTGGAAGACAAAGAACAACTTAAATCGTTCTTCATCAAGTTACTTGAGTTATTGAAGGATATCATTGAATTCGCAACTTAAGTGAGTTCTGAAAATGTTTGCACATGGATAATTGATGATAAATCAACGCAGCAATTGCCTTATCAAGTTGATTGCAGAGGACATTTCTATCAAACTGAGTTTGTTTAGAATGTACAAAAGATTCTCTAAGGGAATACTTTGATAGAATCATTAGATGATCAAACTACAGATTAGGGATCTGAAAATATTTTGGTTGTTTCATTCTTCCTGATTACTAGAGAATCTGGAGTATTCTTTTAGGAATTAGCTAAAGTGATTGATCAAATTGAAGACAATATAATTCCTAATGATTTATTGAAGAGAATTACTTACTAATTTTTCCATGCTTTATTGAACATTAAACATTTAGGTTCTATTGATAGAATTGCATAAGGATTGTATGAGTTATGCAAAACTATGGGAACCAGTAAAAATCCCCAATTGCCTGGATTAGTGAATGAATTGATTGATAAATTGGTGGAAGCTTTTGATTAAAATCAATTAAAGAACGTATTTAGAAGATCTGCTGGTCTACCACATTTGGTTTGCTGTTTATTAAGATCTTGTTAAAGTAAGGATAAGTAGACTGAGAAGGTAGTGAAGATTTTATTGAAGTTTGCTTAAGGTGGCTAATTGGAAATGAGAATTCATGCTCTTAATGTTATCAGAAAGTTATTCATGGAAGCTTGGTTGAGATAAGACCTCGATCAATTCATACCTGAGGCTTATATGTTGGCCATTGATGGATTCAGTTATGATGATTGGAGTGTCAGGAATTCATCTCTTATGTTATTTTCAGCCTTGGCATCTAGAACATTAGGCAAAAATACTTAAAATGTAGAGCAAATCGCTTAGAAATTAACATTAATAGAATTCTTCAATAAATCGCCTTAATTAGTGCAATACTTCTAAAATAAAATTAACGATTACAATGATCAATAATTATATCCCAGCTTGTATCCAATAGCATTATTGTTATCAAGACTGGCCCCTATGGAAGGTAAGTTTATTAGAAAGGTGTATACTGAAACATAAAAGTAAGATTTATTTGAATAAAAGCAGTTAGACTTGTTATTGCCAGCATTGATAAATTGCTTGAAGAATAAGAATTATTTGGGTAGAGTTATTCTATCCAAGGCCATTCTGCCATTCCTTTCATTTTAACAAATAACATCATATGTTGTTCAACTCTTAAATGAATTAGTAGATTGCAAGACAATAAAGAAAAACCATAATAATGCTCATGGTATTTTACTTTTGTGTCACCAATTGATTAAAGATTATTACAATATCAAGAGGGAGACTCTGGATTAATATGAAGAAGATTAAATTGAATAGTTGAAACAAAGTGAAAAGGCTCTTATTCTAGAAATCCACAATAAGAGATTTATCATTAGTGAAATCAAATGTCCTCCTGTGTTGTCTGGTTATTATTAGGTCTTAAATATTATAATCAAAAATAATAAATATTAGGATTGCGCTTTATTTTCAGATTGTTATTAAATTACTAAGAGTATGGTTGAGGAGCAACATTTCAATTAATAAACATTCTAAATTTAATAAGACATGGGTCATAGTCTATTGAGAAAGAAATAGATTTCCTTCTTAGTTAAGTTGGATCATTTGAATAACAGTCATTCATATTTAGAATAATTGATTAAGAATTAAGTCTAAAAATACATATAGAAAAAGGAACTTTTAGAAATTGATGACTTGGAGGTGTTGTAATAGTTATATAAGTAATACAATAATATTGTGAAGAAGAACAAAGTTGTAGAAGATTCTAATATAGAAATAGCAAAGTTGACTTATCAATTATTAGAAGTGATTGAGACTCCTTATTTCAGTTAATGTTTAAAATAATGCTTACAATTTCTACTGATTATTAGTAAATTAACTAAATTGAATCACAATGAAATTATCTTAGATAAAATCAACAAGAGATTTATTAATGATTCTGGAATTATGAAGAATCTAATTAAACTTTATGGTTATGTTATGCTGTAAAAGCAAGAGTTTTTAGATCAATTTTTGAGACTGTGTGAATTATACTCTCACAGCAATAACATAGATGATTTAAGAATTGCTGTAATTAAGAGTATATGCATAGCAATGCCCAATTTATATAATTTGAATACTCTTAGACTGTCTTTGATTTATTTGAGATTATTACAAGATGAATTACCAGAAATAAGAAACAAGATGAGTAAATAAATATGCATTCATTTGTTAAATAACAAAAATAAAAATTCAACTGAATTGTATAACAATGAGTATCTCTTGCAGAATTTCTACTAATTCATTGTTCAGAGGTAAATAACAAAGGATAATTAAGAGGAAGTTATAAACATTTTGATAGCTTAATTGATGGACAGCGAATACTATATGATTAAGAGATAAAACCATTAGTCTAAAAGGATATTCCAGTATGAGAAAAGCAATAAATACATAAGCGAATTGAAGGGCAGAAAACTTGCTTATGACTTTTTAGTTTATTGTGTGAATCACAAGATATTAGATTAGGAATTGGTTGTGCAGCAATTTAATCAATATGAAATTAGACATCAAAATACTGCTTTGATGGAATATAAGTTAAATGAGAATCAAATTATAAACTATATTAATAACTTAACAGAGAGAGATGATTTCATATATGAGAATATGTGTAGATTGACAATATTTGAAGAATTGCAAGCCAAATTTAATTCTAATCAGTAAATATTTATATATATATTATTTTAGCAAGCAATATGAATTATATCATAAATATAATTTAAAGAGAGTTGAGTTTTCATTTTAATAATTCAATTGATTGGTTTTTGATATATATTAGATTAATAAATTAGATAATTGATATATACATATGATATTAATCAGGATCCCAATAATTTAAAATGTTATCTGTGTTTCTTATAGAAATTATTCATGTATTCATTGTATCTCATTTCTTCAATCATGCCTTGATTCAATCCTGTCAAGAGTACTTCTCTTTGTGAACCTACAAATTTGATGAATAAATACTAATGAGTGCTTGAATCATAAGACTTAATTTGTCTATGGCCTCGTCATCAAAAACACTCACATATCGAAAACTAAGTACAATGTAATCACTTTCTGGTAGTTTTTTAATTTAAGCAATATGATTCTAATATTACAAATGATTAATACTTTGACATTAATATAGTTGATGGCTCCATTGAAACGGTAGATTGCAAAAGATCCCTTAAATTATTGAGTGTCTGGAAAATCATCTTCAATGCCCAAAGAGTCATTTCTCAATTCCATATCATTTCCATCCTATTATTTGATACAACTTCGTTTAATTAATGAGTTTTTCTTGATTGAATAAATAGAAATGAAATTATACTTGCATTTCATCTGAACTGACTATTATTTCAGAAGCTGCTGCACTCATCTTTTCAGCAAACTATAACATAGCATACATGCTTCCAATCATAGTACTTTCAATAGCTCCATAATATACACAAATGATTGATATTGTAATTTGTTTAACTAAAATCAATCTCCTTTTTGTTCTCCATAACATTTCTAAATAGGGCCAGGTTGGACACATATATGCTGAATATAATAATATGCCACTCACAAAATATAGTGGAATTTATAGAAAGTATCTACTAAATATACCATAGAATAGAACGACAGATAGGCCATTAAGGATGGATGACCATCTGTTCATATTCCTGACTCTGATATTCAAGATAATTAATCTGATTGATGCACAACAAGGGATGCTATTGAAGATGCCTGCACAAATATTAGTTAATGAAACACATAGGATTTCTTTATCATGATCACATTTTACTCCTGTAAAATATTCAGCTCCTTTTGCACATAATAAATTCTAAATAGTGATATAGAATGTCATTTTGATGGCATAAACGAATAGAAAGAGGAGTGTCCACATATCTGGTTAGAAATGAGGACCACCACTTTCAATGAAAGACAATTTTAAACTTACATCTCCATAAACATTCTTTAAACACCTTTCTGTTGGGAAGAGTATGCCAACCATCAAGCCAGTTAAACATACTAATACTATCAAAGGCAAATCCTTATTTATTTTCCAACCAAAATAGAGTAAAAGGAAGATGAAGATTGATGCCCCAAAATAATATAGATCTCCTCTTCTAAAGAATTCTACTTTATCTAGTTTATTTTACCTTGATACATTTCTAATCTATCATGATATACTTAGAATCCTCTATTGGAATGCATATCACTTAATCCAAAGGCATAATCGATGTATCCGTTTGCAATTAAAAATAGTAATCCCAAATAATATCCTTCAATAACGTAATTTGGCATGAAATCAATCAAATGATGCCATTTCAGATGACTCAATATGTATATTTATAATCCAACCATGATGGTTACCCAAGGAACTGCTTCATATCCATATTGTTGCACAATATAATAATTAAATCCAGCTGCCACCCAAGTTGGTGCATAGATTGAATGATTACCTTTTGAAATAGGATGATTATGATACTTCCACTAAAGAATCCATTGATCAACCCACCAATCAAGGCAGATGTGTAGGCAGCAGAAGGATTGCCACCAGTATTGTTACCAGCATTCAAAATGAATGGCATATTCATCATAGCTTGAGTCATACCACTCTTCCAATTCTCTCTAATGAAAAAGAGTGCAGTATTAACATTATGAACTGATAAATGGCTAATTCTAGAGAATGCATTTTTAATGGATAATTTGGTTTGATTAATTGATCCTTTCACTTAACTATCGTGTTGATTGGACAACTTCTATTCATTTACATCCAGTGCTGCCATTTCTTATTCCATTAATGGAATTTTATGATCAGCATTCATATATTAATATTATAAACTAAAATGATAGCAAACAATCCTTCATATTATGCTATTTGATGATAATAATCTAATTTAAATTATACATTAATGCTACAGCCTCATCCAATTATTTTCGTTCTTCTCATAACCTCAGCATTGTCAAGCGATAATAGTGATAGTGACATTCTCGAATTCACAACCACTCGAAATCAATTATGTCAAGACATTGAAAATTGTAAAAACTGAATATCATCATCATCTAGTTGATATCACAAATTCAGAAAGATAATCTGTTTTTGATTCCATCTATTCCGAATAAAGATAAGATCTCTCAAATCAAGTAGAAAAGTGGATTAAAAACAGCTACCTAATATCTGCAGGGGAATATTTTGTAGATCTCCAATAATACACTCTTCCTTGGTTGATCATATCTATTTCAACTCTATTTCTATCATTGATTTACATTTTGGTAGCAATAATGCCAAGGTATATTAATGTTTAATGATAGTTCAATCATAAAATGGATTAAAGCTCATACAGAAGATGAATTCATTTTGAATAATAGAAGATTTCATAAGTTTGGGATAGTAACCATTTTTATATTGAATTTAATCCTCATAATCGCTTCCATTATTACAATTGTATACTTTATTAATATACATCAGATCTCTTCAAATAAAGTTATTGATGGTCTAAATTATTCCAATTGTTACATGGCTTCCTCTTTTGATAATTTACTAGTAAGAAATGACGATACCTTTACAGGATACAGTATTTTATAAAACGACTTCAATTCATTATCAAATGATTTTATTGAATTCCAATCAGGCTTGAAGAAACTTTATCAAAGTAGAGTATCCCTCAGTCTACAATCAAAGGAGCAAGAAGTCATTGAATTTAATGATAAGTAAAACTCCAATCAATAATAGACTTAAGAGAAATCAGCCCAAATCTCCTCTTCCCATCAAATTATCCTCGAATGGAACTAGTACCATCTCAGCTGCCGAGTCTTATTTCTCGAAATCGAAGATTGTATAGAACTTATCATTTATATATTAATAGATAGACTACTTATTGTCCACAAAGGACAATGAAAATTACCTTACATATCTTGCATAATATGATCTAATCAGGAAAGAGGAAAGTGGAATATATTTAACAAGTTAAGTGGATGAGATCCAAGACTATTTTGGGAACATATGGCCAAGATTTGGGTCTTTGGAGAATTCATCACTGACTCTTAGGGATTCCAAATTAACATCTATATTCACTAAAGCCAAGTAACAGTTATCATCCATCAACAATTACATTCTAAACTATGCTCAACTATTTACTGATTTCCATCAACAAGTCACTGATGATATGAATTATTACTCCAAATCAATTAACGGCTTATTAATTGCCTTAATGCTTTTTAATTTAATTCAAATCATTTTATGGCTTGGATTTTTGATTAACAAACATCTAAAGATCAGAAAGTATATAGATATCCTTTGGTTCTTATGCAATATTATCATGGCTGGAATATCAATAATTAATTTCTTCTTGTATTCCAACTCCCAGTTATCCAAAGAATTATGTATATACTTTGATGGCATTGCGAACAACGAAAAATTTTTTGAAAACCAAAATATTATTGAATTCCCAGAAACTAAAGAAGCTATCCAATCTTGCCTGTATGGCGATGGAAACATTTATAGTTAACTAAACTTTATTTCAAGACTCAAAGACATCAGAACCTACATCAATAGTGAAAGCGATGTGTTATAGGAAATACAAAGATTCAATTCCAATTAGACGTTATTTCTATAAAAATTGAATAATAACTCTCAGACTATTTCCTCAATTGTAGATGGTACTTTCATAGATTTAAACTCTACTGAGAAGGAGGAATTTCAAAAAGTTATTGATGAGTTTAACTAATTCAAAAGCACTGAGAACTGTGCAGAAGTATAAGTCACAAGATGTTCCGATTAATCATCTCCAAAAAGGAGTGGGGATCTCAATAATTCATAGTTGTGTTGGCATCCCTCTTTTTTAATCACTGCAAGTACAGCTTCTTGTTGGGATCAATAGGATCTATTCTAACAATTAAAAATGCATTACCAAATACAGGCTCAAGGATGGATTAAGATGTAATTATTAGAATCTTAATTTGTTTCCTAAAACTTAGATTTGAATTAGAAAGTAAATCAGTATATTTAGAATCATTCAGATTTTATTGAGGTCTATCAAAAAACGCTGTCCAATTTGAGTAGCTTACTTTAGGCTACAAATTGTACATTTATGAAAGTAGTTATTGATATTAATAAAATTAGGAAGATTTAAATAAGGTGCTGGATGGAATGTGTGTCATCTCTTCATATTAACTAAGCAAGATTTCTATACTTTTGATAATTATCATCTCGACAATATTCCTGTCAGTTTTCTTTAATTGTCTCACCTCTTTGAAGGTATCCCAGATGGAAACTTATGAAGAGTATGCTTCTACGAAAGTCATCAACTTTGCTGGGTCAAGTATGTTTAGAGCATCAATTGAAATTAATTAAATAATGCAAAATGAAAGCCCAATGAATGCTAATAGTACATAATTAGAATTCAAATGAAACAATTCAAAACTTAAAATTAATCTGTATTTTTTCCTAAATTTTATTCAAACATCTAAATTTGTCTCTGAATTTCCTTGTTCTCCTCCTATATTTTCTTGCTATCATTCGATAACTTCACGAACTAATACTATTAATAGTTATATATACGTGTTAGGTGGTTCTCTCGAGTAGTTGTTCTTTTAAATTTTAATTCTTTTCCAAGAACTCATTTATTCTTTGATGAAATATTTCGTGATTCGAAGATTGATCATAAGAGATATGATTAATCATTTGTATACTGACATGTTATTGGATGTCATTTTGTAAAATGAGTTTGATTTTTGTCTGTGCTTTGATGAATTTCTCAATTGACTTTTCATATTCCTTAATCTACTATTGATATTCTAATTTCTTAATGAGATAGGGCAAGTCCTTTTGAATGGGCTGACAATATTTCTCCTTCATTTGTCTCTCCTTAGTAAGAAACTAGTTCATCATCGTTTGCATTTTATCGCAGTAAAAAATTAGTTCCTTATATGATGAATAATGTTCTTTGAATTTTGCAATTTCCTCATTAAAACACTATTCATATAAGGCGAGATATATTTCATTTTGATTGCAATCAGGAACCTTCAGATCTTGGTAAACCAAGGGATAATCGGGTAATTTCTCCCATGTTTCCTTGGGTTCATAGAAGTTTTTATTGAATTCAGAAGGTAATCTCTATTAATCATTGCCTGAATGTACTTCCTGAATTTAATTTGAGATTACCATATTTGAATTTTCATTTGGCAATTCCACCGAAATTGTTTGGGCCATATTTTAAGAGTCTGGCAATTCTATTTTTGGCTATTTCTGCTGTTTCTCTTACTATTACTGCTTAATTCTATTAGCATTGTTTGGATCGAAGTGAAATCTCATTGCACTTATTTCAAATTTAAATTAATTTTATAATTGCAATTCTGTCTGATGTTCTAGTATAATCTATAAATATATATATATAAAGTATTAATTATATAATCTCATTGCATAATAGAGTGTCTCATCTACAGGAGTTGAAGTTGCAAGTTCAGTTAGTTGGTTTTACTCTAATTATTCTATGAATTGCAAATCTGAATAAGCAACTTGATTGCTTCAATTAGGAGATCTGTTTGGGAATATTCAAATTGATATAAAATGTCTATGGCAGTTTCCACTTGCCCACTTGCCTATTCAAATTACTATTGATTGTAGAGCAATTGGCCTTAAAGCAAAAGGATATTGGCGTACTTAAAGGATTGATATTGATTGCATTTCTCGTAAATTGAAATTGCCTTGTTGTAATTGACAGATGCGTTATTGTAGTCCTTTTTGTAAAAGTGCAATTAACCAATATCCGAATAGATATCAGCTATGCAAGGATGACTCTAAAATAAACGGATGGCGCATTTTAAGGCACTTTCGTATAAATTCAAGGTGTCATTGAAATACCCGCTTTCCTTTAGATAATGTCCAAAAATGGAGTAAATGATAAAGTAATAAGGATGCGAAGATCCAAAGTAGGAATCTAGGATTTAGAGAATCTATTCAAAGTATTAAAGGGCTGTTTCTAGGTTGTCCATGTTCGTTTATATGATTTATAACAAGGGTTTAATTTGACTAGGATGGCCAGGCTTAGTAAAACACAAGGCTTTATTGGCATTCTCACAACTCTCCTCACATAACAGATTAGCGAAGACCTCATCTCCTTCTTTACGTATAAGACATAATTCCAAAGACCATTTGATAGATTAAAATAACTATTCCTGATTCATTATATTTCTCCTCTTTGATTTTCTAGCTATCTTGGATGTATTCAATTAATAAGCCTTCGGTTAGATATTGAATTAAGGTTTTTCTTTTAAAGGGAAGGATTCCTTAAACATTCCATTGACTAAGGCTGGGGAAATGGTGAAAGATATATCGCACTATTATTACAGACAGTATAGCAACATCCCTTTGTATTACATGGAATATCTAGAAGTAACATCAAGATTATATGAATAATCATACCAAATCTACTTTTGGATGATTTAAATCCAAAATATGTCAGATTCCTTTCCAACACCCAATAGTAGATTCAAAAAGTCCAGACAACTTTCGTTTATCAATTTAGATGACAATTCTAATATAATTTTGATGTCTTAAACATCTTTAGTATTTAATTCTTAGATCATGGAAAACTCCAAAATGTTAGATTGATCACTTTGTAATTTTTAAGATAACTGATATTTAAGATTTTTCATTAGATCTGCTACATTATTCCTCAACACTTTTTTGCAAACTCTGCTGATCATATCGCATACACATAGATCCTTAATATGTTATAGTTAACACATCTGACAAATTTTGCCAATGTATTTAATGTTGATGCCCAATTGGTGTAATTGATCACTTAATTGATTTGAATCAATCGGTAAAAATTCAAGGGATTCAAATTTGTTAATCAAGTCATGTAATAATTAATTTTGTAGAAAGTTAGATGCTTACTTTAATTCATTATAATCTGCTTCTGTTTCAGAGAGTTTGATCTGTTTCAAATAGGCATCAGAATTTAAAGGCTTGTTCCAATTTCTTACTAGTTCTGGTCTCAATCTGGATGTGTTTTAAACATTTTCTAATAGAATAACAGGCATCAAATCTCCACATTTTAATAGGTAATATAAGGATAGATTCTAAGGCGGGAACTCATTGATATTCTATTCATTTTCAATCCATCTTAATTCGATGTAATCTTTATTGATTTTATGGACTTCTTAAAATAAACTCATTGGTATCACATTGCTAATCATCTCATCTTCAAAAAATTTATGTTATTTCAGATTTAATCTGATACTTATTTAATTCATATATTGTTGGATTGCATTGTTTGTTACAAATTAACCATCAAAAGTAGGACCATGAATTAAAGTTGAATCATCAATTGGAGGAACTGCCAAAACAAAAGCTCTGATTCCTTTGTAATCTATAATACAAGAGAGTGGAACTCTTAAAGGGTAATTGGTTTCTTCCTAAATCAATAGTTCAATCTATTCAGCTAATAAAGACAAATACCGAAATTCTATCTTAAATATAATTAATACATACCATTCCCCAAAGCCTTTAGTTGAGACTCTTCATAAATTTAAATCTCTTATTTCCCTTATTATGTGTGGATTTCCTGAGATTTCAATTGACAGAATGACAATTTAATGAATAATCCATCATAACAATAGAAATCATCTCCAAAATCAATTGTATTATCTTGTTGACTATACATTATGTACTTATCCTCATTTAAACAATCTGTAGGTTTTATAGTTTTCATTTAATTAGGCAAACATAATTCATCAATAATAGTTTAACAAACATCCATCGCATGATCTCTCATTCTTCCAATTGATTCATGCAACACAAAACTATTTGTGATACATTCCTCTATAGTTTTAGGATCCTTCATATTAGCTAATTCTATTGCTTATAAATAATTATAATTCCATGCAGTTTTGATTCTATTCCTTAGTATATTTTTCTTTTATTCTTCCTTATTCAATAACAACTATTCCTATTTAGTTTGTTCCTCAATCTTCTTCTATAAGATTTAATTTTCTTGTTCTAAATATTACTCCTTCTCTATTCTACTCCTCAATTCGGTCTAATGAATCTCCTTCTCTTTTTGCAACTATATCTATAGTTCTTCCTACTTTTATTGTTATTCAGACCTCTATTTTTCTAATTATAACTAAATCTATTGGACTTCCCTTTATTAATTCTCTTTCTCATTGGTATCTAATGGTTATTGGATACTGCTTTTCTGCTTTATTATTTCGGATTATTATGAAGATGGCTGTTAAGGCAATGATTGTTGAAACTATCTTGGCAATGATTATTCTTATTGTTGATATTTTTCTGGGTGTTTCACTTTATCAATTATTTGAGTGAACTCTTTTAAAATCTCTGGCTTTGAAAATGCAATTTCCCAAATTATGATTTCCTTCTTCTTTGTGATTACTATTGGCTATTGAGCAGCCATCAAGTCTCTTCCATAACTACTGTTAACACTAATGTTTGTGCTCCTATTTTTCACTTTGGAAGGAAATATTGCATCTTTAGCCATGAATGTTATTTCTATTGAATTTTACTTTTTTGCTTTTTCTGGAGGTCCTATGTATAATATATTCTCTATTATCACTGATATCTTGGGCTGCATCTTACTTAATTCATTCAACTCTATTTTTCATAAATCAAATTTTAACTTACATTTTGGAACTTTGAAATAACTAAGCATGCCATTTGATAATTGAATCACCCTCTTGTTCCAAAACATCTTTGAAGTCGATCTCTTTTCTATTTAGAAAATGTTGGAATGATCTTGTATGAGAGGCTTATTCTTCGGTTCAATTTGCTATGAGGAAGTTGAATTATTCATTATAATCGATATAAATAAATATAGAATATTGAAGCTACAACTCAGGTAATTAGAACAAATTATCATTAACTTTACTTATGAGCATGAATTGTAATGAATTTATAGAATCTTAACTAAAGAGTAGGGATATGCGTTGAATTTATTATTTATTCATCTACTGAATTGAGTGCATAAAAATGTATTTAAGAACATGTAGTTTAAAAAGAACTTAGTAAAATTTGAAAATAGATTGATTTTTGGACAAAAATAAAACATTTTATCTTTCAAAGAGTAAGTAATGAGAATCTTTAAAAATAATAATAAATTTATTTAATCAATTTATAATATAATTAAGGCAATCTCAAAATTCATCTTCACTGTCATTATATAACTATTTTTTTATTATTGAACTTTTTTATTGTTAAGATCTAATAACATTTTAATGAAGTGGTATCTCAGATTCTTAAGACTTACCAAATTGAGATATTTAAGCTGGTTTTTTTGTTTAGAAGATAGTTTGTATATTTTCTGTTTAAAATTCCTCCGAATCTTCAAAACTACTTTTTCTTTTACTTGACAGTTATTAGTATTATTATTGGTGTTATTGTTATTATTATTACTATTGTTATTATTAATGCTTTTAAGATTATGTGGATGACTTTTTTTCAAGTGGCAATATTTATGGATATTATTCTTTATCCTAAGAGTTTCTTATCTTATTTTCTGATTATATTTTCATTAATTGTTATGGTTCTTATTTCTATGATTTTCCATGTTGTTTTAAGTCCTTTACATTTTCTTTAACTTTTTGGTTAATATCAAATTCTTCCTCAGAATTGTTTGATTAACTTGATGGTGGAGTTTCTGGCTATTAAAAACGAACGTTTCTTGATTACTCAATAACTGTTTTTCCTTATTTTTTAACCAACCTGCCTTTAAAGTCCTTCTGTTATTATATCTTGGATGTATCATCTCCATCATTTTCATTGTCAGAATCCATCTGAATAACGTTGGGTCCATCATGCTTTTTGATTTCTTCTAATTCTGGATCAGCTACTCTCATTTCTGTTTATTTCTTATCTGATAACAAAATAGTTCCATTTAATTAGGTTAAATATTCCTCTAATTCTTTCTAGATTAGTTAATTCAATAAAATTTACTTCACTTTTAAATTGGATTTCATTCATATTCACATTCAATACTTCCTTAAGTTTCCTCTCCAATTCATTATCCAATTGTATATTTCTGAAATGATCCATCAATTCTTTTGTAATTTAAGATTTCTTTTACCTCACTGATTTGACCATATGATGAAATTCTTTTTCCTCTTGCAGAAAAGCTGCTTCCTATTGGTTATCAATAATAACTGAGGGTTCCTTTTAATCATCATCACTCTTAGAATCATTGGTAACATCTTCTTTAATATCTTATTGCACATCCTTAGCATCATAAATATCATCAGCAATTTCACTGATTTCATCCTCTAGAGGTCCTGCATTATAACTATAATTTTCAGGGGGAGGAGTAGGTAATCTCTCTTCCACCTTAACAGGTTCAGGAATCTTGAGATTGTCAATTCTGTATTCGATTTACTCAATTTTATCTAGAATTTCTTAAGGTCTATGAACTGCTATATAATTTTGCAGCGCTTCCATTTATTGTTGAAGTACAAGATTCTTCTATTCAAATTCATACTTTAGTTGTCTCATTTGATAATCATCCATTTTTTCGTCTTCAAGATCCTCATCCTAGGAAGAATCAGAATCTTCAGCTTGTTGTTGCATAAATTAGGCCTATTACATGGTTTGCAACATGAAGTCCTGTTAGTTCTGATTGTTGATCATGGAATTAATTTATTATTGCAATAAGAGGGTTTGAACTGTAAGTAGAGTTTCCTAGAAATTTTATTTTGGTTTTTCAAATTTATCTATGTGATGTCTTTAATAATGTGCTTCAAGGAGAGGAATGGAAATGAATGCTTTGCCAGTGCAATATAGACATGCATATACGGTTTCCTTTTTGGAAGCTTCCAATTTGATTTTTTTCAATTCTTTATTGGCAGAGGAAAGTTAGAGTTTTAATTTGGTGATATTCTTTTTGGATTTGGCTAGGATGTGCTCTTTATCGCTGATTTCAGTATCTAGTCTGAATTCTTCTTTGAAGATCTGATCGATGGTTGTTTCTTGATATTGTTTAGTGTATTCAAAATATAGCAACATCATTTGCATCAGATAAACCAATTTCAAATACTTGATGGTATTGACGGAATCCTTAAATTCACGCTCAGTTGTAAAACCTCTAAATATGTCGATGAAATTACTATTGTAAGGGAATAATGAAGGATTGCAAGGTCTCCAAATCACTATTCCTTTGCATCAATTCGAAATCCAAGTTATTCAAGGTTTGGAGATTGATTTTGGTGTTTCTGAGTGTATTAGGTATGAACATATATAAGTAATACTGTTTTTATATATGTTTATTTATATATTTTAATATTTCAATATTTTTATCTACGAACACCTGCCAAGCATGCTCTATAAATATTCCTTGGGTTTTCTGGGAACATGTCAGCATGTATTCTTAAATCTTCAATGTTGTCTTAAAATAATTGTATTGTTTAGATACCCAATTCTCCCTTTTTGGTCCACATGGCTTCTGCTGTATATCTTTTGCACATGTCTTCTGCTTCCTTTCTCAATACTGGATCATTCACTCTCCCAGTAGAATAATCGCATCCCTTCCAACAAATTTGGATTGATGGGTTGTACCATGAGAAGACATCCTAACACATGGCATAACATGTGCCACCATTATATCTCAAAATTTGACCACCTTTTAATAGCATAAATTCAAACCTGTTGCCATTAAATTGAAAATATAAAATTAATAATAATAAAGGAGATGTTGTTTAGATTTAGATTAATTTTATAGAAATAAATCATATAATATTAATTATCACACTCCTTATGGGAATTTCATCATTTCTAGTTCCTTTATGATTTCCTTAAAAGAAGGTCTCTTCTCTGGGTCTCTGTCCCAACATCTCTTAGTCAATCGCGTAAAGACTTCGGGAGTCTTCTTCGGAATAGTTGGTCTAAAGTCGTTATTCAAAACATCCAAAGACACTTATAATCCAGTGATATCTAATTCATATATTGTGTTATGTACTTCTATAAGGAGGTTCTCTGGCAGCAATTTCCCATAAAATGATACCGAAACTGAACACATCTGCTTTCTCTGTATACACTTATCCAGCTATTACTTCAGGTGCCATCCACTGATAGGTTCCAATCTTGCTAGTCATATAATTAGATAGAGTTCTAGTCCAACCAAAATCTGCCAGTTTGGTTCTAAATGCTTCATCCAACAACAGATTTAAACTTTTTAAATCTCTATGGAGAATGGGAGGGTTGAATGAATGTAAATACAACACTCCCTTTGCAGCATCCAATGCCATCTTTCTGCGATCTTCCCAAGTCAAATGAATATCATGATTTTAAATCACCTGCCATAAAGATCCTCGTTAACAATATTCCAATACTATGGCTAGATTAGGTGGTTTAGTACAAGCACCCAGAAACATTACTATATTTGGATGTCTAAGTGCCTCCATGGCGTGACATTCAGATAGAAAATCTCTGATATGATTTTCATTCATTCCATCTATCTTAAACATCTTAACAGCCACTGTAGTTTCCCTCCATTTTGCTTTATAAATTACTCCATAACCTCCCTCACTGATTTGTTTCTCTAACATAATATCATTGAAATCTATATCCAAACTAGATTAAAATATTCTATGTTTGATTGGTCTCTCTGGGGAGATCTCTAAAGCAGAAATATCAAATTTAGATTGTTGTTTTTTTATTTACCTTTAAATATAGGATTCTGTTGTTTACACTTTCTGATCTTTCACTTTCTTTTTCGATAATAATTCGTTTTTCATTCTGTCATATTTTAATTGTAATTAAATGTTTTATTATTTTAGTATTTCTTATTCATTCCTATATTTTTCAACCTCCTCATTCAATTTATCCTACTCCTTATTGGAATTGTCATTTTCATCCAATATAATCTCGAGATATGAGGGCGATAACAAAATGGAATGGAAATTACCACATACAATTCTCTGAGTTTCAGGCACTGTGAATAACAATTTAGGTAGGAGGATTCCCTTTCCATTTACACTTGGCTATCCTGTTAATTATCCGTAGATATTGGAACCCCATCCATATATTTATTTATAATCTGCAGACAAAGCCAGACTGTGATTTCTGCCTGCTGCTATTTGTGATATCAATGGCAAACCCAAAATTTTAATGGGTACATCAGAACAGTTTAGATCATTGCCTAATTAGCCTTGAATATTATCTCCCATAGAGTATACTTCGCCTTTGCTCGTTAAAAACAAGGTATACATTTCCCCCATCTTCATGTCCAATACACATTACTAATTGTTGAATTCATCCACAATTTTGATTTGAGTTGGTTATTTGTAGAATTCTTTATTGGATTTGCAAAAACCCCATAAGTAAGGTTTCCCACCTTCGATGATGCAACCTGAATGTGCTAAGCCACAACTAATTTTCTCCACTTTAAAATGAGATAAATTTTAAATTAATTTAAACTCACTTATTGTTTAATTCTCTTAGTGTCCCAATGCATATGATTCACCAAAACCACAAGAGAAAATTCTATTCTTGTTAGTCAATATTAAAGTATGCAATGCACCGCATGCGACTTATTACACTGCTTCGTCATTTTATAATAAAATCTAACATTAACTATCATTCGTATTCTTTTATTTGATCTTCTCTTTCATCATGACAAGCTACTCCATTATATTGTCGATTGATGAGGATCTCTCCTTCAATCCCGGAGATGTAGACTAATCTCCTTCATTAGCACTCTTCATCCGTTTATGACCCTATTATTGTTCTCTTGCCTTCGCATTACTATTACCAAATGGCAATAACCCATATACAAGAGTGGGCTGACTTATGTTATCGAAACAACCCAAACCTAATTGGCCTTTCAAATTTAAACCCCAAGAATACACTTCGCCTTTAGCTGTCAACATAAATGTATGTTCAGCTCCACAAACTACACTAGTTATCCTTTGATCTTTGAATATGGGACTCAGTTTCGGTTGAGTATTTGATTCATATCCCAATTACCCAAATTAGTTGTCACCAAATCCTATAACTTCATTCTTATTATTCACGATGATAGTATGATTTTCTCCTGCAGAACACAATGTCACTCCTTAATAGTGTGGAGTTATGTTTTTATTATTCTTTAATTGTTAACCACAAGTATTTAAACCTACATTAAATAACGATCTTACCCCACGAATACAATTGAGTTGTATCTAACTACAATTATCTTGGGGATTTCGAAAAATCACTGTATGATCTTGGCGGTCTGACATCCTTATCCTTAAATTGTTTCAACATCTTCCTAGATTCTGTCAAGTCATTTAATCTCATATTAGTTACTTTATTTTTGAAATTCAAATTTAATTATATTGTTATTTTACATAAATTTATTAATCTATATAAATGTTCATCCATTTTCAAAACACACAACAAGTATCAAGCACATTGAAATCTCGACATTGAGGAGGTCAATAAATCCCATATTTAGTCCTTTGCCATATGTATATCAATCCATAAAGCAACTCCAATTCTTAAAACTACTAATGATTGTTCGCTTTTAAATAATATAAATTAATTTTTTGAATACATTAATGGCAAGGAATTGTCTACATTAACAAAAGCATCTTCGAATAAAATATATGTACTCTTAAATCCACCTAGTTTGAAATCTTGAACACATGGCCTGTAATTTGGTTTAGGTAGTAATTAAGAAGTTATTTGAATAAGCGAAAAAGAGTCAACTCATTAAAGTTGAAGAATTGAAGTTTATATTAAATTCAATCAAATTTTACTTACAAAGAAATGTTAAAGAATGACCGTAACTAAGTTGCTTTAAGGAAGAAACAATGTGGAATGAAGAGTTGATGAATAGATATATCACTTTAATTAATCATTTATATAGGAATAGAAAAACATAAAGTTGTGATTATTTTGAAATGATTGTAGGAATAATTGTAAATCATAATATAAACTGAAATTCAGAATGCTATAGTAGATACTTATAATTTTAGACTAGTTCAAACACTAGTATTAATAGAATAAATTGAGTAAAGTGATAGTAATACTCAATATAATGATTTGAGTCAAGTTGATAACAATATTCTTTTAAAAGTTTTAAATTTCAAATAAAACCCTATTGAATGAGCCAATAATTATTTTATCTGATTATGATATATATTATTAATTATGAATTAAAGTAATTAAAGTATAGTGAATAGACATGGATTCCAGTGCAAAACAGGAATAAATTATTATTAAATTGGAGTGGCAATTCTATACATTGGACATTACATAATAATCTTATTTCAAACCTTAGATTATGTAAAAATATAAATTCAAATTTATAAGAATCAACTTTGGATTTTGGTTACGATTTTTTCATTTTTCATCCTAATATTTTGGTTTATTACAACAAAAATAGATCCTACAGATCCAGAGATATATACTTAATACAAACTTAAGGAGAAGAAGTAATGAAAAATAATTATTATGATAGAATCAAATATGAATCTACATTGAATTGCTATTGTAAGGCTTGTCATGCTTATGTTCATGCCTCATCGAAGCATTGCAAACAATGCAATAGATGCACAGAACTCTTCGATCATCATTGTGTATGGTTAAATAATTGTATAGGATTAAGAAATTATAAATACTTTTGCATATTAATAGTACTTTTGGAACTCTATTTAATTACTGTAATAATCATTTCAATACTTTTGAATAAGATACTCAGCTATGTGTACATGGGAGTCACTATTATATTAATGATTCCCGTCACATTTCTAATAGTTATGCACATCTATTTTAGATTCAATAACATGACTACCTATGATTATGTATTAAGCAGAAGGCAAAAGGAGTTGAAATCATCCGCTGACAAGTTGCAAGAAGGTACATCTAATCAAACGAATCTATAAACAAATATCATGTCCAGAAACTATTTACAATAAACTCAATTGAATGTCCAGACAGCTGTTCCAAAACCAGTTGTCCCCAAAAAGGGAAATGACTGGGAGTAAGGGGAGGAAGATGTGGAGGAAGGAGATAGTTTTCATGCGAAAGAGCCATTGCCCTTGCCTAGTTAGAAAAGTAGTGCCAGATAACTAGATTCTTAATGCAATTCAGGACATAGGAGGACTTGTCCAAATACTTAAAGGTATAGAGTATTATTGAATTTCAAGAGGCAACACTTCGGCCATACAATTAAATGAACATAAACTAATTAGATCTTTGTTTAATGTTAAAGACTTTTAATAGATAATTGAAAATTAGTTAATGAATAATGTGAATGAAGGTTCCATCATTCAATTTGATTCAAAACATTCATAAAAAACTGATTAAATTGAAATCAATATGTGAATGTTATTGTTTTCTAATATTATTTATTATAAATTATGCAATAAAATGAAAATGATGATCCTATATAAAATTAAAATAATCAAGAAACCGTTTTGCAATAGGAACGATAAGAATAACAAGATGAGGATGACAAGAAAGCTCAAGCAACCTAAGAGTAATAAAATGGAAATGAAAATTAAAATGAATAAACTAATAATACCTCTGAAAATACAAATAACCAGTAGCAAGAGTTGAATAAGGAGAAAACTACATTAGACACTGATTTACAAGGTGAAACATTGGATGCTCAAAATGAAAAGGAATAGTAGGGAAAAAAGGAGCAGACAGAATAATAATAGGAAGACTAGGGAAATAAGCAAAATTCCATTAATGATCAAACAATTGAAAATAGCTAGGATGCTCAATTATCCAATAATAAGGAAGTTAAACAGGAAAAAGAAGGTAATTAATCAAATAGGTCAAATTAACAAGAGTAAGGATAAAATAAAGAGTAAAAACAATAAAAGGAAGGTAATCTTGAAAATTAGGGTTAAAGAGGCAATCAAAAAAAGAAAACTACGAAAAGAAGAACAACCAAAGTGGAAGTACAAGAAAATTAAGAATAAAACAATCCATCTTAATCAAACAATGATATCAGCTAATAGAAGTAGGAGACTGATCAAAATAATTAGGAGAAGGCAGAATTAGAAGCAAATTAGAAATAAATAGAGGAATAATAGCAAAAAGAAGAATTATAGAAAAAAGAAGAATAAGAATAATAAGAAAAACTACACAAGTAATAATTAAGGGACAAATTTTTTAAGAGTATGATTTTTCCTTTAAGAACCTAAAACAAAAAAGGTAAACAATTTAATTTAACCTTTGAAATTGAAAGTGAGAAATTGCAAGTAAAAATGAGAGAGTGTAAGAGTGCACATAGGTATTAAAAAGAAAAGAAGCCTAGAACAAAAAGTGCTATTAACAAGGAGTTATTTGATTTCTTCAATACTATGAATCCTTAAAAACATATTGGCGCGATGACTCCAAATACACTGTAAAGGAGAAAGAAATAATAAGAGTTAGATTAAATGAGGAAGGATTGTGAAAAACTTGAAGAATAGCAATAAATAACATAATCATTACCATAGAAAGAATAGAGATCTTCAATTCACAATAAATAAAGAACTTCCACTTATCCAAAAAAGAAACTAGAAGTCTATGTGAGAAAACGAAAAAAGGTTAAGGCACGAAACGGTCTGAGAGAGAGAATGTTAATAGATAAAGACAAGGATTCTTAATTAAAAGCCTTAGATTTCATTAGAAAAATGTAATAGAATAGAATGGCAGCAGAATAAAAAAGGTAAGAACAATTGGAAAAATTAAGTCTTAAAATCTCAAGTAAATTAGAACATCTGAGGCTGGGTAATCAAAGATATAAGGAAGAATAATAAAAATAAAAAAGAAAACAAGCACTTGAATAAATTAATAAGTAAGAATAAAAAAGATATGAGATGATGTTAGAATAATAGAAAAATGAAAGATTCGTTAGAGAATTGAAAGAAAAAGCTGGAGTGAGCAGTTATTATAGTGCTAAGAAATTAGCATTAGGTTCTCCAGCATCTCTAGTATAAGAATTTGAAAATGGATAAATTAAAATTGAACAAAATATTGATACAAATAGAAAAATGAATGAAAATCAATTTATACTTAAAGATGAATAGAAAAAAGGGATAAAAGACAATAAACCTAAACAATAAGATTAAAATAAGTAAGTGAGTTTATTACAATTTCCTAAAGTTAATGCCAAGAAAAACTTTGAATTGGTTAATCAATATCTTTCTGCTGAAAACAAAGAAGCCTTGCCTGAGATCAAACCAAAACGAAAGAAAGCTTGGTAAATAGAATAAGAATTGAAATAAAAAAGATTAAAATAGTGATTAATTCAAGGAATGATTATAAATTAACATAATTTAAAATTATGTACAAAAAGCATGTATTAAATAATTAATAATTGTTATAATCAAGGAGGGATAACTATTCCATTTTGATAAACTTGAAAAACTTAATTTCCTGGATCTTCTTAATCATCTCCTTCTTCTCCAGAGTTTTATTATTCGATTTCATTTTCTTCTTCATTATTATTATTTTCTTCTTCTTCCTTATTATCATTATTATCATTATCATTATGTTCTTCTTATTCTTATTCTTCTTCATTATTACTATTATGATCTTCTTCCTCAATATTTTATTCTTCTTCATCAAGATTCTATTCTTATTCAGAGTCAGTATCTTTTGAATTGATTTCGTTTTATATAAGGTCTTATATTACTGAGAACTTCCATTCTCCATTTCTATACCCATTAAAAATTTAGCCATCAAATATATCACAAAAGTAAACTAAATATTCATAAAATAGTACATCTTGCATAATATTTACCAAATGTTTCCTCAAACAATATCATATTTCCTATTATTTGATTTTCAGTGTGCACTTCTTTGCCTATTATATTAAAGATTTAATTTTCATTGTAATCTCCAGATAGACATTTGAATCTCCAAGTCCATTCATCCTTCTTTTTTCCATTGTTTCCATAATGACCTTCCTTAATTAGTAAAATTCTAAAATTAACCATAACAATACTGTCCTTAATCTTTTTCAGTCTATTCCAAAATGTATTGATCAAAGTACTAGCTTTCTCGCCATAATCCCACCTTAATATCATCAACATATTCACCAACATCACTAAATTATATTTGCATTTATTACTATAGCATCCATTTTTCATCGATGTTAATTGAAGTTTTCCATCTCCCATTTTTCTTCCCATTGTTAAATTATCCTTTTGATCGAGTTCTAGTTTATAGATGATAGAAATATACAAAACGATTTTTAAGTTTCCAATACAATCATATAACTCTGCTTCTCCATTTAAAACTCCATTTTAATAAAAGTAATTTCCAGTGTGTCCAGATGTTTTAGAAGTCCAATTATCATTCCTTTGGCCATCATCATTGTACTGACCTTCATCTTAGATACGTCTACATTAAAAATTGAAATATACATAATGGAATCAACATGAAAGTTCTAATAAATTCTAATTTCCTTCCAGTTGTCAACTTTCTTATCCAAATTATAATTTCCCTCATGATCATAATCTTCATCTGGATATAAATCCTTTTATCCATCCTCCAATGACCAGTGTCCGTTTTTCTAGTTATTTTCATAATTTCCTGTAATGATTGTCTACATAGTTGCTTTTGATGAATATCCAATTGGTTCGGTCCAATTTCCTGTTTTCTTGCCTTTCTAATACTCACCCTTAGAAACAAGATGAGTATGAACTTGATGTTCATATTGTTCATATAATGTTGACTCCCAAGGTCCTTCTTTCAATCCATCAGCATAACTTCCTTCTGAACAAATAAAGCTGTATATTTATTTTTATTGATCAAATATAATTGAGTTTTACTCTAATTCTATCCATTTTCCTTTTTTTATGCCTCCCATCAAATAATTTCCACATTATCTAAATGGAATTTGTTTATTACATAAATTTGTTAAAATTGAAAATGTAGCTTTGAGTAATTCTTTTCCCTTCATAAAGAAGGAATTCTTCAACTAAATACCAAATGTTATTGGAGATATTAGGCTATCTATAAATGAAATAGCTAAAGGAATTCCCAATTTCTCTGTCTTGGTTATATGTTTTTGTCCCTCTTAATAATAGAATTAAATTTATACAAGGTTTAGTCATTAATAGAATATGTCCACTTTCCTTATTTTTTATCCTGATTATAATCTCCTTTAGCTGTTATTATGTATTCTCCATAAACTTCAATTACTTCTGTCCATGTGCCACTTTTTTAGAAATTTTCGTATTATCCATTACCACTACATAGTGTTACTCAATACATAACATTATTTTAGCTGTCTAGGTATTCTATTGTCTTATTTCCATCTTAGTCAAAGTTTTTATCAAGAATCTAAAATTCTATCAAATTCATTTTATATTTAAATAATAATTAAATAATCATGATGTTATATAATGATGATGATTTCTTCAGCAATAGGCAGAAAAAAGAATTCAGAATTAATGCAACTATTGTTATTTCAATGATCCAAATAACTATTTAAGCAGTCATTATGGTAATCAAAGGAGTTTCTCACTTTTGCATTTTATATTATGCTGGATCGAAGCACACACCTTCTATAAAATATCATTATCATTTCCACAGATTATTCAATCCAATCTTTTTACATGGAGGAAATGGTCATCTGTTATCCAATCTGCTTAGTTAATTGTTACTCTGTTATTCATATGAAAATAGAAACGGAACATAGGATTTCTTATTACTGTATTTCATAGCTGGAATTGGTGGTAATATTGCCAGTGCACTTTACTTCCCAACAGCCACTGGAGTTGGGGCAAGCGGAGCTATATTTGGATTTCTAGGCTATCAATTGGCATACTTGATAAAAACTAAATAACCTTAAGAAAAGTACTATGGAATACTGATCGTGCTTTGCATCTAGGTCTTATTGATATTTGAACCTCACACTCATGTTGATTACTCTGCTCATTTCGGAGGGTTTTTTGTTGGGATTTTATGGTACCAAAAACAGAAGGCTTTGATTGGATTGTTGTTATTGCTGGGATGTGCATGCATTTTTATGATTGATGTACCAGATTAACGATACTGTTGATATTATATATATGTTGTTCATTTTATTAAAATAAAATTAAGGTTTGAATTTAAGAAGTAGGGATGGGAAGTCTCATAACATATTAATGTACTATTTATTAAGCATTTGATTTTAAATCATTTTTTTTATGTGTTTTTAACTTTTGGTTAAGCTTATGTTCCAGCTCTGAAACCATTCTTAGCTCTTCTAGCGATTGACTTCAAATATCTCATTCTTCCTGTTCCAGTAGATCTTCTTCTAGCGACCTTCTCTCCCCATCCGCTGTCTATTATTCAATTTATGAATTTACAAAGTCTCAATCTTGCAGCTGGATATCCGCATGATGCACATCTATTTTTTTAAATATGGAAAGTCTATCTGCCACATCTTTTACAAAAAGTATGAGTCTTTTGATGTCTCTTACCGATTGCTGGAGTACCTCTTGCCATTGAATTTTTTAATAAAAGATTTAATTTAATAAAATAGTCATCACTAAATGAGATAATCCATTATTATTATTACCTTCCATAGTGGGCATCCCATTCCACACCATCATTTGATTAATCCAAATATTCTATTCAAAATTTGAACTTCATCAAAAAACTGTATTATTTATGAAATTCTGCAATAGATCATGTATGGTTTTTAAGTCAAATACAACTGAATTAGATCTCCAAATTAGTGTATTTAGAATAGCAAAGAATCATTATTGGTATTTATTAATTTCTTCATTTTGTAATCGAATGGTACATAACATCCTTCTTTGTAATTGCATTATTATTAATAAATCAAATACTATTTAATGATTTATACTCAAAAATCTTCCACTTGAGCCTTGTCATTAAAATATTTTCCATGGTACCTCTCTTCTCTCTGGAAGGGAAGGTCGTTGATTAAATATTGGCTGGTCACGACTCCATCATCAAGACTACCAGGGGCTTAAGGACCTCCCATATCTGTTTTGATCCTATTTTCATTAGTTAATTAGTGTTACCATCCTGGATGCATACAATATACTGATTAATTGGGTTTAACCAATCCACTCAAAACATATCTACCATAAGCATTTAAGAGTGCCTTAGATGCTGAGTAGACAGTCAAATTGACTTAGTTTCTAATGATAAATTCCTCTGAAAGTAAAAGAATTTCTTCCTTTGTTTTTCTCTCCAATAGTTGCTCTTTTAACTCTTATGGTTGACTATCCAATTTTCCAAGGATGGAGGAGACCAATATAATCTATAAATTAATAGAGTCATCATTTACCTTTCCATCATCTGTCAAGGTACTAAGTAATTACTCACTCACGTCAATTGTTCCAATCACATTGATGTCAATTATTTATCTAGGGTCTTAACTCACTCCAGCATTGTTTACAAGGACATCGATCTTTAAGTGTTGTTATATAAGCCAATCTTTGAGATTTCTCACACTCTCCTTGTTGCTGACATCTAATTGATGAGTCCTGATTTCAAGATTTTAGAATTTCTTTTATAAGTTTTCTTTAATTTTTTCCAATTCGTCTTGCTTTCTAGCAGTCAATACCAAAGAGTATTTCTCTGCAAGCACTTCAGCTAGTTTCAACCCTAAGCCTCTGTTGGCACCAGTTATCAACACTATTCTTTTTACTTACATTCTGAATTTTAGAATAAATTATTAACAGTGGTAATTTAATTAAGTATATAGCATTTATAATACTAGTCGTCTAATTATTACTGATTAATTCGAATATACAACTATGAATTTGGAATTTTTAATTAATCTAAATTCTTAAATTTTATATATAAGAAATTTTGAATCAATTTTGAAATTAAAGCAAGAAAATAATTAATGTTATCAATCATCATTATATCAAAAACGTTATCTTAATTATGGTAATCTCTTAAACTTTTCACTTATTATGGAAATCCCATTTACACCAATATTTACAATAGTAGGTATTCATAAAAGGGCTATAATCAATGTCTTTAAAGCTAATTAGTTTGAATTATCATAATATAATTGTAAAATATGTTTTTTTACTCTAATTATTATCTGATAGATAGGGAGGTGTGAAGAGGATTTTCAGTGTTTCTATTTGACATGGAATAAGAATTGAGTGTGTAGTAACTATTTAAACCTAAAAATTATAAATACCATTATCGTTATTTCAATTTTTTTATTCTAAGACTTAACAAAAATAAGAGTATCTCAAATCGTAAAACGCGTGCTGAAATTTGAATTATTATTATTATTTAATGAAGTTGAATCTTGCAATATTGCTTATTCTCTTATTGGCCGTTGCTTAGGCAAGAAGAGTTTAATTTTTGGGGCATCATCAAGAGGATGAAACAGGAAAGGAAAATGGAGAAGAAAACCAAGGCAATGGAGAAGAAAACCAAGGGAATGGAGAAGACGGGCAAGGTAACGGAGAAGAAGGCCAAGGAGATGGTGGAGAAGGGCAAGGAAATAGTGGAGAAGAAGACCAAACTAACGGAGAGGAAGGTCAAGGCAATGGAGGAGAAGAGAGTGGATAAGGCGGCTCTGGTGATTCCGGTATTTAATATATCTGAAAATAGGATCTGATAATGGCGGTTCATGTTCAAATGGGGGTAATGAAGGAGGTTAAAGTGAGCCAGTAGAATAATAAACTTGCAAAGGTGTGATATTTGATGCAGGAAGCTCAGGAACAAGAGTATTTGTTTATTCTTGGCCTTGCAGATTATTCCATTATGCAAACCCAGAGATTGAGATAACTTAAAAGGTATTCAAATTATTTTCAATATTAGGTCCCTTCAGTCAAGAAAAACCCAGGAATCTCACATTTCGGAAACAACATAGCTGGAATTTAGGAGTATTTGCAGCCTTTGTTGGATTTTGCAAATGAACATGTTGAAGAAGAAATCAGACATAGAACACCAATTCTACTTGGAGCTACAGCAGGCATGAGAATTTTGGATTGGGGATAACAATATGATGTTATGGAGGAGGTTAGAAGAATTTTGGGGCAGAGTGGTTATTTGTTTTAAAGTTAAGAGTGGGCAAGAATAATAAGTGGAAAAGACGAGGTAAATTTTAAAGCAAATTTAGGGCGCCTATTTGTGGTTGTCTGTCAATTATCTGAAGGGTTACTTCGCTAGTAGCAACTTAGATGAATAAGGAAAATTGAGAGAAAGTTATACAACAATTGATATTGGTGGTGCTAGCACTTAATTGGCCGATGAAATCACTGAATAAGATCAATATTACTTGTCATACGATGATGAATATGGAACAGATTATCATACTTTTGATACATCCATCTATAATATTTCATTGTATTCTCATTCATGGTTGTATTTTGGATAAGACCAAGCAAGAATTTAGATAAATAACTTCTTACACAATTTACATAAGAGATCCGCAAGCTTTGAAAATCCATGCTTTTTAAAAGGATATAAAGCCAAATATAACGATGATGTTGAAGTGGTTGGTACTGGTAATCCAGATGATTGCAAAGATTTAATCGATTTATATTTACTGGGATTTAATAGCACATGTGATTAATGTACCATTTAAGAATCCTATATTCCAAAAATCTATCCAGATTCCAGGTTGTATGCTGGTGGATCCGCTGAGTTTGTAGCAAAAATCTTTAATGAAGATGATGACTTCAACTGGACAGAATTCAAATATTTTGATGAATTTTGTTCTAAAGAATTCGATGATACTAATAAGGACAAATATTATCCTACTTAATGCTTCTTAGGCCTTTATGTTAAAGAATTATTCGCTGCTGGTTACAGAGTACCTCCTGACACGTATAAATATTTGGTTATCCTCATAGTTTGATTGAAATAGGAAAGATTAAAGACATTGAACCATCATGGACTTTGGCTGCTATGTTCGATTAAATTGATGATAATGAGCCTTGTACTGACAGTCCCAATTGCAATTTAAGAAGACATATGAAACAATGGAGAAAGGACAGCTTCCATCCTTCCATGAAGGAACATAAACGCAGGGCTCCTTTGTCAAATTTCACACCCTGATATATTATTCATTTAATATACATATCAAAATCATTAACAAATGAAAAAATTATTCTCTTTTAATAACTATTACTCTGAAATTATAATATAATAAAATGTTTTAAAAAAGCGTTGTTATTTTGCATTTTTGAATTATATATAAAATATTGTCATTCTTATTTCACCTTTTTACAGATTTCTTCTTGTTCATGGTAAGCTTTCAACGAGGCAGCCAATTCATAGCAACGTTATTTCATTGACAAAATCCAGGGCACTCTTTTGTATGTTTATATTTTCTATTTCGGAGTGATACATTATATACATCGATTTAACCAGAAGCTATGAATTTCAGCACTTATTTAGCCATATTTTAGATCTTCTCATTATTTTCTTGATCCCATATTTCATCAAAATGTTCTATTATGTTTAACCATCTTATTTACCAAGATAGGAGAGATAGCCTTCATAAAATTTTTCAGACGAGAAAATTTTCTTTAAATATGATGTATTCATGGTTTTATTGGAAGACTCAGATCTAAAGGGGATTAATTCTTCGATGTTATCACTTGACGCAAAATACTCCTTATAGAACACCTTCTCAATTTCATAAGCACTCATTGTTAATTCGTTTAAGTTCATCTTTTATTTCAAAAATTTAAAGCACTTCCTAAGTATAAATTTTATTTATTCTTCTTTCGTCTTTTTCTGATTTTGATATCGATTGATCAGTGACTCTATTAATCCATCATCTATTTTGGTCAAGATCTAAAGTAATTGTTATTAAAATTGAATATTTACATTATATTTTATTTTCTCATTCTCCTCCAATACCTTAATTTCCTCTTTACAAAGATATTCCAATAACTATTTGAGTTCTTATAAGATCTCATCAAGCGTAAATTGTTTCAGAATTTCATTCTCCTTCTTTTGCTTTGGTAAAACTCTCTCTGATTGACTCTTCTTTGTTCGAATGTCTGGTTATTGGATTATTGGTATTGTTCTTTGAGAGGATTAAGAGAGAAGAGATATTTGTTAAAGAGGGTTGAGTGATGGTAATTATAGATTTGGCTGGTTAGCAACATTGCTTTAGAGTGCAAAGAATAGATGTAAATACTAAGGATAGCAATATAAAAATATACTTGTAGCTGTTGAAGCTATTACAATTATTGTAATTAGGGACAATATTAAAGTTATGCTAAAGTGGGAATCTATTAGAATGGATTCATGAAAAAATTAATAATTGATCAATGTTTTTGGATTCAACTTAAAATACACAGATTTTTTGTCAATTAAATAAAACTGAATCTAAAATGAATCATTAATATATTAAACTCCTTTTGATATAAAACTTATATTTCATCATAAATGAAATTCCTGATTATGATTTTCTCACTTCCCATTTACTTTTTCCACTAATATTCATCATTCTTGAAGCTTACATCAATTCCATCCCAAATCCAATAATTCAGAGGATTATTGGATTGCTAAGAAAATATAATATTAAATAAAGAAATGCGTAATTTCTAGATCAATCTATTCATGACCAATTTGATGTTTGTAAGTTTTTAATTCATTACAATCCTCTGATTAGTGCGAATTAAAAGATGAAAATTACATCAAATTCTTATTCGTTGATATCCTTTTGTTTTATGTATTTTGAAAATACTCCGAATACAATTCAATATCAGATTTTTGATTCAGTGTATTCATTATAATATTATAACAGTTAACTAATTAATTTTTTAGAATAAGTTTAATTTACTTTACCTCTGTTGCTAAAGTGACTCATGTATTTTCATTAATGAATCTCTGCTATTTAGACATACTTTAAGAAGAATTGAAGGATATCGATATATCCTTTGAGTCAAGTAAAAAAGGAGTTCTACCATAAATTATTAAATTTCTATAATTGCTCGATATTTTTGGAGTTATGTATATCTATCTATTTATCCTTCAAATAAAACTAAGTTAATAAAGAATTTAAATATTGCTATATGATTGTTATTGAAATTCACAAACATTCATTCAAAAATAAGTAATTTAATTGAAAATATCATTTGACACATCAGTAACATAAGTGTTTAAAAAAATGAAATCTGATATGTATTTTGAAATGGAAGTGAATAAATGTTGCCATTGTTAAATATTGTATTTCTTAACTATTATGACCAATCCAATATGCCTTGATAAGAACTTCTAAGATTTCAAGTCATATATAAGTGGTGTTTTGATGAATTCAAGTAATTTTATTAGCACCATTCAGAAAACAGCAATATTTTTGCAAAGAAAGCTCATTTTAAATGAGATTACCCAATCTTTGTCTATTATATAGGGATCTTCTTTGAAAGTTTGAGCTGTTTATTTTCTCTAAATAATTAATTTATTAATAAATAGTATATGTGTGAAATCACTGGGAATGTATCAATAATCGATTTTTATCTAATTAATTCAATCAGGAGAATTTAACCAATTACAACTGATTTTCTTTCATTCTATTTTTTAAATTAATTAAAAATGCCTAAGAAACCGAAGTTTAATTAGATCATAAGTGTTAGTGGTGATATCCATCACCATTCGCTTTTGTCACCTGTTAATAGAAGTTGTGGAAAAAGATTAAAAAAAGTCACTTTTGACGATTATGCTCTTTATCTTTAATTTAGAGCCACTGATTGTCCAAGTGAAGTGAATATTACTCTCTAAAAACACAATTTATAAAGATCAATCTCAATAAGCACTTGACCTTGGAAAAAAATTGATTTTGTTTTCATTTTATGTTTGCCTCTCATATATTCATTTGTCTTCTATTAAAACTTTACTTAATAATTCACGAGGATGATAATCTGTGATTAATTCTTGGAATGAGTAATTTAAATAGATACTCTAGATTACTGATATACAAAATAATTAATCCATAAAGGAATTTTCATCTCTGTCATGCATTTGGATTCACGAATACTAAGTGCAATAGAAAATAAGTATAGTGTATTCAGTTTTAGAATTGAGAGATTAATGAATGAAATTAGAACATGATTAGAGAAAGAACTGAAATTGCTGTCTACTTTTTTAAACTTTGAATAGTCAAGAAAACACTGTGAATTTATAAAATAGAAGAGGGATTATCGAAAAATTGAAATTACTTCAAGTGATATTTAGTTTTAAGCCTTTCGAGGATATTAAAATTAGATTTTTAATATTTTAATAAAATTTTTATATAAATGTATATTTCATTATTCATAATTCAAATTTTGAATGTTGCCTTAGCAAGTAAATGAGATATAATGATAATTATAGCATTGGATTGTTCAACAATAAAGGGGACAGCCTTAAGTAGTTATGCATATAAAACAGACGGGTCTGTGTAATTTGAATTTCCAATATCAGCTTCTGGTAATGTGGATATAACATTTCCAACTTTTTGGAGTGGTTCACCTTCAATTTCACCTTTAATCAGCGGAACCACTACTTGCAGGGAAGTAAGTTTGATTAACATTATAAAAGACCACTCAAAGCATAACGTGTACACAAAATAATCAAAAATTCACATGCGCTTCTTTGACAACAGGGAGCTTGATAATAAAATGTAGCAATGTGAAGGGACCACACACAAACAAACCAATTGGAAATTTCAATATATAGTTTGCTGAATAGTCTTGCGATAACATTCAGATTAACAACTTCCAACCATATGGTGGTTCAGTTTTGTTTTCATCTAATTCAACAACCGGCTTGCTCCCAAACACTGATAAATTGTAAATGATTTGGGAAAACATAATGTTACCTATTACTTTTAGTGCTAATCCTCGAATCGAAGTTTCGATTTTAAGCAATGGGGAATTTGTTACAACTTCTACTGTGAAAGGTTATGTGTCAACAGTATCAATCGGTTTATTGGAATCACTTACAGTGAGTACTCCCAGTTTGATTAAAGCTTAAATGCCCTCAGCAATAGCTGTTAAGGATGTTTCAATAAAATTATATATGGAAGCATTGAAAGTTATGGGCAACACTTAGCCCATTCAATCATAAATAGATTTCAAGGATTCCAATGATGTGTTACAGTATTAGATACTCTTTCCCTCAATTTCAGTTCAGAATGATCAATTGACAGCCACCTTAAACATCGATTCTACCGAGATTAACATCTATACGAAATATAGTTTTAGTGTTACCATAATAAATGCATTGAATTCAGCTGGATTCGTAAGGATAGCATTAGCACAAACACTATTGTCCTCCAATCTAATATGCTATTGCGATAATTCAGTAGCCATCCCAGTTGTTAATACAGATTATATTGATATCGGAGGGTGTTTGACTACTGTTGGCACACATAATATCGCTATTCAAAATGTGTTGAATCCAATATCTACAATTTCCACCATCACCATATCATACATTTAGACTATGTAGAATGGATTTTCAGTAGATAAAATGACTAACTTTCAATACAAGACACCATCATTCACTCCTGGAACTCTAAATGCTTAATACGAACGACAAGGAAGTAGTTTGGATGTTGTTGGAGATTATTCATATTTCACATTGAAAATAACACCTAAGAACAGCATACCAGCATCAGGCATTTTAAGAATGGAAATTCCTCAGGAGATCAAATTTGTGAATCAAAATACTCAAACATGTAATATCGACTCAAATGGTTGTCAAATCAATACAATTTAAGACCAGGTGTTAGTATTCAAGATTTAATCATCACTAGAGGCTTCAAAACAATTTATTATTAACTCAATTTCTATTCCAATAAGAAATCCATTTGATACGAGTTAAACCAATTACTTTAAATTTACTTCTTATGATTAATTCAATAACATAATAGACACAGTCTCCAATGTCTAAGGATACTCAGTTAATACGAGATCATCATTTGATGGATTAGTCATCATAGAATCAGATTAACCATTCAAAAATGGATAGTCCAATACTTTTTATTTTACAATCAAACTTAAGACTCCACAATTCTATCCTATTTAAATGACTGTCAAAGTTGGTGATTTAATGATCAACAATAATCCATTGTGCAAATTACAAGGAGCTGTCATCAAAACTTGCACTAAAATATCCTCTAATCAATTAGATGTACTGATTGAAAGTACTGATTAAGTCTTGTAGCCAACAACTTTGAAATTAACTGTTTCAACCATCAGATGCAAAGATACTATGACTAAGAGTCAGGATTTTGAATTTTCAACTAAATCAACCAATGGGTTAATGAGCTATCAACAAGGTCCTTATATTAGTAATTCTTAATATGGCGATATCACATAGACTGAATTGATTGTTGATAAATAATATTATGGAGCTTAGAATGCAGTCTATTAATTTAATTTTGCTCTATAAAATGGATTAATAGAGAACACTTATCAGATTCATATATTATTTCCATTCAATCTACCATCCACCGGTTATTCTTGTAAGGATACATCTAATAATAAATTGGACTGCAGCGTCTAATCCAATAATATTCTAGTCATCACTGGACCCTTTGACTCGAATCAGTTACAATATAATGTCATTGTTAATGGAATTGCTACTCCTCAAAATGAATAATAACCAAGAACATTTACAATTAAAACTTATAGAAAAATAGATAATACCAACTATTTAGTTGATAGTTCAGTTAATGGAGCATTTCAATTTAACTTATTTTGCCCTCAATTGAACAATTGTAGGACTTGCAAGATAATTGGATCTGACAATGTCTAATGCCAGACCTGTTATACATCCATCATATCTAAATACATTTATATGAAATCAAATGCTTGCGTAGAATCATGTGGAGATGGGTATTATTAAAATGAGCAAGAATACTCTTGCTAATAGTGTCCAAATCACTGTTAAACTTGTTCACCCATAAACAATATTCTAATTTGTGATAAATGTTTTGACAATTATAAGTATCAAGATAGTGTTTGTGTGGACACATGTGGAGAGACCTATTACTTACCCTTGAATTCAAATAGCAAATGCGAAAAGTGTGATAGTGAATGCATTTTATGTTCCATGAATTCATCTTACTGTTCAAAATGTTAACCAAATATCCCATTATATGATCATAAATGTTACAGCAAAGGGTGTGAACAAGGCTATTTTTAAACTTACAATTCAAGCAAGGTTTTGGTGTGTGAATTATGTCCAGCCACTTGTATAAGTTGTATAACCAATGATTAATGTACTGAATGCCAACCTGGTTAGTATTCTTTGTCAGGAACATGTAGAGCAGATTGCCCATCTGGTTATTTTATTAATGAAGAACAAATGCAATGTAAGTCTTGTATATCAGGATGCAGCCAATGTCCAGATGACAAAACATGTGTCAAATGCTCAGATGGATTCCTTCTAAAACTATCATAATGTGTATTAACATGCGGAGACTAGTACTATGTAGATGCTGATCAAACTTCCTGTTTGAAATGCAATTCGAGTTGCCAAACATGTGAGTTGAAAGATGGACAACAATTATGCTCATCCTGCATTAAACCATACTTCTTTTCTAATTTCACTTGTATACAATAATGTTAATCCAATTATTATGCTGTAAATCAAGAATGTTTCCAATGTTCATCAAATTGCTTAACTTGCAGTGATAGTGCATAGACCTGTACTTCATGTTAAGTTTAAGGAACCACACCACAATTTCTAGATGGAAATGTTTGTGTTTCCAAGTGTTCAGATACCTATTTTGGCGATGTTACTAGTGGAAAATGTATACAGTGTCCAAGCTCTTGTGCTGTATGCACATCCTTAAACAATTGCACCTAATGCAATTAATCAACCAGCACACATTACTTGATTTAAGGTGCTTGTAAGGAAGAGTGTCCTAACAATTACCAACCCAAAGGATTGCTTTGTGAATTGATACCAGAGGAAGTCATAGTCAATATGGGACCAAACAGATATGTCCCAGTTCCCCATGTGATATTATTCACCTTTTTAACCATCTCTGTCTTAGTCTCCAAATAATACAGAAATGAAACTTATATGCCTGGCTCAATCCTAGGATTGAATGCTCCTTTGATATGGTCATCATGGTTGACTGTGTTGTTTTTATTACACAATTATTATGAATACAATGATATGTATTACTTTTGGATTCTCGTTGGTAGCGTCGTATTGAATTGGCTATTTAATGTTGCTCACCTTCTATTGGTTAAATAAAAGATATGGAATGATTAGGATTTCATTAGGTGGCAAGCCTCAACTTTGAAAAATAAGATTACCAATTACATTTTGATTTCATTGTCCTTGATATTAGCATATCCCCTTTACAAACTCATTATGAGTAGATATTTTGGTTTTTCATTTTTCAAAGCAAAGATGGTAGATATCAAACCCTTTTTTTCCTTTAACTGTTTAAACGGACTTTACATTACATTAGTGAATATTCCGATAATTGTTAGTTGTGCCTTGATAGCCTATTACGAAAACTCATTTAATTCATAGACTTTTATTAGTGCCATTGATTCCCTTATAGTGACTTTCTCCAATATTCTACTACTAATTTGGGAAACTCAAAAGGGAGAACAATTTTTCGATGAATTTGTCTAAAATTATTATTTGAATGAATCCAAATAGAATTTTGAGAGACAAGAGAATTCTGGGTTCTTTCAACATCCCTTTGATTTGAAATCACAAGCAGAATAAAAGATTGATATTTCAGATATGGATGCTTAGGCAGTCAACCAAGAGAATGATGTTACCAAATAGAAATCTCATGAGCAATCACAAGAACAATCATGTAATTTAAATGGGATAAGCGTAATACTTAGCGATAAGAATTCAAATCCTGTATTTTAATAAGAAAGTGAAAGGTCTTAACAATTTCCTTAGAAATAAGTTGTTCCCTCCAATCTCAAACATACTGTGTACTATAAGAATGTTCAGAATAATTAATTTGAGAATCCTGATGATGAACCTCCATATGCTTCTCCTGGATCTGAAAATTTCAGTTCCGTAAAGTCTCAATCCAGCTAACATTGTTAGAATTCCTTCAATGATTAAAGTCAAAGTCCTCTAAAAGACATTAGTTAAATCTAGGATTCAGAAGAACCACATGAAAACAGTCAATTATCAATCTTTGATGATGAGAAGAACAAGAGTCCTTCAAAATAATAAAAAACCTTGCAATTATAAAAAATTTAAGATTATCCACCTGATCATTATAATATAGTACCAACTTTTGAAAACGAATATGAAAATGAAAATGATCCTCAATAGATTAATTAATAAGTTGAGAAAGCAGATAGTTTTTGTAAAAAGAACTAATCATAATTGTCAAATAATTAAGGGGAAAACAATTTGCCATCAAATCGTAAATCCTCGTAATCTAGGAGAGAAATAACATAGTCATTATAATATTCATAAGTCCAATAACTTGCTAAATCTGCTCAATTTGCCAATGAAGGAAATAGATAATCATCGCATTAATCTATTAGTCGTGAATCCTTGAGTGTAAAAACTAACCAAGCGTAATAGGGATAATATACATAATAGCTTTCTAATTAAGATAAACCATTAGCTTAATCATTTGTATATTAATATAAAGATTTAGACTAACAATAATAATAATAATAATAATAACAATAATAATAACAATAATAATAATAATAATAATAGTAGTAATAATAATTATAATTTCTTGAAGCATTTTAAAAATAATCAAATAATACAAAGAGTAATGATTTTAATTAAATTCATAAATAAAACATTGATGATTACCCTTCCATTCCTTCGAATCAATTCAAACCAAAAACTAAATCAAATGATCTAAGAGAACCTTCACACGAGAACAATTAGGATGATGATTCTGATAATATTTAGTTACAATTAGGTATTCCTGATTAATAGCCATAATTTGATACAGAAGAATCAAAGGATTAGCATAGAATTCAAATATTAATGGATAGTCGGGCAATTGAAGAAGAAGAAGATTAAGAAATATTTCAAGATTAAATTCAAATCCAAAAAATAAAACCCAAGCCTTACTAGATGAAGGTAGAGAACCGTTAGAAGAAGGCAAAGAGTGAATAAATAAGTAAGGAGAAGATGGATAAGGAGGCTCAGATTAAGAATATTTTTGATTCTAACGACTCAATTCATACTATGTCTGATCAGGAATGGGGAGAGAATCAGATTTCGCCTTCAGAATTCAATTCACTGAATTAAAGATTTGAGAATGAATAAGGTTCAGATTTCTAGATTCGTTTGCCTACTCACAGTAAGACGCAATAGAATTACAGATAGGCGAAGGTGAAACCCTTGGATTTTGAGTTCGGTGATGAGAATAATGATGAACAATCCTATAGTGGACAGGCGTAGGTGGATTTCACTAAGAACTTTTAGGTGAAGAAGGAGAGTAAGCAGCAGTAGTTGGAAAAGGTGTATTTGTAGAAGTTGGAGAAAAATGAGAAGATTGGAGGCAGATCGAACAAATGGGAATTCAAGAAGAAGCAGGTCAACAAAAATCATCCGAAAGATATATCAGATGCATATATTGATGATTAGATCGATGTTGAGGATATCAACTTTTGAATTAATTAATTAATTATATATATGTAAATATTATAAATTATAAATGAGAGGCAATTTGAATATTGATATTTCAAGATCAAGCAGTTCTCATTTTCTTAATGACATCGAACTTAAGAAACTGTTCCCATTCACACAACAATTACACAATCGATACTTATAATAAAATAGGCTTTAAAACATAAAGGACGATCTGACAAATGTCTAACAACAAACTATAACGTATCAAATAAAGGACTTATTGAACAAGTAGGATTATTGCACTATTTTAGAGATAAAACCAGAAGCAGAAATAATATTGACGATATCATTTATCAGCAGACTACTCCGAGGAGGTTGAGATCGAAAGAGAGAACCATCAGTGTGAACAAGAAAAGCACTCAGGCCATAAACTATCACGATGCTTAGAATGTTAATTTACATAACAAAAGCATACGAAGAGATATTGTGCAATTGGCTCAATGGTTGGAATTAATGGTATAGCAAGTCTAATAAACTCAAAGCAATTTATCATTTTAAGAATACTACAATAAAATAGAAGTAATATTTAGTGGATCAATGTTAGAGTTACAGAGACAATTGCAATAAAAGGGGTTTGAATTTGGGCAGTGTCTCAAAAAAATATGGGATTCCTTTTTGATAAATGTGCAATATGTTGTGGAGGGATTGAATGGTAAGGCTAATCAAATTGAATAGTAGAGTTTAGATAAAATCAATAAATTGCATGAATGGTATTAGGAAGCTATGTAAAAACAACTTTGTCAGATTCAACAATAGAAAGAAGAATTACTTTAAATCTAATAAATGAATCTATAAATGAATAAGGAAAATCAATATTTGAGGAAGAAGGATGTTAGAAGAGAAAAATAGCTAAGAGAATTAATTTATGATAAGGATCATTACTTATTGGAGATCATCGAATTGAAATCAACACAAATCAATTATCCTCCAGATTTAGAATAATGCCAACAAAAAATTTATGATTTCTTTAAAAAGTAATGTGAAAATCATATAAAAACAATGGATATCTAGTATAAGAATTTGTAAGTGTAAGACTTTTACTTTGATCATACATTGGACTTAGTCATTAAAGATAAGGGATGTCAGGTTGTCGATTTAGTAAGAACAATTGATCAATGTACAAGCACATCGGATAATTAATTGATTAATGTTGCTACTTAGACTCACAAGTAGAAGCGATAAATTGATGAGGAAGTGTAAGTGAAAGTTAACTCTACCGACCAAGAAACACAAGTCAGTGTATATCAAATCAGAAGGGATAAACTAATTAGAAATCCGTATGAATAGACGATTTTAAAGAATGCTTACCTTGATTTGGATGATATCATTGATAAATTTCAGCAATTCTATTTTCCATATTAGGAACTCTTATCTAATGATCCACACTATTTGACTTTGATTAATAATGAGATGAATCGTCAAGAAAAACAGATAAATCAAATTGTAGATACATTAAATATAAGAAACGAAATTGCTCTCAATGATTTATCAAAATTTAAGTAGTACTTAAGGCAAATTAACAGAGAGACTTTATAAAATTATATGTAAATTTGGAAGATAGTCTTAAATCAATAGTCATCTGTAATAGATGCTACAATCGAAAAGCAAGAGTTATAAGTCGAATTGGATGAAATCAAATCAATTTTTACTAGTAATATGCAAATTATCAGATAATTTTAGAATAAATATGAAGAAGATAGAAAAATCTCAGAGTTCTATCAGTAATCTCTAGTACGAATAATACGATATGCACCTTAATTCATCATTAATTAAATTTAATAGTAAGCCAATCTACATAAGGTCTTAGATGGAGTTGAATTCAAAGAAATGAGAAAGAAAAATACTTTAGTTGACTCGAGAATTTCAGTTAGTCCTTAAAGGGAAGATAGTTCTCAATTGTACTCTAAGCCGTCTCCTATCAGAGCAAGCCAAATGTCCTTTCAATCTCAATTGTAAATAAATTCCATGAAATAAATTACTACCACTAACAAAACATTAAAAGCCCAAAAGTCATTTGAAATAGAAGTCGATATGCCCAAAGGATTGAGAGACATTGATGAAGAATCGTATAGGAGTTTATCAGAGGATGAAGGTTAATAATTAGAGAAAGAAGAAGATGCATTTTCCTTATTAAGATTTGACTTTTAGACCCAAAAGCCATAGTTGACATTGGAGAAGAAGCTAAGAATAAACACTTGTCCTTTGAAATCCGCTTAACATTCAACTGCAGTTCTTAAACAAAGTATTTTTTGACTAAAATTGTAGTACTAAGAAAGTTTAATAAAAGCAACATGAATGGTCTATATACAATAGGTACTCTCTTATAGCATTACACAGAATTAGTCTAAAGACAATTACCCAACAATACTAACACACCTTTGCATGTACATCTTTACGAACACATCACTTTTCGATTTGGATAGTCATAGATAAGTGATTGCAACAGATATAAGAGGATGATAAAGAGTTTTCTATATTATGAACATCGACATTCAACTTGTAAGATTGTTGTCCGTTTTCTTAAGGCTGAGTTAGATGTTTAAGACTTCAACACATATTTATAAATATTAGAGATCTGTAAAGAATATCCTAGTTTGACATTTAGTAATTTCATTTAAGCTCTACAAGATTGGCTTAACTAAAATCATTATACAGAAGAGGAGATTGAAATAATAACAAATGAGTTATATTAATCTGATCTTGCTTATTTAAAAAATAACCCATCTCCAACAGAATTCGATTTAATAATGGATCAGTTCTTAACAATTTTCAGTAAATTCAAAAACAGAACTTCGTATAAATATAAATTCCTATTTGAATCTATTGATACATCAAATAAGGGGAACATCAATTTTTAGCAATGGAATTTCATTTATGAAACTATAATCCAAGTAAATTATTCATTTAGTTTGAAATTGTTTTATTCTGAAGCTGATTATCATGACAATTAGAAGTTAATGTCAAAGCAGAGATTTACTTTGGTGAGTGATGAATTGTAGATCTTCTAATCAGATTAATAAGACAGATTGTTGGATCATTAAAGTTTTGAGGATATTGTAGTAGAATTGAAAGAAAAATGGGCCAGCAACAAAATCTAAATGAAAATTTGTTTCATCAAGTCTAATAGAGTATTATCTCCATTTACTATATATTTTAGTATGATAAATTTATTAAATCCTTGTTTCAATATGTGGATCGTTGTTTACTCAATAAACAAAATTGGGAATCCTGTTGTTATACCTATAAATTACTTTAGAAAACTTACAAAATCTATTATCTAGATCAATAAGTCTAGAGTATGCTAAATTCTCCACTCCAAGCAATTAGTCTGAAATTTAGGTAAATTGAAGAAAAGATGCTAAGTTTCTGAAGTATATATATTAAATCTACAAATTTACGCTAATTATATTGGGTCAAAAAATTAATACCATATTATTTTAAATAAAATATTAAATTTGATTTAATTGAGAAACTAGAGGATAATTTCGTTTTTTTCATTGTTAAAATCTTTTGGCAGAATTGCTTAAATGAAGTTTCATACAGGGCCTACGACATTTGAAAAAAGGATACTTTTTAAGTTCAAATTCAAATGTAGAATTAGAAATGGATCTTTTATTTAAATAAGTTTATATTATTGTTATAAAGAAAAGATTTTTTGCCATCCTAAACTTGAACCCAATATTTTAATTTTTAAACTTATATAAAATATTCAAAGTAACAGTGACTAAATAAGTCTTTATAAAATTCATTATTTTTTTGTTAGTTTTGACTTGTATTGTTTCTTTGTACTCTAATTGTTTTATGAAGTCCTCAGAGGGTATCTTTATTTATTGGTTTTGTTATCTTAAACTAAGTAAGATTAATTCTAATCAATTTTACAATTATTTTGAGAACTCTAATTGATTAAGATTTTCAAATGGTCTTTGTAACAATTTACACTTTAAAAAGAAGCACTTTTTTCAATTTTACCCTTTGAAAGATTTGTACAACTATTATGTGGCAACTCTTTAGAAATACTCTTTTATTTATTGGATTTCTTATCAAATAAATTAGAATTTATTTCTTTGGGTTCAGCTTATAAGTAGAAAGGCTAGGAATCATCCTCAGGATCCAAAAGTAATTGATTTGACAAATAAATATTACCCTTTTAAATTGAAACTTATGATCTAAATTATGAGTATATATATTACTTATTATTAAAGTCAATCTCCTTAAAATGTTAATTTTTCATTTTGTTTTTGATTTCTGGTTAACTCTCATAGACAATTTATGATTGAAAGTCATCCAAAGATAATAAATCAGTTTCTAAAAAGTTTTTATCTACCTTTGGGGATAAGTAAGATAGTTGATATTAGAATAAACCTAAATTCTTTTTCTTAGTCTTTGTTTAAACTGAAGCATTTGTAGTGGATTTGCAAATTTAACTCAATTGATAGGATTTGGTCATGTCGATGTTATTAGTCTGAGTAAAATTAGTTTGAATTTCTGTATCTTTAAATCTTTTAGGCACATTTAAAAAAAGTGATCTATCACATAAAATTTCACTATAAAACTTTGGTATTTCCTTTTAGGATGACTGAGTACTACATTTCATTCCTTATAATTCTTCATCTTCATTTTGTTCAATAATAGGTTTGGTCTTAACTTATTTCATTCTTGCGGATGTTGGATAAATATCTAAAATGATTGATTCAAATTTTTCATTTTTTTATTAATGGTTAATTTATTCATAGATATCACTCTCATTTTTGAATTTTGTGTTGGTATTTGAATGAGTAGAGCTGTACAATCTACACTATTTAGTGTCTGAACTCAATTATTGATTAATTTTTTAGCTTTATTTGAGTGCGATTTAATTGAAATTGAATTTTGAAGTGGTATTTGAATCATTTGCAGAGTTTGATAATTGGCCGGATGAATTTAATTTGGTTGATTGGACTTAATAGGTATATAATTTATCTGTATTTGCGCTTTCACTTTGTTTGGAACGACAATAATTGGTTTGAGTGTAGTAGTGCTATTTATTGTCACTATTTCCCCAATTTCCATTGTATTAAGTTGAATTTGGTGGTTTATTTGAATCGTTGATTATCCTGGCATCATGAGACAAGGGAAGCAACGATTGCCATCCAACCGATTATTATAGTGGAACAGTATTCTCATTGATCTGATGCAGTTAAAGTAGTTTTAAGTCCATCTTGTTTCTTGGCGTTGAAATGGGTAATTCTTCATTGGGTTATGAAGATTACCTGCTTCTTCCAACGCTGACATAGAGTTTCCCTGGTTTCTAAACTTGCTTTAATTGTTATTTTAATCTGCGCAAAGGATTTGATCTAGAGGTACTCTTCGATCTTACAAATTTCAACTGACTCATGAAATTTTATTTATAAACAAATTTTCTGTTTTATTTTTATATTGATAATTATATTATTAATATGATGGAATAACACAACAATTGTATAAGATTTACTCAAATTCTTAAGTACTTGGGTTACGGTTATTCAAATACTTTGCATGATCACTTATAAAATTTCATTATTAATTAATTATTTAATGTAACATAAAGGTAGAAAATTGAGCATTTATTATGAGTGAATACCGAACCAGGAGAAACCAATACAAGCAGTCAACAGTTTTTTAGTACGGATACCCTATTCCAAAACAATGTTGGATTGAGTACAAACATCTCATCGAGTACTTTGAGACATACAGCCCCTTTGATCTCGTTTCCTAAGGCAAATAGATTTCACACTCAAACTCAATTTCAATTACCAACCAAATTGGAATTACCTTCACAATTGGGAAAAAGGTTGTAAACATTAATTTTATCAATATTTTCAGATACACTCAATAAGGTTTTGGGAATAAGAAGGTGTTTCAATACGAATGGCAAAAGGTGAATGCCAAGGAATTCCCAAGTCCTGATAGGTATCGAGTGGGATAAGAGCCTGGCATGGATCAATTGAAACGATCATTTGGATTGGGATGGGAAGCTTACTCGAAGACTTACCTCCCTTACAATAAACATTAGGCTCCTGAAGTGGCCAAATTCTTGCCAGGTACTAAAATGATGAGTAAATTGAGGTCCTGGAGAATATAATGTACGTCAAGACCTGGGTCAACACAGATATTAGTTTTAATTGAAGGGCAAAGGGAAGATGTTCAATGATCAAAGGGAGAATGGTGTTCCTGGGCCAGAGACATACTAACCTCAAATTTCATTGATTGTTCCTAATCGATTTTCAGTAAAGAAATACATAGAAGTGAAATTAGAAAATCTCTTAGGGGATAGGTGAGAAGAGGAGTCCATTTTAATCTTTGAGTTTCACTCCTGGACCTGGTAGATATGAGTAGAATTCGGCATTTGATAGGGTTTCCAAGAAGAGAGAATTTATAACGAAACCAGGAGAGAAGAGACCATTCATTTGATTTAAAAATACACTTCATTTGTATGTGTGGATACATGTAATTTATTGATTTACATGAAAAGAAAAGAAATCATTTCATTTTACCTATCTATTCTTTTAATAATTGATTTCTCAGTTCATATTCTAATAATTCATCATTCTCGACTGAATTTTTTGATATTGATTTTTTTCTCATAGGAGAAGGTTCAATAGGTTTCAAGATGTTCCTTGCAAATTCTAAGCCCTTTTATCGAACAGTTACTTGTTTTGGTTAGCTTTTGGAAATTTTCTATTTAAAGTGTCTATGCTCTGCTTTGACCTTTAGATATGTTAAGGTGATACATGTTCTGCAAATTCAAGCATCCTATCCATTTTCTCCTTTTGTTGCTGCCATTTCTCGATTGATAATGTTGGACCCAGTCCTTGTCCTGGATTTCTCAAAATGGGTTACAATTTCAATAGTTTATATTAGCTGAGAGTATAGGGTTTGTAGTTGAGAATGGAGTTTTTGTCATCCTTAATAGAAAAGTTTTTGGATTGATTGTGAGATTCCTGTTCCTCCTTTTTCCATTGCTCAAATATCAACAATTATTCTTCCTGATGTCTTCTAATTAATTCAGCCAATTCTCTCTATTAGATGAGATGCAATTCATGCAATTTCCTTTTCTGTTCCTCTGATAACTTTTCACTCAATCCATACTAATTCATATTAATTTTATGATAAAATTATATTAATTTGTTGTCTTATTTATTGTTTGAATATTATTAAGTGCCTTGTTAGTATACAGGAGATCAGGAGAACACAGAATAGTTTGAGAGGAATGAGAGCATTCAACAAATATTACTCTATTTAAAATTGATCAAAATATATTTGTAAAAAAACTAATAAGTAAATAAATTTATATGCGTAAACATACATCCCCGTATAGAAATTCAAAACCAGGATCTTCTTTAGGAAGAGTTCTCTTTAAACCAGAAAATCAGACCAGATACAACTCAAAAGAGAAAAAGACAACGAATAACTCTCCCATCAGATTAGTTTTGAATTCTAGGCACAATTCATTTGAATACACTACAAAGCAACCCTAAATATAACAGTCTATGCTACCTTCGTTGAGTAGAAAACATTTTCAACTTTAATATGTTATTGGGATTGGTGGTTTCGGAAAGGTTTGGAAAGTCACTTACAAATCGCAATATTATGCCATGAAAGAAATGAGCAAGGCCTTAGTAATCTATAAACGGAGTGTGGCTTCAGTTATCAATGAATTGCGATTATTATAAAACCTCAATCACTCATTTATTGTTAATGCAATTGCAGCCTTCCAAGATAAACAGAACATCTATTTAGTATTGGATTACTTACAGGGAGGAGATTTAAGATATCATCTGGGACGAAACAGAAGATTTAATGAAGAATAAACAAGTATAATTTGACCAATATAAGAGTTCATTGTTTGTTGTGTCATTGTGGGTTTGGAATATTTACATTCTCATCGCATTATTCACAGAGATCTCAAACCAGAAAATTTAGTCCTAGACTCCAAAGGCTATGTCAGAATTACAGATTTGGGGGTGGCAAGGAAATTGGACAATATGCAAATTGATACAAGTGGAACTCCAGGATACATGGCTCCAGAAGTCATGTGCGGATTGGAACATGGTATACCAGCAGACTTTTATTCCTTGGGAGTGATAGCATATGAGTTAATGCTAGGGAAGAGGCCTTATTATGGGTAAAATAGAAAAGAAATCAGGGATGCTATTCTTGCCAAATAGGCTCAAATTAAACAGAAATTAGAAGGTTGGTCTTTGGATGCTATTGATTTTATCAATAAGTTGATATAACGAAAGCCATCTCATAGATTAACAAATGTAAGAAATCATCCATGGCTTAGAGATTATTCTTGGGATAAACTAATTAATAAAGCCTTACAAGCACCCTATGTCCCTTTGAATAACGACAACTTTGATGTCTCTCAGATTCATTATGAGGATCAAGAAAATCAATTAATCATAAGCCAAACAGGCTTCTTGATCTCTCAAAACCTAAATGCTTTTGACGATTACTATTATGAATAAAATCTAAGAAGAAGATCTTCATTAAATCGAACATTTCTTATCAAATGAATTTTGTTATCACGTTTAATATATTAACCTATCGCATATTATTCCGTATATCAAAATAATATTATTAAATCAATTTTTAAAAACTCAATTCTCCACTTTTTTGGTTAACCTTCTTCTATTCGTAGTTACTGTAGTCTTCTTCTAAATACAATATAACTCAAATATCTACTGTAGAAAGACTTTCATCAACTGGCGTCGTCTAATTCATTTATTTCAACTCCTCCTCTAATCCTTTTAGTTTATCTGCTGTTTCCTTGTGAAGGCCCACTAAATTTTCATATTTGTTTTTCCAGGATTCCAACTCCAAAGTAATTGTATAAGTATCTGTCTGCACCAGCATTTCTTAAAGGCCTTCTATCTTTTATTTCAGCTCGCTATTTTTATATTATTTTATATTAAAACTTTATTTTATAATCTCTTTGACAATTCAGCTTGTTCTCTTGCTCCCATTTCTATTTCCATTATTAAGCGGGATCTTTTTATTCTGAAAATACAAATGGCAATTTTTAGTAATCAATATGAACTTTTTGCTTTTTCAGATATGTTTCCAGAAGATTTGTATGCTAATCGATTAGCTCATTTAATTAGATCATAGTAACAATTTGAGATTGTAAAGTAGATTCATAATATTGCGATATTTATTCAAATTTTTCACAACACTATTTATCATTATCATCTATCTTGAACGTGTTATTTTTCAAACGATCTTAAGGCTACTTTCTCAGATAGCTGGCTTAACCGAAAGCTTAGAAAAATGTATTTTAGTAATCATATGGTATTTTAGGCTTAAATGGACATTAAACTTTAGATTGTTCTTTTAAACTGAGTTAACAAGTCTAATTAGGAGAGCTGATTCGATTCATATATTTAATATTATTTAAGATTGCAAAGTTCATAATGATTTTAAGTTAGTCAGATATTACATTATAAAATAAAAACGGAATCATATAGTATAACTTTTTCATCAAAAAATTAAAAATTTTATATATATTAAATAAAATACATAACTTCATGTTTTGATTTTATACCTTATCATAACAAATCTAGCATAGCTGAATAACAGTTAATAAACTTTAAGTATTGATTTAAAATTTTAATTTTAATTATCTCATTTCCTTTTTTACTTCTCTTTTATGCATTTCATTTCCCTTATCAAATAAAATCAATTTCTTTCTCGCATTTTATTATTCTCCAGTATACTTTATTCTTACTTTTTAGAATTAGGGCTCTCACTCATTTTAACAAATATATATTTATCCTATTATCCTGCTTATGCAAGTTTTATTAATCCAAGTTTTGCAATTTAAATTGCCATATATCGTTTTATTTGCATTATTTTCTTAATAAGCTTATACATCGAATGACATTTTTAATTGCCAATTTCCATTTCAACCACCTTTTATTATGCATATTATAATTTAAAGATATAACTTAAGATATCTCTATCAGGACACTTAAATCAAATCATAAATATTTAATTTATATATAATTTAATAGTATAATTTTGGATACTCATATATTTCTAGTGGTTAATGTTCCGTACTGATACTAGGAAATTTTAGAATTTTGATTTTCTTTGACAATTTCGTAGGACTCAACCTAAAATAAATAGAAATAATATTTACTCTAAAAGATCCATTTTTCTGTTTCTTAAATGTATCAAGTTCAGCATTTGATAATATCAGTTATTCTTATTGCTTATGGTATTCTCTATTTAAATTAATAAATTAGGCCTTCCAAGATTCAACCTCTTAATTAAGCTGTGTAATTCTTTCATTGTAAGTAGTTACATCTAATTGATTGATTAATTTGATTTTTTGATTCTCACATTCTTCTTATAATTATTTGATGCTCATTTTATTTGATTCTATTTCTTATAATTTAATTTTCAATAAATTACTCAATCTCTCTATTTCAGTAGAATAAACTACATTCTTTTATTCTAATTCTTTTAACTTGTGAGCTTCGCTTAATTGGAATTAAGAAAATTGTTATCTAACCTTCTCTATCTCCTCATTCTTATTTCTCAATTGAACAGTCAATCTCTCGATTTCAGTACTGAGTAAGGCAAACTTTTATTGATATTCCTTCAATTAAGATATATCTTATAATTTGAATTTCAAATTTTCTAATTCCTCATTTCTCTATCTCATAATTGATGACATTCTATTATTTTCATTTATCAGCCTGTCTATTTCTTCTGTTTTGTGTTAGAGACTTTAATGCAATCTATCAATTTCTTGATTTTATAATCCAATTTTATTTTCATAATCGTCAACTTTGTAATGATCATTAAGAGTGATCTATAATTTGGCAATGCAATTTCTTAATTGATCGTTTTCTTATAATTTGATCATTAATGAATTGTTGACTCTATCGAATTCCTAAGCCAGATTTTAATATTTGATTTCATAATCTGTATACTTCTGATATTCCTATATTTAATTCTGATAAATCATTAGCTATTATTTGCATTTATCTAATTCATCCTATTTACTTCTGATTCTTTGATTAAGATTGTTAATTTCTTCATTTTATAATTTGGATCTGATTTCATACTCCTGATATTTGGAGGTATCCTATAGAGTCATTTGAAGAGTTTGAATAATGGATTACAGTTTTGAAATCTCATCATTTTTGTTGAGCATTTCATTCATATATTTATCTGAAAGACTTTAATTCTCCCTGTATTAATTATCTATGTTCTATTTATAATTGACTTCTCTATTCTTAAGATCCTAATTTTCTGATTCAGAGTCCCTCAAACGCTTAGATAGAATCTCAATCTCTTTAATGTATGTTTATTTGGATTGATCATATTCTTCTGATTTCTGTTTAAGTAGAGCAGTAATTCTTTCAAGTTCAGTCGTCAATTAATTTTGTACTTACTATTATTGGATGTATGATTGCTCGTACTTTTTACTTTCAATTAAGGTCTTTTGCATTTACTGTAATTGGGATTGACTTTAAGAGACAAGCACATTCAATCTTTGGATTTCATTCTACCAATATTGTTCATTATCTTAAGAACTCTTTTTAATTCTCTCATATTCAACTTGATTCTATTGAATTGCCATAAATTATTGAGTCATTTGAGATACTTTGATCTTTAATTATTCTGATTCATTAGTAGTTTCTCTAAGGAGAGTATTTACTCTATTGAGTTCAATTTAATATTATTATAGGTTGGTTTCTAATTGTTAAACTCTATGAGTGTCTTCAATATAGGTGACTTTCTCTTGACAAGTGCTTTTGAATCTGTGGACTTCATTTGTAAGTTCCTGGATTTATTTTTCATAGAGGGAACACTTATTTTTATAAAACTCAAGTTCTTCTCTGGATGGCTCAATCACTTTAACTATCTCTTAAACCTTAATATTATATTAAGATTATGAGGGTTTCAATTGCTGGGTTTCCAATCTAATAGGAGGTTGAGTTTGTTGTTGAGGAATGGCTCTGGTGACATATACAATATTGGGAGATGTCAAGAGATCCCTTGTATTGGATTAGGACCTTTATGATTTATGTGGATCTTGGTTGGGTTCTTGGAATTATTGAGTTTGGTAGTAGTTTATCTGTTAATCCATGAAGTCGTTAAATATTTATTATTAAAATTATATGTTTATTTAATGTGATTCATTAATTTTAGTAGGCAAATTTGCAACAAAATATATCAATTAGGATATAAGTCATTTAATAATTGGAAGTACTTTACTTAAGAGTGTAAATTGGTTGTAAAACTATGTTGTATTTACAAACTATTTTCATCATAGTCTCATACGAAAGATAATTTTAATCATTTAGGAATCCTAGAATTACCATATGGTCATTTAATATAGTAAAAGTCATTTCTAAAAATGATTTGAGTACTTAAATCAATACTTATATATTCATATTTAATATGATAATCATTATTAAGGTTTGGCTTCTCCCATGTCTCCTGCACTTCTATTGGCTTTGTTTCTTGATTCGTAATACCCGAATTCGGATGGCAACCTATAACTGCCTGGGGCTGGTGTTCCAGCTGATGCAAAGGTTCATAATAATCATAGTACCTTTGCCAACTGATCCTGTTCTTCTGGATTCCTTTGGAAAACTCCTAACATTCGATGAGTGAAATTTTGAAATAAAATAGTGCCCATCCTTTTGAATTCCTGTCTTGTCTACTGGATAAGTTCCTGGTCCTGGAGCATACAAGTTAGTGGCTGTTCTAATAAATTATTGGATGTTTACAAAAATCCTTAACAAATCTCTTAGAATTCTTGGGATTGAACAAGGTAGCACAAGAGTTATTGTATTTTGATATGGGATACTTGCCAACTGGATTTACAGCTGGTAATGACTCGTAAGTTCCTGGTCCTGGGATCTCTTTGCCAGTTAAAACCATAAAATTGGTCTTGGGTCTCTATCTCATAGTGTAACGTACGTCGCTCAAGGTTGAACCCAAATCATAGGTTCCAGGAGCTAGAATGATATATGGTAAATCTACCTGGAGTCTTTGAATTTAAATTTCCTAGAATTCCTGTGCTTGCCATTTTCTCTCGACTCATGCCAAATTTATTTCCCTTCCCCTTCTTTTGATTGACCTCAACATCACTTGTAATATTGTATTATTATGGAGATGGAGTTGTAAAGGCTACTTTTGTAAAATCAGTTCTTTATAAATATTTAAATCTTTTTACTTTGTTCCTTTGCCTATTCCAGCCGATCGCTTATCAATCTGAGTTGGTAAGTCATAGAAAGCCTTCCCACAACTAATTTTAAATTCACATCCAATACTTAACAGGATTTGCAAGACTGCCAAATCTATCTGATTTAGAAAATGTCCATAAGTTTTTAGCAGTACTGTGATTGAGTGGTGATCCACAAATTTGCTAACAAGTTGAAACAGTTATTGACATGATAAATAAATTAATAATTAAATAAGAATATATTCATATTAATAGAAGTATAATTCTAACAACAATTCTGATCTATTACAATGTGTAAGTAAAATATAAAGCAGAAATTTGATAGTTTTCAGTACTGATTATAGAATTCTAGGATTCCAAGTGGAATAAATTGGAATATTTAGAATTTCTTATAAATTTCAGTGCAAATTAACTAAAAGAGATGTCATATATTACTAAGTGTTTTAGAAATCCATTCAATCAATTCGTTTTGCATTGCACTTCTTGTTACATAATTATATTTAAGTTTAATATCGGTCATTAAATCTTATTTTATGAATAAATATAAATCACAAATTTCAATGATATCCAATAACTCACAAATCCCAACATCAGCCATAAGACAAAACATGCCAATATGCTTTCTGCAAAATAGAATAAAAATTAAAAGAACCCATGCATATTCACAAAGTAATAATAAAAGAAGATAAATCCGAAGATGTATATGATGCATTGTCCTCCATTGATGAATGATATCCATTGCCAATTATAATTGCCCTGATTCAATTGCTTATAAGTTTGGATAATAGATAGACAACCTACTATAATCAATAATTGAATATAGGAAAAGATCAACAAGGTGTATTACTCAAATTATTGATCACTCCATGTACTTTCTAAAATGTAATACAGTTCCATAATGATCGATCTATAACTTAAATGTTTCAATTTACATAAACGGCACAATTCCATATAAGCACCCACTTGATAGAAACTAATAATTAGAGATGAGCACTTTCTTCTTCAACCTTTTTTCAAACAACTCATCTATGGTTCTCAATCGACCTGAAACGCCTCCTATCAAAGTCAAGGGCAAGTACACTACTGTTAGAATGAATCCAACTGAAAATACTGCTGTAAATGAGAGAGTGGATGTTGTTCCGAACAAGAATGAAAGCACATCAATAATAAAGAGAATTGACATTGCAGATATCGGAAAAAGTGCTGCTGCTATGAACAAATTCAATAACCAACTCTTGCCTCCATAAAACTTATAGAACTTCCCCGTATAATACCCGTTGATTGCTACACAAATTAATAATGCATTCAAATACATCCGCCAAAACTATATATGATGATTCCTGCTGATTTTATAGACCCCTTATGAGTTTCAAACAAATCAAATGACCCCAATATTAACAAAATCAGAATTGTTATCAAAAAATGAATGCCTGTTCCAAGTAATGCAGAAAACACGATACGGTTGGTTGGAGGCATCAACGATTCAATCTTGATTGCCTTCCATCCTTAAGGTTCAATCTCATTCTCTTCATCAGGGATATTACTGTAATCACTTAATATTGATCTCCTCAACACTTGGCTGACAATTATGACCAACACTAAAATTAAGATGCTTTTGAAAATTAACAGATTCCACTTGACGCTGTGATCATGGACGACCATTGTCTCATTATACTATTTGATCTAGACTGTGTAGTAGAATCCAATCTCCTTCTTCTCCTCTTATGAATTTATTGATATAAAATCCTTATCATTCGTTGTGATATTAGCATACATCAATCGAGAGTCATTCGACACATACAGATTAAATGTGATTCTATTCTTCAGATAATATTGCCCATCATAAAATCTGCCCACTATATCATGCATTGCAAAATCTGCCAAATAAAACTCGATTTTGTATTCTTAATCTATTGCATCGATCCATTTTCTCAGTTCCGCTTTTGTAAAATTTCTGTCACATACCTGTTTATCTTCTATCTTCTCCTTTGAATTGAACTTGTAAACCGAAGTCATCTATTTATCACCAGATAATGATTGTCCCAAAGATTCAATCACTTCCTCAAAATCACTCGGCTTACAATACGGCAACTCGTAATACGTGTAAGTCTCTGAAGGATTATCTTTGGGTCTTATTGTATTAACATATATCTCAATTGAATTACAGAAAGTAATTAGACATAATAAAACAATAATCATTTAACTAATTAATATTTTTTGAGAATTTAGAGTAGTTCAATTTAAAGTATTGGTTTTTGTAGATAATCGCATAACCCAGAAAGTTCAAATTACATTAAGTTATCCTTCGTATCGTAAGCTGAACAAATCACAATTGCTGTCTTCTTGCATCCCAATGACATTATCTAATATAGACAAATAAACTTACTTCTTTCGAAGTATCAAATCCATTCAATCCTGGTAATTCTATATCCATAAATATGATATCATAAAATGGACATGAGGTTTGTTGCTTTTCCTTCACTCTTTGGACTGCCTAATAACCATCATATGCCTAATCACATTATATTGCAAAATGATTTAAAGTAGCTTTGAGAGCAATCTAATTAAAAATCTAATCCTCAACTATCAAAATCCTTTTACAAGTAGAGTTGCATTCATGTAATTATAAGGTGGATATTTTAAATGAAAAAGTCTTATTTATTCTTATTTACCTTGGACTTTCAAAAGATTTAAATTAAAAATAATTTGATTAAGGTATGATTATTCGTTCGCTGTGATCCTCAATTACATTTGGACTTTCGTATGACTTCAAACCTTCAGACTTTTATATGAGCTTTTCTGAATTCTCATATTGATTAGTGTTATCCTAATAGCAATATTTTCTAACAATAAAATTATCTTCCAATAATTCGGATTAAGATTTATTCCTAGGCATAAATCCACCAGTATTGGATTGATTTCTTGTTTATTCCTTTTAGAACATTTCATCTTAGTCCTTTTGCTAAATTTAATCTTATTCTTTATCCACAATTTAATTTTATTACTTTTTAAATATTAAATCCTATTCCTTATCCAAAATGTAATCTTATTCTTTTTTGAATATTTATATTTAATCTTTTTATAAGAGTGAATCTTATTACTTTTTATTTATTTGATCCTGAATCAAAAAGCTGATGCTGTTACCATCAACAGAATTCGATAACACTTCTACATTGTTATTCTCTTCAATCAAGCCTGATGCCAATCTGGCTGCTAAGTTTAATCCAAATCCTAGTTCTGGATGAGTCATCATGTCGTAACAGCTGTCCAGATCTTGGCTTTTTAGCATTATTTAATTAAATGAGAATTGTTTCTTTCTGTTCATTTGCACAGAATTATTTTCAACAATCACCTAAATGGTTAAATCATCCTTAGCTAGAAAGGTTAGACCCACCTCCCCTCCCTTTATAATATTATTACATTAATGATTAAGGATGTTTAACAACACTTAAACTATTCGCAATTTGTCAGAGTTGAAATACCTGCCAGACAGACTTGATGAAAATCTGATTTAAAATTAGATCTTCTTTTGAAATATATACGGAATGAACACCTATTCAATCTCGTCGATTAAATCATTGATTTAGAATCTGCAGAAAAAATATGCAAATTCATTAAGTTGATATGATAAAAAATCCAAAATATTGTTTATTTAGTATTGAAGAAAAGAAGTTGAACACTTGAGCAATTCTAATCCTTCAGTAATCTCCTATTCTTATTCCTTGGTTACATCACTAACAATTCTTAAGTATTGTTGATTCAAATTGAGAGGAGTTCTTAATTGGAACAGTTATTTTTTAAGAAGATGACAGAATTATTAATTTTTAAGTTCAACCTTTTGGAATTTTTGTTTATAGGTAACATCTTATAGAATTAACACCAATACAGGTTGATTAATTTAATCTCCAAAGATCTAAATATCATTTTATAGAATGGAATCTAGTTGTTAATTAGACATATGTGTTTGTATGATCTTAAGCTTTAAGGATTTGTTTGATTCTAAAGAAAGGTTGAAATGATATTGATTTTGATTATTTTGTGAGACTGGAGATTCTTCAACACTGCTTTTTTCTCCATCATAGGTGCCTTAGTGAAGTTAAAACAAATATTTGTTTTAATTCAGTAGAATATCAAAAATATCGACTTAAACCTTATTTTATTATGCCTTTTTTATTATTTCTTCCAAGACTTATTGATTCATTTCATATTTTCTGTTATTTTAAGTTTGTTAATTAAGTGTACAATTATCCATATTGATAATTTGATTTCTTAAACAATCTTTAAGTTTTGGCAGTATTAACTCTTCATTCTTGCATTATAATAATTTAATGCATTTTTTATTGACAAAATGCAATTTTTATTATTTATTCAGAATAATTATTCCATCTGGTATTATTTGCAAAATTTTGGCTAAGGAAAATCTAAATTAAGAGTCTGATTTATCTAAATCAATAGATTCCTTTTATTTAGCGATTGAAGACAAATCATTGTAGGATTGAGGTTTATTGGAATGGATGCTAAGGTTCCTTATCTTCATTTTGTCTTTGGACTATTCATTAAAATGGCTGGATTCATTTTATTTTATTTTTTTAAATTTAAAATCGCGTATATGTCGATCTGTTTGATCATCATCATTTAGTTACTAAGATAGGCGAATTTTTGCAGAGACTAGAGATTTCTCACCAGCAAAATTAGCAATTACAAACACCAGTATGATAATTACACTTTCTAAAATTGTATAATCAAAGTTGATAAAAACAATTGAGAATAGTCTCAACATAATGTAACATGGATAAAATAACATGAGCAATTAATATGAGATTTATTTAGACACCATTTCTTTAATAATATATGTGTTAGTTGCTATGAACAGTGTGTTAGTATAATGAGAAAAAGGATTAAAAACTTGGTAATAGAGTAGATTTATTTCAGTGTAGATGACAGTATCAACGAGGATTAGTAATAGCATCGTTAATAGTTTACTTGAATTTAAATTTTTTCTAAATTGTATTAACAATCCTATTTTAATGAGGATCGATGCAGAAGACAATCCTATGATGATAATGTATTGATCTTATTAGAAAATGACGCATAATGTTATCCACCAAATGCATTACATTCCTTCTAAAATTAAAATTATGTTCGTATTCATTATTAATATTAAATTTTTCTAGCAAAAAATATTCTGAATAATCATTAAGTTGAAAAAATTACTGAACCGACGAAAATAAGGGCTTTAAGAAGTTCGAAGTATTATATAATGAATAAAAAGATCAAAAAAAATTCCTTTTAATTTAAAAGAGTTACTTCAACACTACTTCCAATTCGTCCTACTTTACAGGTTTTGGAAGAAATGTGGAGATCCCTACTTTTTGTCCTTCAATAAAATTTTCCTAAGTATCATAGGCCGAACAAATCACAATCATTGATTGGTATTTTGTCAATTCATTGATCTATAATAGAACTAATAAATCTTACTTGTTTACTAGTTTGAAATCCATTGATGCCAGGCATTTCAATATCCATGAATATTAATTTATAAGTAGAACAATGTTCCGAAAATTTTGCTTTCACTTTTTAAATTGCTTTTAACCCATCGAATGCTTGATCTGCTTCTAACTAGTAATGTTTGAGCATCAATTTGAGTGCTATTTGATTAAATGGAATATCATCAACAATTAAAACATGAACACACTTATCACACAATGACGTTGATTTTTGAATAGAATCTGTACGCAAAATGTTTTTATATGAAGAAATGAATTTATGAGAGAAGTACTCAGGACTTATCGGTAAAGATATCTAAGGTTGTTTTGCATAATCATTTAATTGAGGAGTATTCAATGATGATTCTGATTCATATACAAAATTCTCCTAAAACTGACTATCTTAATTCATTGCTTTAATAATCAATCTATCATCGAATTTTCTTTCACTTAATGTGCCCTAAATACCTGATTAATTAAATCTTCCTGTCAATTAGGATACTAAATTAGATTAAAATTAATCATTTGTAGCATTTATGAAATTCTAAACTTAAAATTACACCTTTGTTCCTTGGTTTTTTATTGAACTGATGAACAATTAATTATTATTCTATTCAACCAACCCTTCTACCAATTTGGCTGCTATATTCAAGCCTAAACCTGCCTTTTAAGTCACTTGTTGAGTTTTTAATCTTGCACCAAACTCCAAATTACCATTCAAACTATTTTGAATCAAAGTTAACTTATCATCTTCAATTCCAATACCATTATCCTTCACTTAAATTTTAATAAAGTATTATCTACTTTACTTAATTGTGAGTTTAATCTTCCCTCCCTCTTTCGTGTATTTGGCAGCGTTATTTAACAAGTTAACCAGTATCTAAAGAATTCGTTATTTATCATTAGAAATGATTGCATCTCTCAAAGGCTGTTTAACTTTAATGTTGAATCTGATTTATTTGTGTCTCATTTGAATTTTATAGAGATTCTCGATTTCTTGAATGATCTAATTGATTGTGAACTTATTGATGCGATACGAGAACGAGAAAGATTATATGGCAGCATAATCAAGTATATCATTAATTTAATGGATCAATAAGGTAATAGAGCACATGGCTATGTCTATATATTCTAACACAGACTTCTCTATGACTTGATTCTTGATTAGGTTTAACATATGTTAACATGAATTCAATGGGGTTCTTAATTCATGAGAGAATGATTTGATTAGACTATGGTGGATAATCTATTCATCCTTCATTTATTGGTACTTGTGTTTACTAGTAATATTCTTAATCATGATGAGTAGGACTGGTATCTCTGCATCATTACTTATTTAGATATTCAATTTACTGGAACACTTATTTTATGATGGAAGAGATATGTATTCTTATTATTGGCCAGTCATGAAGGTGGGGATGATGACTAATTTGAGTTTCTTTTAATTGATTTTATTCAGTGATTCAGATTCCATTAGCCATTCGTATATAAACACTTACTGTTGGAATGTCAATTAGTCAGTTTTCGAATCCTCCTAACTACATGGCTCTGCTTTTTAATCTATAATTCCATAATATTTTTAAGGATAAAGCATAATATCTAGAACATCTGCTCTTCTGTTTTCCTTCTGTAATTTCTTAACTATCCTTTGGAGAGTGTATTAATTAATTTACCTATTTTATTTGGGGGTTTACAAAAAATTAGAGACTTCACTCTCATTGTCTGACATTTTGGCATCGTTAACACATATCTTTATCTTCTCCAACACTTGATCCCCTCCTTAACATTCTAATAGTTTTTCACATTTATTATTCATATAACTGACTTATTAGAATTGATTCAATATCAAAATGCCTTATGGAAATATATTGATAAGGTTTTAGTAAAATATGTGTAACTGTAAATCTGATTTTTCAGAACTAGATCCCTTGTTATTCTTGTTGGATTTTGATAAATTGGTTAAATTTGATAATAATCCCATTTTCGAGTCACTTTGTTGGTCTTTCATTAAAATGCTTTAACTTTTCAGCGGAGTTTGGATCAGTGAGGCTCTACTTAAGGATTTTAGTAAAGATTATTGTTGATAATGAGGTGATTCCTTCTCTTCCACTATTTTCAATTATAATTCTGGTACTCTGGCATTTATCTTAGGTTTGACTTTATCTTAGTTATTGTTCACGCGAATTCGCTCAATTGATTAATCTGCTGTTAACAAATATTAAACTAAAACAACGATTATTATTAATAGGCTTTCTAAGGAATAATAACTAAAAGTAATAAATATGATGGAGATTAGTCTTAATATAATATAAAATGGAAGTCCCAACTTACAAATCTAACTCCACTTCTACACTGCGAATTTCAAATATGAATTGTAGGTAACAATTATTAATAAACTGTTTGAGAAGATGCTCAATGAGTAATCATTCTGAAATAGCAGCAAAGATTCAACATACGTCACGTAGTAAAAAAGAGATACTATATGCACAAATAAAAACAAACCATAATTTCTGGCGATCAATATTTATTATAATATCCTCATGGTGACACACACTATTTGTAAATAAAACACAATGTAGTCATTTGGCTAGATCAAATACAAAGCCATTATCATCCACCATAAACTTTGGAGAATATTGGCAATCAATATTATATGTGTTGCAAGTAGTTTGAATAGTTTCATGAAGTAATAAATATGTCTCTATTTATTAAACAAATTAAATTACTGAGAGTTTTAAGAAAAACACGATTTTTGTTATAAAGCCAAAATATTTAATTTAGGATTCAAAATTTAAGAATAAGGGATCAAAATGTTAATTTTGAGTCAGATAATAAAACTGTTGTTGTATTAATAATTATTAATTCTTTAGTAAAAAACATACATACATTAAAACTTTGTTCAAATTTTGAATAAATACTTTTTTAGGATTTTATCTAACTCTTTCTTATTTACAGGTTTTGGCAAGAATTCAGTAATTCCTACCTATTGGGCACAATTATAATTTTCAAGAGTATCGTATGCAGAACACATAACGATTATTGATTGGACACCTGGCATCTAAGAGATCTAATTATATATAGAAGTACTCTTACAATTTTAGAAGTCTAAAAACCATTTTACCCTGGCATTTCAATATCCATGAATATCAATCTATAGTACTTGCAGTGTTTTGTCAATTTCTATTTCACCATCTCAATGGCTTGGTACCCATCAAAAGCAGATTCGGCATTTATTTTGAAATAATTCAATGTCTAAATGAATGCAATTTGATTGAATGGGATGTCATCAACTATTAAGATTTATGAGCAACTTTCACAATTATTATTGGCATTTATTTGAAAAGATAATAGTGAACTCTACTTTTTTTGCTATTGAGTAAGATTGCCTTTGAAAAGATACGAACTTATGGGAATAACCACTGAACTATGTTAATCTTCATTGATTCTGGGACTCTCTAAATGTTCTTTAAGTATGGTTGATTCATTCTGGGGACTTTCAAATTTCTAGTGCAGACTTTTCATCAAAGATTCCGATTTTGGGATAAGATGGGAGGATGAAGCAGGAGACAATATTTCAAATCTGCCAGTGATATTACTTTGTTATGGAGATAACAAGCATTCTTAATTCGTGATTTCTTAGTTTTAAAATAGGAAAGACACTTAGGTTCCATTATTGGTACTTGAGTTGATGTCCAAATATGTTTTATTATACGTTAATCCTTTGATGATCTTGCCTGCTATTTTTAAACCAAATCCAAGGCCAGAATCTTAAGATATTTGAGAGGAGGGTTTACAGAAGGATTTTCTAAGTTATTCCAACTTATTCGATTAGATTCCAATGCCATTATCTCGAACAGACACTTCGATTAAATTGCCTTTCATTTGTTTAAATAGTATGAGAATCTCACCACCAGGCTTTGTAAATTTACAAGAGTTATTTAATAAGTTAACCAAGACCTACATAATTCTTTGTTTGTCATTGATGAAAAATTGATTTTATAAAGATTAATCATATTCGATTTCTAGTTTGATATTTTTATAACTTACTTGTTGATCATACAACTCGTGGATCTCTTAAATAAAATCCTTGATACAAAAAGTAGTTGTATGATAAGAGAAAGTCTTTGATTACATAGCAGCAAAGTCTAAGATATCATTTATTTAGTAGATTAACAATTTAATTGAACTTTATGCTGTGTTGAGGTATTGCTCTATACGTTCATCTTTTGAGACCTCCTTGATCAAATTCAGCATATATTAGCAACTATTCAAGGGAGTTCTCAATTCGTGTGAAAAGGACTTCAAGAGTGAGTTATTAATTAGTCTCTCCTTTTTCAATTCCCTCACTCTATTCTTATGTGTAGTATTCTTAATTAAGATCAGTAGAATAGGTTGAGGCATATCGTTGCTACTTTACTTTTTTGAATTGGTCAGACCATTTTATGAGATGGCTTCCTATTAACTCAACGTCATTGAAGTCTAGACTAAAATAAACTTAAGCTTCTTAGATTGATCACACTTCTCCTTATCAATTGAGCCTTCAAAGCAAAAAGTGTGTTCCTGTAATTGAGATGGATCAGAAAAGTAAATTGAGCCAGAACTACTTCTCTCTTGTTCAAATGACCCATTCTACACAGAAAACAAGGGCTAGATGTATTTGTTCGGATTCAATAAGACATCAACAATATCTAATTCCTGACAATTCTACTTATAAATTCTGATTATTTCTTCCAGAACTCTTTATGTCAATTTACTTTTTGTTTTGGTTAGAGATTAAACTTCCTCTGGTAAATCGCAATTAGCCAAACACCTTTTGATGTATTCTAGCACTCTTTCCTTCCCATCACATTCCAATAGCTTTTCACATTTTGAACTAATGAATTGAATTTGCTAAAACTTATTTAACATTATAACTCCTTCTGGCAAAACGTTGACAAGATTCTAATAGAAATTTTATAGTTAAGAGTCATTCCTATCGACTACTAAATGTGAATATTAGCTTTTGAAGCCTGGTCTAAGTTTAGAATGAAATGTAGGAATGGGAGCACTTTCTTCTCTGTAAGAGTCTTTGATGTTAATTTAAATACTATTTCTGGGCTAAGAATTTTTGTCAGGTTAGAGAATGAGTTTGTTTGAAGTTTAAGTGAAGCGCTTTTCTTATTTCAGTTATGAGTGATGCATAGAGGCAGAACAATTTTATAAGGATTGGTCTAATTTTGGATTCGATTGTGTTTAATTTATATGGTCATCCTATTTCGAAAAGAACACAAATAAAAACATGGCCATTAAAGTAGTAGCCTCACACAGTTGGATGTCGAACTGTATGAATATTAGGGAGATCAATCTTATTAGGATATAAGTAGGAAATGCAAATCTTGAGAGCAGATCCAGTGATTAACTTTTTATGAGTGTTTGAGCCTCTATGTAATTTAGAAGGATGACTAAAGTGTTGATATGATTTAAATATAAATTCTGGCTTTCAAAGTTAATATTGGCCTCAGTGTAGCACACATTATTGGCTAAAGTAGTTAGCAGAATAAATCGGTCGTACTTCTAGTGTTTTTTTAAGTATATTATAGAGGCAAGCAACCTTGTTGTTATGCATAATGAACACAAAAAATAATATGTGTAATTTGATGACTTTTTAATAAATTACATTTCGACAATCCACCAGATGTTTTAAATAACTTGTATAAGGAAAATGTATTTATGATTCATTATCCGGGCTTATCCTAATATTGAATTTATTTTATTTAAATATGTGAAAATTCTTTACAAATAGCAAATACAGTATTATACTTATTATTGATTAGCTAATACAGATCTAATTTAATCAGATAAATTATTATTTAGATTGATTAATTTATACTTTTTGTATACGCCCATTTACATACTACCTTAATAACAATCTAAAATAAGTGGAGAAATAATAAAAAATATATCATATCAAACTAAATTGTCTTAAAATTCGTTCTAAGTCCTTTAGGTGAACAGGTTTTGGTAGAAACTCAGAAATTCCCACCTCCTCTCCTTCCCTAAAGTTTTCTTCCGTGTCATAAGCTGAACACATCACAATCTCAGTAGAGCCTTATGTAATTTCAAGTATCTAATATATAATAAATAAATTTCATTACTTCTCTTGTTGCTTAGAATCCATTAATTCCTGGCATTTCAATGTCCATAAAAATCAAAGCATAATATTGACAGTGTTTTAATGTTTATTTCTTAACCATTTCTATGGCTTAATATCCATCATATGCTTAATCTGCCTAGATTTTATAATGTAACAATAATGCCTTCAGAGCTATCTGATTGAATGGGACATCATCCACAATTAAAACTTGGATGCATTGAGTGCACAGTTAACAAGTGCGACTTTGGGTTTGAGATTTGTATCTAAAATAGTCAGGACTAATTGGCAATTCTATATTATATATAGCATTGTCAACCATTTCAAGGGAACTTTCAGTTTAACTTGCTGGCATTAGTTTGTAGAATCTACTCTTTGTGTTTTTGCTCTATTTTGAAGGAGACATGATTTCATGACTTTTCGAATTCTCTGAATATTGTCTTAACAAACTTTAACCTCCCTGTTCTAATTGACTAGGCTCATTTTATGAGATCATTTATTTATAAGTATTATGTTTGTTAGTATATTCAGAGATCATTGGATTTCTTAATGTTTCATCTCTGAATGACATCTGGTATTCTATTTTAAAGTATATTTTAGTTCCTTAATTTTTGTGCTTGGAATTGATCTCTAAAGTGCCATCATACTTCTAAACTAATCCTTCAACTATTCTAGCAGAAATGTTTAATCCTACTCCGAGACTCTTCTTTATTCTTGAACGATGAAGACTCTTTCCCATAGAGCTGGTCAGAACCTTTCTTAAGGTTGACAGCTATTCAGTTCCAATACCAATGCCTGAGTCTTTCACTTGGATCTTGATTAAGTGATTTTCAATTGGTTTGATAGATAATACTATTTTACCACCTTGAGGTGTAAATTTACTAGAGTTGTTTAGCAAATTGATAAGTACCTGCATGATCCTCTGTTTGTCAGATCGTATATTCAAATTTTTCACTCTATCATCTATTTTGATATTAAATTCTATTTTCTTAGATTCCAATTAATTGTTGTAAATATACTTAATTTCTTCTATCAACTCTTACATGTTGAATAGAGTGAATCTATATTTAAAAGTATTCGATTACATAGCCGCATAATCTAGAATGTCATTTATTTAGTGAATAAGAAAGATAATAGAAACATGGGCTATTTCAACATAATCTAGCAATTTTTAATCCTATATCCTGTCCTTAATTATCAGTAACATATCCTAACAACTATTTAAGGGTGTTTTCAACTCATGAGAAAAGGATTTTAGTAGAGTGTTGTGAGTCTCCTTTTCCTTATTCATCTGCTCAATCTTGTGTTTCTTAGTGATATTCTTGATTTTGATAACAATGATAGGCTGAACTGCATCAATGTTGGTATTCTTGTTAATGAGGACCTTCTGTAATGAGGGTTAAGAAAGTTAATCCTGCTAAGAAGAAGTCATATAGGTTGGAATGATTACAATTCTTAACTTCTTAAGAGAGCTCCCCTCTTGATTGATGATGTGTTCATAAGTAACAGCATCTTTCCTTTGGATAAATGTCTCATTGAATGATTCGGACATACTGCTTCTCTAATCAAATTCATAATTTGGAGAAACTGTTTAATACAGTGAATTTAAGTACGTTTGAGGATGTAAAAAGGCATCAAAGATATTTAACTCCTATTGATTGTTCCGATGTTGCTTTAGTATTCTTTCAAATGTAGCCTTATTCATTTAAGCCTAAGATCGAGGAGGAATCGAAGCCAAAGGTGATTCATCATCTTCTAATAAAGAATTCTCTAGTATAATTTTTTTGATACTGTCCAATACTTTATCAGTTCCTCTTTATCCTAGCAACTTTTCACACTTATTGTTCATAAAGGTCACTTTTTAATGTTAATTCAATATTATTACTCCTGCAGAGAAAATACTATTTATTAAATTCTAGAAAAATGTGTGAAGAGGCTGATCTGCTTTATCAACACTAACAATTGAAATTTTTTTATTAAAACTCTTTTTCTAATGCATTAATGGAAATTAATTCTTTATATTGTCCTCGGTTGTATAAGGCTTATTATATAAAGGAATGCTGGAAAAGACTTCTTGTTTATCCTAAGGTTATTGTGAATAATGAGTCCTGCTTTTTTTGAGTGATGCTCCTAACGACTGTCTTCTGGAATCTTATTGAACAAAAGTCATAAATTGAGAATTGAAATTATGTTGATCACTTAAATTAAGTTACTTTGTAACACTTTAGGTTCCATCAATCTTTTACATTATTAGGTCTTGGGTAACGAAACATAAAAATATCAGATTGATGAGACAGCTTTCCAATATTGTATAATTGGATTAAATGAAGGTGATGGAAAGCGTTCTTAGAATTGAATAAACTGGAAATCCCAATTTTGATATAATTTGAATATTCTGCGATTAATCTGCGTTTGCATAACAATAGTTGGCTATAATCATGATGGAATTTGAATGATTTACAAATGGATTATTCATCGGCATTCTTATACTTACTTCCGTATACAAACAATTAAGGAGCAAATATAAAATTTGATATAGAAGTGTTTCCTTCACCCATTTCTCCAGTGCTATAAGAATTATCCGAATTATGATGATTGCTATAGATAGACCACAAATGAAATATTCATTAGGATCATAAAAAACCAATGACCCGATAATCCACCAAATGTTTTGGATGATTTGTGTATAAAACAGTATTTAATAATTCATAAATTAATATAAACATATTTGATTCATCTTTAGAGAAAAGGGTAAAAACTTCAATTAACAATATAAACTATATTATTCTGTTTATTTTGATTTCTAATTTTCTTAATTTATAAATTAGCCTTAAAAATGCTGAAAATACAGGTTTGATCATCTTAAAGTAATAAGTAACAATATAGTTTAATGAGCTAAATATATTAAAAATGGGAATTTCAGAAACGCAAATAATATAAGTTAGACCACAAAAAGTGATAGCAAATTAATATATAAATTAATATGATAAATTAATAGAATGTTAATCTATAAAGCAATGTTAAGATTCAATCCATATTAGGCTTCATACCAGCTCTGGTGTTTTAGCATATACTTGAAAATCAGATTAAGGGAATTAAACAACACGTCCCAGAAATCCAGTCATTCAAGAGTGTCATCATGTTCGCAGATATCTGTGGATTCACTAACTTGACAGAACAACTTTCTAAAATAGGTCCGGAGGGATCAGAAGTGATAGCATTTGCAATCAATAGATATATGGAATTACTGATAAAATCAATCTCCAAAAGTGGAGGTGACATTTTCAAATTTGCAGGCGATGCCATTATAGTAGTATGGCCACCTCCTACAGGATCAAATGATAAAGACGAATAACTCAAAGTCCTGCTGCGATAAGGAATATAAAGTGCCTTAGACATTTAGGCTAAATTAAATGATACCTTCATCTTAGAGAATATAAAATTATCGGTCAAAATAGGTTTTGGAGTAGGAGATATCAACATTTTATATGTAGGGGGAGTGTTCAACAGGAACGAATTTCTAGCAACAGGTTAGGCTCTGATCTAGGCTTTCGAGAGCGAACATTGTGCCACTAAAGGAGGCTAAGTAATAATATCTAAGGATGTATTCGATATGGTGGGATAGTACTATAATTGTCTAAAAGTGGAGGATCGTTAGTCTTACTTTGTGAATTTCAATAAGGGGGCTAAAGTATAGAATATTTCAAATGCTCTCTTAATTAAGAGTAACATTAGTGCTCAATCCTTCGAATCAATAAAGAGTCAATTAATAAGATATATTCCTGCTGCCTTATAGTAATACATCTATGTAAGTATGCGTATAAATTTAGGTAGATTAGGAAAAGTGGAGTTCTGAATTAAGGATATTAACAATAATGTTTATTAATTTGAGTATTGATTTGTCAGCAGCTCTCACTTCTAATGGGTTAAGTCATATTTAATAAGTTGTAGAAGCTGTATAAAAATCAATATATGCATTCTAAGGATCTCTCAATAAAATCTTAATGGATGATAAGGGATCAACATTGATAGTAGTATTTGGTCTACCTCCTATGGCTAAATAGGATGATCCTGCTAGAGCTGTGATGACTGCTATTACGATGAAATAGGAATTAGATGCAATCAATTGTGGATGTAAAATTGGCATATCAACTGGATGCACTTTTGCTGGTGTAGTCGGAACTAGTGGTTCTAGAAGAGAGTATTAAAAATATCAATTTTATCTATAGATACTCAGTTATTGGAGATGCTGTTAATCTTGCAGCTAGACTCATGCAAATTGCATGTAAAGATGATCAACATTCCATTTTACTTGATGTTGAAACATCAAAGGAAGCTTCATATAAGATGAATATTTCTTTTTATAAATCAGTTATGGTAAAAGGAAAAGCAGACTAAGTCAATATCTATTACCCAGAAGTCAATCTGGAGTTGAATAAAATTAGAATTCATAACCCTTTCTTTCCAAGACTTCTCGATAATTATTTATTTGATATTAGCAATCTAAGATAAATCTAGAGAAGAATTCAATAATTTCAACTTCAAAACGAATCTAATGTGCTACTGAAAATTTCTGGAAATTAAGGATCTGGGAAATCCTATTCTGTTAAATAAAGCATAGATTTATTCTAGGAGAATTTTAACTTTGTATAGATTAGATTATGTTCCTTTTTACAGAAGGAACAACAATATTTGTACGCTATCAAAATTATATTCCAACACTTCCTTAAGTAAATTGCCATCAAATAAAATAAAGCTTATGACATTTAGTTATTCAATGAAATTTTTAATTAATAATATGATCAGCTCATATAACTATTTGACTTTCAACCTATTAGTTAAATCGAACTATTTGACAAGCAATTTAAAAATAACAACAATTCTTAAGAAATCTTAGATATTCAACTAGTCAAAGAAGGTATAGATGTATTATTCAAGAAATTTCAATCTATCACCAACCATCATAAGTAAATCTTTGTTTTAGATGATGGTCATAACATAGATGAAGATACCCTAAAGATCATAAGACATTTTATGAAACACAATTAATTTATCTTGCTCATATTTATATTCAGACATGATTACTTTGAGTAATTCTAATTTCAAGAATAACATCAGACTCAAATTCAAATGATTGAAGATGGATTAGAATCTATAACATCAAAATTAAATGACATCAGCAATTTTGAACACATAAGTTTCAACAATATTTCATTATATGACTATTAGGTTTTGTTAGCTGATTTATTTCGTATCAATAAGATTAGATGTTCAAAGAATCAAGAGTCATCCAATTCAATAGACAAAAACATTTTGCATTATGAATACATCAAAAATTAATTAATACAATCAAATACCCAAGAATTTTTCTTATAAACCATCTATCGAAAAACCCAAGGCAACCCTCTCACCTTCATTACTCTAGTATAAATTTATTAATTATTAGATTGAAAAATTGTTGAGGTGCAATTACTTGGTTGCCGATAATTAATAATAAGATGTAGTTATAGTAAATGACTCTCTATTAAACATATTGAATCTAGATGAGTTTATTATACTGGAGGCTCCCTTAAATAAGTTTAGACTTAACTCACCCTATTTGGACAAGGTGGGGTGCTTAGACTTGTTGATACTCAAAGTAGCCTCTATAATTGGAGACATCTTTGACGTACAAACACTCAATAAGATACAACCATTCAAGGAAGTCATATAAAAAGAAAATTTGATCAAGATTTTAAATAGCTTAGAAGAATTGGAAATCATAGAAACCATGGAACTTAATGATTTGAATAAGTATTACAGATTTGCTAAACCATTCCTAAGAGAAATCATCTACTAAAGATTACTGTTTTCTTAAAGGAGAGAATTACATAAATATTATGCACAAGCATTATAAGAGATTCCATCTTAGTTTGAGATAGATGAAAAATTGGAGGCCCAAAGATTAGAGCACACTTGGATTCTGGCTGAATAAAAGTGGAATAGTTAATCAAACCTGAAGCCAAGAGGGTTAGAATTATCTCATAAAGCTAAAAGATCTATAATAATCAAATCGATATAAACTAAATTAATAGCTAAAACTAACAATATCAAACTTGGTTTATTGAAAAAGAAATCAGATAAGAATGTCACTTGGGCAGAAAGATATTGTTTAATGACTCAAAAAGAATTAAAATATTATTACAGTGAATAAGACTATCATCGATAACCATAGAATGCTTTGGCCACTATTATGCTTAGCAGTATTTATTAGATTGTTCCACTTAATGATAAAGAAAAAGTTAATTAAAAGTATGCTTTTGAAATTAGAACAGGTAATTGGTTTAAAAGATAAAAATTAATGCCAAGAAGAGACTTCTACTTTTCAGCATCAAGCGAAGAACTAATGGAAGAATGGACTATTTATATTGAATTTATGAGAGTCAAAGCCACTTATGATGAATTTGTCAATAATTTTGGGAAAATCTAATTTCCAATTGCCAACTTTAAAGAATTCTATGATATGAGTTTAGGAACTGAAATGAATAATTATTAGCAAAAGCAAATAAAAAATAAGAATAATAAATCTAGTATCATTTAGCCTTAAAAAAGAAACACTGTCTTGTCGATCAATAGTTTTTTTAAATAATCTGTTGTTGAAAATAAGCAGAAGTAAAATAAAGAAGAACTTAAACTATTAATTTCTAAATTTCTAAAATAAAGCCAACTATTACTATTTACTCATATGTTTGAGAATTCAATACAAACCAAAAATAGGATTATTTTGGGCTAAAATACAAAGGCAATGTTAAGCTTTGGATAATTCTTTATTAAAACTGTATCAGAATATTCATAGTAATAATAATAAGAGAATGAGACTATTTAAACTGAGGAATCTCCTTAAACTAGACCTAGAGCAAGTTTGTTTATTTCGGAGTAACTAATGTTAGAGAAATAAGCTGAGTCTATATCTGGAAGTATTAGAAATACAAAACGAAAATAGACAACTGACTAGTATTATAATAAGAGATCAAAAAGTTCAGAACTTCTTGTTTAGTTAAATGAAAATTCAAATTTGGAATAATAATAATAAAGTTGAGTATATTTAATTTAAAAATAGATAATCAGTAATTAAATTTAGTTATTGTTACTACTTTCATAAGGTCGTCATTAAAATTTGAGATTTCATAAATGAAAACAATTTTTTATCGACATAAAAAACATTCTTTGCTTTTTTGTGCCATTTCCAATCCGCACTTATAACAAATTCCTCCATGACCACATATCATTAAGACTGCGTTAGGTGGATTTTCACAACATATAATACATTTCTAATTAGATTCATTTAATTTATTTTAGTTATCTTGTAATTACTTGGATTCAACTTCCGTAGTTTATAGTATTTTTTTAGTTTGTCCTCTTTCAGTCATCAAATCCGTAGTCTTTTGAGATTATTAAAGCAAATCCTCTTTAGTTGTCAATCTAAAAAATGCTGATGAGAGCTTTTTTAAAATTATTTAATGAACGGCCTTCCTTTTTTCAAACTACTTTTATTAAATGACTTATATCGCAGGTAATTCTCTTTGTGATTCTATATCATTTGTTTGTGATTATAATATATCAGCACAATAATCAATAACAGAGCCCCAAAACAATTTAGTAAGAGCACAAAATATTAATAAGTTGAAGGAAACTGTAGAATAAAACAGTACTTCCCCTATAACCATCGGCATATCCAATCCTAAGATATTGAAAGTGTTGATAATCCACATGATAGAGAGAGCGCTGCTTATGATTGAAATGTAGAGAGCCCAAAGGAGAGATTTATCTAATATTAATAAATGTTTTACATTCTTAAGGAACTGTCTGATATTGCTTGAAGATTTCATTAATAATTTTTGATAGAAGTAGAATAATTAAAGTAAAGCTTGTACCAACTAAAGCGCTGAGAAACATCCAGTACCACCAGAAAGCTTAAGGCCAAGTCCATTCAACGTATTTACTAAGTTTTAAGGAAATGCAAACACTGGCTATCAGTTATGAAAATCTATAAAAGGTTTTTAACTATATTATTATGAATTTATTTGTTACAAATCTGATGATCGAAGAATACTCATGCGTTATTTATGATTAGCAACTTTCTTTAGTTCTGATAACGAAGGATAGAAGGAAAAATAGATTTCCAAATATGTAATATTGAAGGTTTGTGTAATAAAGGATGATTACAAAGTTCTTGAGTAATATTTGTGGAAATTACGTATGCCATAATGTGTAGAACATGGTCAACCATCTTGACGATTTCTTTGTTTGAATAGTAATAGCAGGTAAAGATTTCTTAGGTAATGCTCAATCCTAGGGGTATTGCAAAGGGAATTCGATTATATTGGAATAGAGTAAATAACAATGCAAATAAGTTAAAGTAAATGTAATGTATGCAGAAATAAGATATAATTTTCTTTATTTTGGTTCTAAAATATAATTGATATTACTTTTAGATTAACATTCGTTTTGATATTCAATAAATAATTTATTTGATCATCGAAATATTTTATGTTATAATTGATGTGTATTTATATCATTAAATCCTTTGAGCACTCATTCTAATTTGACTGCCTTATTAATCCATGCTCTTTCTGGAATTACCTAGCCTATTGGTTGATTTTCTTCTAAGGACACTTGTCAAAGAGGTGTCCATATCTCCTGATTGAACTTCCTATTCTCTAAACAACTCAACAAATTAACACCAACGTTCAGGGATGGCAATTTTGACAAGAATTGAGAATATGATGCTGCCCACACCAAATCCAAGACATAAGAGGTGTTGTTGTAAAGTTAAATGAGAAACCTTTACAAATTTGCCTCCATATTAGATGAGCACGCATTAAATAATCAACGTAAAAGTTTGGACACCCCAGAACAGAGGGTTATTGCAAGCATTCGCAAATGGATTGATGGTCTTGTAATCTAGTTGTCTGCAAGATATGGAATTGAAGACTTGCATCACAACAAAAGTCTAAAAGAAAATACTCATTTGGACTACATTTTTGTGGAACTAATATTGAATGAATAATTAATATACTTTCTAACCAACCAATTCTTCAGGTATAGACAAATCCATAAATTAGGGGAGGATGAATAATATGACACACAGAACACAAATCTAATATATGGATCCACCGACGATTGTTCTATTCATCGTGGGTGAGACAATCTTGTCATCTCTTTTGTATGGTTATCTTTCAAGAACAGTAATATTGGGAGGTTCAGTTGCCAAGGCCAAAGAAGCAAAGGTATCCATAATAAGATTAACCCACAACATTTCTATTGTGTTCAAGGGGGATTCCTTAAGAACAACAGCTCCTAAAAAGGACATAAACAGAGCAACCAAATTGACAGTCAATTAAAATTAGATGAACTTCCTTATGCAATCGTATATGTTTCTACCCCATTTCATAGCTAAATCTAAAGATTACAATACCTGTAATGATAGAACTAAAGTTATCATCCAATAAAATGATATCAGCAGCATCTTTGGCCACATCGGATCCTGTAATACCCATAGCAAATCCAACATCTGCTTTCTTTAAGGCTGGAGCATCATTAGTACCATCTCCTGTGACTGCAATAACATTGCCTTCAGCAATCAAACCAGTAACAAGTATATATTTATCTTCTGGAGATGCTCTAGCCATGACCTTCATATCCCTACTTACTCTGGCGAAGTTTTCTTTATTACCTACAACTTTCACTGTTTTTCCATCAACTTATTCATCCTTTAATCCTCCAACAAATTCTCTAAACTTCTTACCTTCCACAACTTCCCATTCACCAATTTCTCTATTTGTTGGCAGGATTCCACATTCTTTAGCGATGGCAGTGGCAGTAAGGATGTTGTCTCCAGTGACCATTCTGACTTTGACACCGGATTCATGACATTATTTGATTGAGTGAGGAACATCAGGTCTAATTGGATCTTTGATACCTGCAATAGCAATCAATACTAGATCTTTATCTAGATCATCCTCAGGGATATTTTATGCTATTTTAGTTAATTATGTAATTTATCCTCTAACATTTGACCCATGTGATTAAGGATCAAGATCTCTATAAGCAATGGCAATTGTTCTCAAAGAATCTGATGCAAACTTTTGGATAATATTATCATAGATATTCTTTCTCAATTAGGGGTCTAACATTTATTCAATACCATTGTTTCCAATGTATTTGTTGCATTAAGACAATACTATTTCAGAGGCACCTTTAGTATAGACTCTAATGTATTATGATTTTTAATTGAAAATAACTGTGCTCATCTTCTTTCTTTTACTGTTGAATGGAATCTACCTTAATACTTTATCACTTGGTCTGAATTGATTAAAATTATATCCAAAATTATCTGCACATTCCAACAAAGCACATTCTGTCTTATTTCCTATTTGAACCCATTTGTTGGTTTATGGATCTTTTTCAGGAAATGCGTTTGAATTATAGCAAATACTTTCACACATGAGCTCAATTGAATCTTTCTTGATTTTATTTTTATTAGTATGAACTTAATCTTTATATGTTTGGTTTTCAGTCCACAAAGCTACAACTTACATTATGTTTTAAGTTAGTGTTCCTGTTTTGTCACTGCAAATGTTATTGGCTCCACCCATTATTTCACATGACGACAAATTCTTAACCAAATTCTATTCATCCTTCATTTTACCCACTGAATATGCTAATGCAATTGTAACAGCCAATGGTAATCCTTCTGGCACTGCAACCACAATGATTGTAACAGCAATCATGAAGGATTCCACTATGATCTGTAAGGTCTTTATGCTTAGGAATGGAAACTTACCCTAATAACAATCATATCCTAAATGTCCCATCAGAGCAATAAATGTCAAAATAGATACTAAAACACCCAATTTACCTATATCTGAAGCAACTCCTTCTAATTTCTATTGCAAAGGAGTTGGAGGATTCTCTTGAATCAATAATTGCTTCAATTTCCCTGACACTGTATTTTAACCCACTTTATTATATTAATAAGCTTGTACCTGCCAATACAATCATTTGCCCTGTTCCATCAAGGCATTTTGTTCCAGATATTAAAAATGGACTTACATGTCCTCTTGCTGCCTCTTGATTTACATTCAATTGATTGTGTTGTTGTTATGCCATCTCAAAATATGGTAATTTCTTGATCTCATCACTCTCACCTGTCATCGGCGATTCATCAATTTTTACTGCACTTCCTTAAACCATCAAACCTATTTTATTGATACACATTTATTACCATCGACAACGAACAAATCACCTAAATTGAAAATTAACAAATCTCCAACCACTATATCCTTGGTTGCTATTTCCGTTACTTTACCATCTCTAATGACCTAACATTTTCCATCATCCAATTTCCTACGTAACTATCGAAATTGTCTCTCCTTTAAGAAGTTGTTTCCTGCTGTTATTGAAATAATCAAGAATATAGCAAAAAATATCGTTGCACTAAGATTATTTCAAATTGTAGTACCCTTCAGTCCATCCTGTTTTGACTCCTTCGTTGATCATACCAATTACAGTCGAAACCAGTGCTGCAATCAATAAAATCTATAGCATTGTGTCCCCCAAACATTCCATTATCAATTCACATAATGTTGTTGGCTCCTTCTCAACAGGTGTGTTGTCCCCATACAATTACTTTGACTTCTCTATTGCACTCTTGTCTGAAAACCCTTTCTTATAAAATTACAATTATGCTTACCTTCAAATCTGTATTTAATTTCCTTGCTATTCCATTATCATCTCCGAATTCTCTTACTTTTTGGATGCTGGATCCATCGTTGATTGAGTTCAACTTAAATAAATCAGTCAAGTCGTCTATAGTTAGTTGAGATTGAAATTAGGCTTCTACATCTCTTTACTATTTGTAGCTCATTATATTCAATGAACTAAATTTTATATTAAATGATTAACATTTGTAAATACTTTATATTGATTCAAAAAATCTAATTTAATTCTTATTAACTTAATCATGATCGATTTGATCCTAGATTCGAAGAATTAAAATAATTTGTAGCACCCTAATAATTAATATGTCATTTTCACAATAATCAATAATATTATTGTAATATAATTAAATGATATCAATAAGATTTATTACACAAAATAAAAAGACTTATTTATTCTAAACGAGAGATTAAAATAATTTTCAAACAATTATTACATCATGTTGTTCTTCTTGATTTCTAACTTATTAGCACACACTTGTAATTATCATCTCAATACTTAAATAGTTGCCTAGATTGTCTACGAAGAATTGAGTGAACCCTCATTGTCCGAACTATTTCAAACCAATGTCAAGCAGTGTTCTTTACTAGATAAAATTGATTTCTACTATATCGATCAACAATAACCCAATCTGAATTTTCAATTTAAAATTAACGAACCTCATTTTGCTGTGGAAATATATGTTGATTTTTACCTTTTAGACTAATATACAGAGAAAAATGTCAATATATACCTGGATACCATCCTAATTGATTAGTATTAGAAAGTCTCCAAATACCCCTCTCCATTTTGTGATGATTCTGTCGACAGTGAAATTGTGACATACTCTACAACCTACTCTCATTTTTAGTAAGATCTGAATTTACTAATTTAATTGGAAAATACAACATAATTTACCTTAGGAGTAAGAAACATATAAATAGTACCTAAATTATGTCATGAATCATGTACTTAATGTGTAGGCCCTAAAGAAAATTAGTGTCGGTCTTGTGTAATTGGAACTTAACTCAATAGAAAAACTAATCAATGTGTTTGCCCGCCTAACCTACCATATTTGAGTATGGTTTAGAATCAATGCTTATCTAAATGCGATGTCTCTGAATATTATGACGCATAATCTAACAAATGTGTACTGGATAAACGTATGAACAACATATTATAATAGACATTGAATAAATGCAGCTCTTCTTTTGGAATACCTATGATTATACAGGGTGGACAATAATGGAAAATGAAATCACAACAGAATTACAAAGCAAAACCTACTCTGGTGTTGTCGGATTATTTTCTGTAGATTAAATTATTAGTTACTAATTCAATAACACAAATCCATTCAATTCCATTAGAGTAAGAGCAGATATTTACATATTTTAATCACTTATAGAACCTGAGATTTACATTCAAGTGGATAAGGTAAAAACTAATGTTAAGCCACTCCATAATCAAACAATCACAGGATAGAAGGGATACAAATTATTTCATATTGATTATCTAATTGATGCCAACGCAAATTCAAGCATTTAATTTTCATTAAAAGGAGATCCAAATACAAAATGGGGCATTAGCTAAGTTGTGTTTAACGAATAAAATTGCCAACCATAATGTTAAGAATGTTCAACTAAATCTACATGCTAATCATGTAAATCAGGCTTTTTGTTATATTTGGGACAATGTGTTGAGTCTTGTCCTAAATATTCATCAATTTATAATGAAAATACTTGCACAGATGTCAAAGAAAATTATCCTAATACCGATGTAATTATGAGAGCCTTTGATGACAATATAATTGCTAATTTCTTATTAAAAAATGTTACAACTCTAGCTTCGGTTTAGTAAAGTTATTTTGGAACATTTTATAATGGAGTTAGATATTTTGGAGGCTTATAGTAAGAACTTGCTTAGCTCTATTAGAAGTAATTCTATTCTTTGCCACCTCATTATTAAGTCATAGTTTAATTCAATATACTAACATTTGAATTAAATACAAGTGTATCTTTACCACCCAATTCCCTAGAATTGATTTTAGATAACTCTACTATATTGTTTATCAATTCATAATAAAATTAAGTGCAATAAATTAGCAAATAAATTGCCCATTCTTCAAATAACCTACAATTATCTTTACTTTCATATAGCTAAAACTACTCCATTTTCAGTTTTGGAATATCTAATGTAAATGTAATGATTTCAAGATGCTATCCATTATGCAAATCATGTTTTGGTCCAAATGAATCTGATTGCAAAGAATGGCTCTACGATTAGAACTCTAATGATTTCAAGAAATGTAAAAATGGATTTATTTTTGACATTCAAAAATAAAAATGCGTTTTATGTCCTCTAGGTTGTTAGAAATGTTCTGATCAACAAACTTGTAACGAATGTGAACCCAATTTTATTAAATAAGGAAATAGTTGCTATTGTTAGAGTGGCCGTATAGACGATTTTACCTTAGAGTGTCTAGGTAATTATTACATTTATATTTTAAGCCTACGCATGAATTAATTGATAAATTTCATTATTTTTTAACAATATTAACATTATCAATTTTATAGCACTGCTTATTCCCTTTGTTGTTGCAACAACATCTCATGTTTTGGTTGCCAAATATATAATGATAGGAATCCCATAACAATTATCCCGAAGTTCAATATTATCTGCATATAGTTAGCTGATCTGGTCTTCATTGTTGCACATGATGACAACAAAAAAAAAAATGCCATCCAAATAAATACTTTTTGCTATCCTTTAAAATTTCATTTACTTTCATCCAAGTTCCAGCAAATGCCAACAAAAATGAAAAAATTTGTTGCATATCCCCTCCTTATTCTTCTTATGCTACCCCTTTCACTTAATCGTAAGTATATTTCATAATTAAATTACTTAATTCAATTTAAAATAATTTATTTACTAATTATTCATTGAATTGGTATTTGATATATTAAAAAATTCAAATAATCTTGAGTTATAATTCATCTAATTTAAGATTATAGTCTCTCGGTTTACAAATTACTCTAAGTTATTGCTAATTAATCTATTAATACAATTCAGAAAATATTAATAAAATATTAATCTTGTATATAGAAAATCTATATTACATTCATTTATAAAATACTTTTATAAGAAAAACTTTCAAAATTGTATAACACTTTAATAAGTAAATTTACAAATCAATTTATAGAATTTAAGCATTAGTATATAATAAGGGAGGAAATTTCAGAACTACAAATAAGTCAACATTTGCTTTTAGAAAAAATTTAAGATTATAAATTAATATTCATAACATATACTCATTAAATGTAAATAAGCAAACTTAAATATCCTCTGTTATTGTTATTAAATTTCTGTTTAATAATTTAAACATCTGTATACATATATAATATATATTTAAAAGCTTAAGGTTTACAATAATCAAAAAAAATTATTAGAAGTCTTTACATGTGAGGTTGATTGATTTTCTTCATCTAATTAGCTAACAATTTTATCTAAATAACAAGAGCTTACAAATAAAAAAAATTAGATTATTCATTTATTAAAAAGAAATTATTAGGATAGAAATCAAGAAAAATAATTATGATTTGACAAGAGATAATTAATCATTACATTTGACTTAATAATTTACAAATAGTAAAAACTTGTTTTAGAATCTGGAAAAATAAAATGAAAAAGATGACACAAATAATGAATGATATAATTTCATAACAATTAGTATTCAATGATAAAATATGTTTATAAATTGTATACGCGGATATTGATTATTTGAATTAACTTTAATCTTGTTGTGTCAAAGGAGATGTCTTAGGCTTTAGAAAGCTGTTAGTATCACCAAAAGGCTGGAATTGCTGTAGAGTGCTTGATAAGAGATGAAAATAATTATTCAATTTTGTGTGAGAATTGTTTAGCAGAAAAAGTGAACAATAAGCACATTTTTCTATTGAAAGATGCTAAATTAGTGTTTGAATAATTCAGATTGGAATTTTAGAATCAATTTGAAGAGGAATAGAAAGGGAAGATAGGTTTCTTAAAAAATATGCGAATGATTGTATAGAAATTGCAGAATCACTTTTCATCAACATTTGATTAAATAAACAATAAAATAAACGAAAGAATAGAACTCAGCACATTGATTTTTGATTAAGGAGGTATGTAAAATGGTTAATATGAAAATTGTTGTGGAACCTTAAATATACGGAATTTCGGAGAGCAATTAATAGAGGAATTAGCAAAATGTTAGAGAATGAGGAAGATAGGCGAAGAGTAGAGCGTCATTGAATTTTAGAATCAAATATAGCATTAGATCTTGAGCTTGTAATAAGATGATATATTAAATGAGTGTCTTGAGTTAATGATTTAAGTGGACGTGAAAAAAAAGATAAAATTAATAGATAATAATGAAATGAATGAAGAATATAAAAAGCTAAATGTTTAAGTAAGAATATATTAATATATTGTTAAAAGAGAACTCCAAAGTTAGATTTGATTTGCAAATAACATGATAAGGAAATAATACTATTTGATTTAAGTGAGTAGTAAGAAAGAGATTATAGGGCACGCTGTGTAGAATGCGATCCATGCATTTTTACATCATTGTCAAAATGTTAAAATATGTGGAGAAACTATGAAAGATAACAATCAGAAATTCTGACATAGTTTTATCAATCAAGGACATCATAAATTGGGATTATCAAATAATTGTTAATTTAATTGAAAAGTTCATTTATTGAAAAAATCAATGCAATTATAATTTAACTGAATGGGATTATGGCATAGACGGAATTGGACGTCTTGAAAATTCTAAGTAGCATGGGTAAAGATTGGGATACTATGACTCTAAATGAAATCTTGGATATAGCAGATATATTGAGTAAACCAGAATAAATGAGGTAAACTTTGAAGGAAATGGAAATCAAATATAAGTTGAAAAACTTGAACATTGATTGTATATTCTAGGACAGCATAGAAGAACTATAAGAAATTAATAATCAAATAGCCCTATTGAATTTGTGTTTCATTAATGAATAGGAATATTGTTAGTCACCTAAACATCATTATAGGTAAAGATAAAATAGTGGAAGGATGAAAAGAAGTACAAACAGCACATTGAGTGATAATTCTTAAGTTTAATAAAAGGAACAAATATAAGATTTGAAGATTAAAAAACCGAATAAATTTAAATCATTAGAAGAATGGAGAATTCAATAATTAAAATGGTCTGATAAATATATCGATTATTAATTATTTTTCACTAAAAAATAAGCTGAATGGTGTAATGCGTTAGCGTTTAATAAGTAGGGAAACATTATGATTGCTGGATGTATATTTTCAATTAAAGTATTTGATTTTCTAAGAGGAAGGATTGTTTAAACATACTAAGCCAAATAACACTCAGGAGATATTAATTGCTTATTGTTTAGCAAGAAAATTAATTAATTTTTCTCTGGGAGTGATGATAGAACCATTAGAGTTTGGAGTTAAATCGATTAGAAAGAATGGAAATGCATACAGGTGTTACAAGGTCATTTAGATTGGGTATTATGTTTGATCTAGACAGAGGATGAATAAATACTTTTGTCTGGCAGTCGAGATAGAACTATAAAGAAATGGTTAAAAAATGAAAGCAGCTAGGCATTTGAATGCACTTAAACTTTAAATATTCATAGTGATGCTGTATTGGGATTAGCGTTAAATAAATCTGAATCCTTTTTGGTATCTTGTAGTTATGATAAATCAATTATCATTTGGGAAATTAAAGAATCATTTCAAATTGAACAGAAGCAAATAATCCAACTTTAAACTTTTGCAAATAGGATCCTTTTCATTAATGAAAATCAATTTTTGTTTCAACCTAACAATAATGAAAATGTCCACATTTATTAATATAATTCTCAATTACAATCCTTTTAGACTTCAAATCATAATATTAAATAAGTTCAAGCAGATGATGATTATCAATATTTTCCATCTAAATTCTTATCAACAAAAGGATGTTTTGCAAATATTCATAACAAATATATGTACATTACCAAATAATTAAATGAGGAAGAATATGAAATGTAATAAATAATAGAATTTGAAGATTATCGTAAGTTCGGAAGTTTCACAGAAGATGGAGAATATTTAGTAACATGGCATTATACATCCTCCGAATTTTAGATTAGAAAAAATGTTGGAACTTCTAGAATTCAATGGTGATTTATTTGGGTGTGTTTTGTGTATTTATTTCATTGATTATTGCTTCGTGATTGTTAAATATTTCAATTAATAATTCTATAATTAAAATATCAAAATAATATATATTTCAAGGTTTTAAATTTTGATCAATAATTTTGTAACCACACGGTTTAGTAATTTTATAATTCTTGGCATCTAAATATTTTGTTGATTGTTTGAATTAGTTTAAAATTATATCACTATTTTTCAGATTGAAATAGTCTGCATGATTTTTCAGGATTCTTGTAGAATTACAAAGATTTGATAGCAATTTAGGATCAGCATGTATGATTCTGAATTCAATGAATATAATTTAATTTGGATCCAGAGGAGAGGATTTAAAAATTTATTTTTACTAAACCTTTGACCTAAATTGTGAACCTTCGTAGGTGTTCAGATAGTAATCAAAAAATTCTCTACCTTCAACTGAATATTGGGCTAGTTCACACCAATTTTTCAATGAACCATCATGATTGAATATTGTGGGTAAGGCTTGCGTCTCATTGAGATGATCGAACATCATATCTTTAGTGATTCCCATAAGATCTAAGAATTTTTAATTTATAATTCTAAAGGATAGAGAGCTATTATTAGAATTAACATTTTGTAGAGTGCATTAAAAAGGGTATTTATGGAGGGATTATTCAAATTCGATTAATTCATTATCTGAAATTAATGTTTATTGTTAAAAATTGTCTAGAATTTTAAATCTCTATTCAACACATTCTAATGCTTATTAACTATATTGATCATTCATATTTTTAATGATTTAGCAAATTTGCTATTTAGTATATTGATGTCTATCGTACTGTTAAAGAGAAAAGATAAAAAGATCATGTTTTTAATCAACTCTACAAACTTTATAATTGTAAGTGCAAGGATTTTCACATAAAGATCCTAAGCATCTTTCCTAAGGGCATTATAAAGCCAATTTCAATTCAACCGAGGATTTAATAACAGTGGAAATTGGTCTAGAAATAGATAGGATTGGAAGTATGATTTTCTTTGAAATCTAGACATTTTAATGTGTGGATTATTCTAATTAGATTGATGAAATTACTCAGCTTGCATATAGTTTTAGTTACCCCCTATATTTTAGACTGTTTGAATTCCTCTTAGTTTATAATATTGCTTAAATTGATTATTTAACTCATTACAATTATAATTATAATTATTTATGTAAATTCATTACTTCAAACTGATAATATATTACTTAAATTGGTGGGGCTAGATATTGGGTATATGAAAATAACTTTGTTCTAACCGCTAACTTTTGGAATCTATGGATGGATATACGATTAAGTTAATTTTGTATTTTGTAAGGCTTTTTAATATAAATACATGCTATACTCTCTTTATGTAGTATTCTATTCTTATAAAGTTTTAATGAGAAGTAGTTTTTTAAGTGTGTGTCTTTTGAATGTATTCTAAATTCTATATTAATTGATCATAATATTGGTTTCAGTTTGAACTTGAATTGTCAAAGAAATATGATCTTTCAGTTACTAGATTTCATTTGAATTTTAAGTATTCTTAATAGACAAATCATTGTAAAAATGATTTCAAGAAATTTGTCGAATTTCAAAGCTTAAACTATATAAAATTATTTTAATAATATTAATTTTTGCTAAATTGAATTTCTCCTTAAAAGCATATATCATGTTGATCTCTCTATTGCAAATAGGATGGGATTTTTTCTGTTCACCTATCATTCATGGATGCTCAAGACATTGTTCTGCAGTCATTCAATCTAAATTATATAGATCTATAGTATTTATAATAAAATCCTTAGCCATTCTACTGTTGAAATAATATTTACTGAGAGAATGTAGTAAATTATATTGAGTTGGATGATTAATTATTAAATTTATCGTAAAGTCTTAAGAGATTATTTGATAATAACTTTCTTAGATAAGCCGTCCTACCAAATTAGATGCTTGTTATTATACATCATTTAATAATAAATGATACCCAATGAAAATATGTCAATTCCCTAAGCTTATTCTCTTTCATTTATCATTGCTGGAGCTATATAACAATGGAGTGCCAACTTAGTGGCCAATTATGCCTTTATAAAATATCTAGTGGCTCAATCCAAAATCTATAATTTCACCTAATAATGGATAAATATAAAGGTATCCTCTAGATTAATTATAATATTTACATGACTTTAAGTATCTTTGTATTATTCCTTTACGTGGTAAGAATGCCTACTCTCTTAATAATACATTCAGAGTTGATCCTATGAGCTTCTCCATTACCAAGTACAGGTAGTGGTTTGCATTTACATTTGGGTGAGAGCACTCTTATAATAGATACGACTCAATCGCTTCTAAATGTGAGGAATAACCGAAAATTGTATTTATACTTACCTTAAAATATATGGATCCTAGAAGTTTAGTTGATTAACTAAGTGATATCTTATTGAGTGAACACTATTGCTCTATTGAGATTTTGGGTATAGTCAGGTTTGGAGTTGTAATTTCAGCTTATAGCTCTTCTTTAGATAAAATAGTAGCAATTAAACAAAAATGAATATTATGTATTGATTGCTATCTTCTTCGAATTTAAATTTTAATTGATTCTAGGACATTAATACAGATTAATAATAGATTTTAATTAATAATTTATTAGATGATATTTATTAATTAAATCTTCATAATTCTTTCAACCTCTCATACAAACGACCAACAGCATTATTTTATGAAATCGAAAAATGATATCTATAAATTTTAATAACACTTTGAAATATAATTGTTTACTTCTAGGTTAATTGTAATCTATTAACCATTTTCAGTGGTTTTCAATAATTTTCAATTCTAAAACTCTTTCTAATTATGTGTAAATAAAGGATAGGTCTTTAATAATTGAATTTAGCGTACTTTTTCTACTTGAGAATACTGATTTTATCATTCCTACTCACCTTTTTGTTAATTAAATATCTTAAAGATTTGTCCCTTTCTATTTTGGAATGACTACAATCTAAAGATTAGATGAATTAATAGTATAAATAACATTTTGTATGTTGAGATATTCATTAACAAAAATAATTTTATCAATTTTATAATTTTCATGTAAATTTGAAATTTAATAATTAGATAAAATATGTTTTGATTATAAATTTTATAATATACAAATCAAGAGTTCATTAAATTATTTATTTTCTATCTCACGAGGTAGTATTCTTTATCTAATTCTTCAATCAATTTGTTTGTAACCTTGAATTTGAGTGCACGATACTTCAAAGTTTTTAAAGATGCTATTTCCTAATTTATTAGATTATGTAATTACATCGGTATTTTGTGTGAAAAATTCAGCTTTACTCAAATTATTCAAAAATTATAATAAAACATCAAATTTCATAGATAATATCTTGTCCTCATAAGTCTGAAATATTCCCAAAATAATTTAATAAAATCCACACCAACCGCGACTTAATAATACATCCCATATGTCAAAAAGAACAGTTGAAAATTCATTTTTCATGAATGATCCAGTAAATAATGTAATAAACCAAGGTGCTGAATAATGGCCTGCTTCAATTTTCTCCTCTTTCAAATGTTAATGAATTTTTGGCATAAATATTGCCAATATTCTATCCAATTTATAAAAGAACACCCTTATATATTTGAGATCATAGAGTAATACATCTTTCAATAATTGATTAATCAAAGCTGCAAAACATCTAAATGTTAATTCTTCTTCAATCATAATAGTATATATGAAACCCATAACAAAATTCATCCCTTGCGTATAGGAAATTGTATTATTATAATATGCGTATAATTTAAGTAAATTATGCAATGTGAGATGATTAATTTTGCTTTGTTAGCCTCCACTATTAAATGATCTTTACACATCCTATGCAATTTAATGTTCTAAAGTGGCTTCTTTAACTCCTGCTTATTTAGAGTATTTTTCCTTTAACTTGTAATAATCAAGTTAGATGCTTTCTGGTTGCAATAAACTAGTCCATAGGAGTTTTCGCTTGATTGATGATCGCTATGTTAGATTATTTAAACATAGGTATCGTTATTTAACCTTCAAACTTAATTAAGAGAACTCTTTGTTAATCTGCACAATTGTCAATTAATCAGATAATGATAAATATTTCAAGCATTTTTTGAATGTGTAAAATAATCTCTTTTTTTCCATTATTAACTGTTGAGTTTTGGGAGATTATGGCTAAATTTATTCCATATAGATCTTTATTGACTCAAATTATTCTAATAATAAAACTATATCTTGAACTCGAATATTGCACATTTTGGATAGGATAATTATCGTTTCACTTGCATAGTCTATTTTTATATCCAATTTAAGCATTATTGAACAGATCTTTTATAAATTCAATAAAACTTTTAAATAGTTGAGTCTTTGTTCCTGAGTCATTTTTTCATTTATTATTCTCTTTTTTTAATATAATAAATTTATTATTTAGGTTTTTTTTGGGTTGGTATGTCTACTATTATTTTAATTGTGATTTTCACATTTGTTTGTGTTTGACAAGTTTTCTTTTTCATTTAAATACAATAATAGTTGTTACCATTTATTTTTTTCATAAAACAAGAATGTTTTTTCGCTAGCTTGTTATCCTATCGCAATAAACTGGTTTTTTTCTCTCATTCCAAATTAGGTAATAAAGTTTAGTAGTTAATTGAATTCAACTACATTAAAATTTTGATCTTTTTGCAGGTCTTAAATAATTAATATTAATTTTACTTAGAATTAAATGTTTAGCAATTAATATTAGGAGATCATTAGATGATGGATTAATTACAATGACATCTGTAGGTGCTTAGTCTATGATTTAGATTATACTATCAAGTAGTTTAATTCTAGTATCTTAATATTAAAACAAAGTTTCAAAGTCGATATCTACAACAGATTAGAATTATTATTTATTGTAATCCTATGTTTTTGCTTACTCTACTAAATCAATCAATAAGTTTATTTGCTATTCCATCTATTATGTTAACTTAAATTTTTAAAGATTAATAGGATCAAATTTATCATGAGAATTAATATTTGCAATCCAATCCTCATACGTTATAAAGTTATCTTATTTTGTAACCTTGAAAACATTGAAGCTCCTATTCCGCATAATGTTTTTTAAAACTGGCTGCTTTTCATTTGAATGTTTCTGGTGTATAAGTGAGAATTTTTCATTTGAAGAAGCTAAGACTTATTGCAATTTAGAATTCAAAATATTAGTAACCTTTGAAATATGAGATACAACATTTTCTGCAGTCGATTTGGTAAGTTGAGTTCTTGCTAATTCATTTTAATCATATTCATCAAATTATGATTTAAATTTTTCATTAAATATATGCCATAATTAATTGACAATAGTTAATTCTTATCTGTAATCTACAAATAACTCGTCAGCTTTTGACTGCAATTATTTGGAGTTCTTCTTTTTTTCTAAATCATAAGCGGTCTTTAGATAGACTTGCTATTTAGTAAATAGAGACTCTCTTTGTGTCTAGACTTACTTTAAGAACTCTTTTCCTTTTATTATTAAGGTACTGTTTGTTTAAAAGTAATTTGCAGAGAAATCATCATAAGGTTAAATTATATTCTAGTGCATGTCATCCATTAATTCTTCTAAATTGCGAGAAACATTGATTATGGCATTTGATAATTGGTTATAATAGAACAAATTCAACTCATTCTCTTCCGGTGTCTTAACCAATTATGTGTAAAATTATTCAGAAAATTCATTTAATTGCATGGATAGAGTACAAAATGATTGATGAATATTTCTTATGAATGTTTTAAAACCATCAACCTATTGAGTATTAATATAATACCAATGTATTAGTATGTTAGACCTTCGTATTTAAATCTTCCAAGTAAGAATAACTCTCTTAGATTATTTACTCTTGCATTATTTAAATTTGATATAATTATCTTATTAATTATATCAATAATAAATTTATGTCCAACAGCTTGACTTAGGTATTCCTAACATCATTATAACTGAGGATGGATATTGGGCAAGTCACTGCAAATAGCAATTATTGATTCGGCCATTAGATTTATTAGTTCCTTTCTATTTCTAAGGGAATATGTAATTGATTGATTCAATTCCTGTTTTGATATTTCAGCATTTTGGAGCCTTCTAAAATTTCAGTAGTCAAATATTCTACTAAACATAAATGATTTAGGATTTCTAGTACTTTATTTTCCAATGTCCTACAGATTTGATGAAATTTCATTTTAAACATTTTACTATTCCTTATTTCTTTCTATTATCCTAAAAATCACATAACAATAATCATTCCTTTTTATTTCCATAAAAATATATAAACGATTTCGTTTAAAGTCATTAATATTTTAATTGTATATTCTTAAATAAAACCTCTCATTTCTTGTAAATAACCATTTTACTTTCATCTAATACATTGTTGTAATATAAATAATATTTTATTAAGACAATGTATCTACAAAATTAAGAAATGTTGTAATTCTGTTTTTAATTTATAAAATATATTCTAATCTGATGAATAATGTCTATTTAGATTAATAAATTGAAATATTTAAGAATATAAATAAATATAATTTATGAATTTCGACATAGTGTTTTTATTGGTGTCAATTTTAGTAATGGGAGGAAGCTATTATTTGTTGTTTGTAAAGAAAAAAAGCAAGACTCAGACAGCAGTTTAATAAGGTTAACCATAACCATAAGCATAATAAGGATAAGTTTAGTAATAATAATAATAAGGATAATAACAATAATAATAAAATTAATAAAGAAGATAAATAAATAGAGTTGAAGTAGAATCAGATGATGATTCAGATAGGGAGTTAGATGTTTAGAATGCAGAATAATAAGCTAAAAGAGAAGCCAGGAAATAGAAGAAACAATAACAATAATAATATGTAAGATAATAAATAGAGATGTTGGAGAAGAAAAACGAAAAAAGAAGCAAGGAATATGAGGAGAAAGAAAGGTAGAGAGAACAATAAGAATAAGAAGAGGAAGAATGGAGAAAGAAAATTGAAGCAGAATAAAAATAAAAAGAATAAGAGGAATTTGACAAATGGAGTGTAAACTATATTAAAATAATCAATAGAGTATGTTCTAAGTTGAATAGAGTGGTACTATGAAATTATCAGCAGAAGAAGAAGAACAAAAAACAAAAGAGTTTAATGAAAAATTAGCAAATTATATCAAATTAAGAAAAGTAGTTTAGTTGGAAGAAGTCAGTGCTGAATTGGGCATCAGTACAACTGAGGTAGTGGACAAGATAAAACAATTGGAAATGTTGGGATAATTAAATGGACTAATAGATGAAAGAGGTAAATACATTCACATAAGATAAAACGAAATTGAGGTATTTTATTCGTTTTAAAGAAATTAGAGTTTAATAAATTACATCAATGCTAGAGGAAGAATGACCAGAAGTGAATTATTGAATGAAAGCAATAGAATAATTAAATTGGAACCCTCAAAGCAAGACTTATAAAAGATCTAAGAAGAAGAGCAAAAATTGTTAAACGAATTATAATAGGAATTACAACAATGAATTATAATTAATATAATTATATAATTAAATGAAATGTGAAGTTAAAACTGTAAAGCTTAAATTACTAGGACTTACTGATTTAAATAAAATGATAAGAAATTCCTCCTATGAAATAAAAGTATATTTTGGAGGTGCAAGATAATAAACTAAAACTTTGAATTACTATGTCGGTATTTATTGAGCCCTTAGATTAGTATCTGAATAGATAGAAATCAATTAAAATTTAGAATTGAGCAGTATTCACGGAAAACAATTATAATTTTGGTTATTTGATAAATTAAAAAATAAGTTTATTGGAGCAGGTTCTTATGAATTGAGTGAGAATTAGGCTGAAGGATTTCAATTATTAGATTTAAAAATTGATACTGTTATCACATGTATATTGATGTTTGAATTGGTTGTTGAAAATAAGGATATTTATTAGCCAGTTATTTTAGAGGATGACAACATTATTTTGAAGAAGGATGACTCTGAAGAGAAGAGAAAAGAGCAGGAAAGGTTGGAATAAGAAGAAAAACTTAGAAAATAATAGGAGGAAGAAAGAAGATTATTGTAAAAATAAAATAAAGTTTCAATTGTCACATTAACTGATAGATATGTAGAAGATTAATCCTATTATTGAATAATATATATATATATATCTAAAATATCAATATTATTTTAGTTCTACTTTTATAGTCTTATTAATTTTCTCCATTATTCGCTTAACATCAAAAGCAAATGTATATTTTGATGGAATAAATCTAGATAATCTCCATCTCAAAAATAAGTTTAATCTATTAATTACATTTTAGTAGTTATCAATTGGATAATATAGATTGTAAGAGTACATTCTCTCAAATTCTTCAGATTATGGATCAGCTCTTTTGTACATGCTTAAATCAACCATACCTACTCCTGTTGGAATGTGAATATTAGACCTAATAATTGGACTTACTGTGGATCTCAATTAAGTTATGGTTCCTTATCTGATAGGTATAGTTGACAACTTAGATGAAAATCTCTTCATTGATTATCTAACCTATGATGAACTTTAGCTTTGTCTTCCCAACTGTCTTCCATATGGAGAACTAGCTTGTTCCTCTGAATGCTATCTATTTGATAAATTCAAGGTGTCTGAGTCTTCTTCCCTTATTCTTGATAAATTCTTCTTTATTTTATCAGCAATATTGCTATGCGTCCTAGTTTTTGTGTTGGATCTTAGCCTTTATGATTATTGTTGGCTTTATTAACTGTCTGTGTCTCCTTTAAACGTTATATGGGGAGTATTTTTGATTCTTTTGACCGATGGAATTGGCACTTCGCTAGCAATTAATTAGGATGAAGTTGATGTTTGGACATATTATTAAGGTTATAATGGGTCTTAAGGAGTTTATGTTCTCTTAATCTTTTAAGGCTCTTATGGTACTAATGAAAACTTATATAACTATTGTTGTTGTTATTAGAAATCTGCTTAATATTAAAATTGTGCAGTATTTAATGTGCCTTTTTGGTTGTTTGGTCTTATGATAAACATTTGATCATTTTCATCGTCTATCTCTTATAATACTTTGGTAGGTTCTTTGATCTAATCATGTTGTCTTAGTAAACTTACAATTGTTCTAGAATAGTAACATATTAGTACCCATCCTATTTGTCTACTAGTCTATTATCAGAATAACCTTCGTCACTTTAGTAATCATCGCTGAGTTCTGAACACGATTCCAATTCATCTTCTTAACTTTCATCTTCGTCTTCGTCCTCATCATCATCATATATTATATCATATTTTAATCTAAATATTTTTAGAGCATCATAATTTTACTAGGAAGATATAAATAGTTTTTACAATCAATCTTAAAAATATCCTATTAAATTCTCTTCTAGCAATTTTAGGTTGTGACCTCGAATAGTTAGATCTGCATTATTAATTATAGTTTTCTTATTTGAATACCTTTTCGAGATCAGGAGTATATCTCCATATTGGACATCTAGAAATTAAGTGATCTGAAGCTCTACAAGAGTAACAAAACATGTTAATAACTCTAAATTATTGATTCAGTAGAGAGTGCTTTATAAACACATATCGTTCATGATCAATCTTGTTCTGTTGGATCATTTGAACAAACTTAGATTATTCAATCTTATAAAGGGAAACAAATCCCTTCGTCTTAGCAGAAGCCTACCTCAATTCTCCTGAAAAGAATGAATATTCCCCAAATGAGTCTCCTGCTGATAGTTTCGCCAAATGAGTATTTTAATCTAGTATTGAAATTTCACCAGAATCAATGATATACAAAGAATTATCATCTTACTTGTGCTTTTATATTACAAATTCGTTTGGATTAAATTTAACATACTCCATAATTTAAGTTAAATTCTCAAGTGTATTTTTTGAAAATTTGAACAGGGATTTACAATTACATAAAGCCTTGATCCTCATTTAGAGAAATAATTCTTCTTTTATTGCCGGTGATAGTTATTACATGAGAACTTACATCTAATTATCTATATGTATCTAATAATATTACCTAATCATCATTTTTATCCTATTGATTGAGGAAACGAATATAATTTCTAATTCTCGCTGACATCTATAAAGAAATCCCTCTTTTAGACAAAAAGTTATTTATTAATTCCATTTACTTAATATTACTATTGTAATTCTGATATTGTCTTTTCATCATAAAACTAGTATGCTTTATGATAAATGCAATCAACCAACAAGATATAAACATAGCGATTGTTGAATATATCAATTCTACATTTGTCTTAATATGTACTAATCCTTGTCCAATATTGAGCAACAAACTTGTATTGATATAAATTGCATAACAATATTTTGTCCATTCATCCTCATCCTCTATATTCATTGTGATGATCCAAGAGTTTTATTTTTCTAGTCCTATAAAATACCAGAAGCACGAACATATATGAATTGCATATAATACAATCATAAATATCTTGTAATACCCAATATCAAAAGGCAGAAAATCATTTACTCTAAAAATTAAAAAATTCAGCTTCTAAACTCCGCACGCAATTTCAAATAATAATATGCACCATATCAAAATAGAATTTGCAGATACAAATACTAATAAAATCGTTGCAACTAGATAAAAAATGTCAATAAATGTTTGACGTTTTATAAACTATAACTAATATTTGATGTGGAATTTAACAAAATTACCTTCTGAAATGTAAGGCTTGAAATAATTTAATCCTAAATCTAAAACAATTATAAGGATGGCCAATACTTCAAAACCAAGGTTCGCTTCTTGATTAAAGCTTATTTTGTAGGGAAGCCAAATACCCAATATTATTATACAAATTATAACGATCATATCTGAAAAAAGAAAATATACAGGGTGAATTTGATTATTATTCTTTTCATCATGAATTGTGTAATGAAGATTATTTTCTAAATAATTTTCAATTAATAATTATTTTTAGTAACCATTGAAATAATTATCGCGATATATGTATGCCTTTTGAAGAAGAGCTTAAGCAAATTATTTAACAAACTTCTTGTCAAATAAGTTTCGACTTACAGACTCTGTTTGATTGAGTTCAGAATAAAGAGGCTGCTTGTGTGGAGATCGCATTGCTTAATTAAACTAACTTTTCTTAGGTTTCCCTGGCTCGTCAAAATTTTTAGCATCGTTTCCTTCAGAATTCTCATTTAAAGTTTTAGCTTTTCTACACTAATCAAATTGACTGAATCCACTTTCCCTATAAGAAATGAATGATCTTAATGGTTCTGTGAATGGAGAGGGGCAGTTGATAATAGGTGAGTTTATGGTTGGAGGTTTTATGTCAGAAGGCAGTTGCAGCAGTTTAGGCAGTTAGGATTATTGATGCTAAGGTCTTTTAAGTAATTCTGCATTATTTGAGTCATTATCAAAGCCAGAACTATAAGAATTATGCATTGCTATTTTAATAATTATATTATTTTTGAATAAATTACTTTATATATATATTATTATCTTAATACCACATCAAAATTAATAATTAAAAATGTCTAGACTATATCCTCTTTTGATAACAATTACTATTGTAGCATCCTCAACAATTAAATTAAATAACCCCATTCAGGTTGATTATCACAAAGAAAAATTAAATCAATATTTCATAGATCATAACAATTAAATATGGTTTGAATTTGTAAAATCAATTGAAATACTCAACCCAAAAACTACAATTTGTTAAGTGATGCCATATTAATTTGAAGCAATCAATCCAATCTCCATTAAATTTGATAATATTACATCAACTTTATTTGATAATGAATTAAAAACTCTATTTGTATTAGAGTAGAAGTAGCTTACTATGATTGAGATAACCTTTACAAACCTTTCATTGAGCACATATCACTATAGAATTGGTTAAACTAATTATATTAATAAAATTGAAATGACTTCCCACCAAATTTCTAATGGAATAGCTTTAGCATAAATAGAGGATAATTTTATTTTAATTTTAGATGATTAGTAAAAACTTATTCTGTTTGATATAGTTGCCAAAAATTTCGAAAATATTTAATCATTTTAATCTAAACCTATTTGGATGACAAGTGCTAATGGGTATTTATTTGTAGGATTTGAAGATATATTGATTTAATATAAATTAGATTAAAGAAAATTAATATAAATTAATCAGCTAGAATTAAATTTGAAGGACAGTTCTATTCTAAAGATGTAATAAAGTTCTATTTTCATATCATTTCCATTTTTTAAGGTTATTAAAATTACATACAATTAAAATGTATTATAGGTGGATGACTACTTAACTTAGAATATGGAAATCGTGAGCTTGGCAATATAAGGCCAAAATATTTCATATTTAACTAAAGATTACGTGTATTTAAATTCTGGAAACAAGTTATTTGAACAATATGATAAATTATTTCAATTTATTGACTTAGTAATTTTGATTTCAAATAAAGGGATCATTAAAGTGATATGTGAATTTATTGACGAGTTATGTATTGATTTTTGATAATTTAAAGCAACTCCCTTATACATTAAACATTAGAATGTCAGTAATATACATATTATGAACAATTTTGGAATAAATTATCACCTAATAACAGAATCCAAAAATCTCATTACAATCAATGAAATCTCTCTTACTGAATCTTTTATTTAATGTGACGATAGAACAGGCGATAATTAAGAAGCTGTATCATTTATAGCTTTAGCAGACGGTTGCCAAGATAGAAAGACAATATCTTATCCTTCAAGCTGTAAAATTGAAGGAAAACTTCAATGTAAATTGTTTGAATAATACTTTAGTTAACTACATTTCTACTATATATGCGAAGTTTTCTGATCTAATTTATTTGATGATTACACTACTGGTCATAGCTGTTGCCTTGATTTTATTAGCCATTTTTTGCACTATAAAGTATCAAAAATAGGCAGAACAATATAATATAGTAAATTAATAAGATATCCTAAAAGGGGATCAATCAAAAGATTAAATAAATTAAGAAATTTGATTTGAAATACAAATTAACTTAATCATTCAAATTTTATTGATTTGTAATTTTCCTCTTATTCTATTCCAATCCATCCATACTTTTATTTTAGTTAATTTATTCCTTAAAGTAACTACAAATTATGCCTTGCAGTTTATGGATTAATTTATTCTCTTGTGATAGGATCTGTGCAACCATTTGAAGTAAACTATTTAAAGATGCTATCCTTTTCATATGTTTGACCAGTATTAAATAGAATGGGTTCATTCATTATTTCATATGATATAATACATGTAAAAGCCTAAGGTATTGGTATATCTTAGAGCATCTTTTTTTACGTTTACCTTTATAGATAATTCCAATCTAACTTCACTTTTCTCCTTTCTGCAATGTCAGCAAGGATACTTTTTAAAGATTAGACATCTACAAAACTATTTAATTTTCATACTGATTCTATCCATTTCTTGAGCTATCAAGAAAACCATTCTTCTTCCTTTTCCTAAATTTTGATTTATCAAAACTTTCAGTTTATTCTTTTATTAATCATTATTATCTTTTATATTCTCGTATGCTTTAAGATAATAATAATTTAATACCCTGGTCTAAATATTAAAGACCTTTATGAGCCTATTTAATTAATTATTCGCTTATTTCTGGACTCATTTATGCTTCAATCAAAATAACTGTTCCATAAATGAAGTATGCCCTTGCATTTGTTTAATCAATTTTTAAAGCTTATTCTGCATCTTTTTTGGCCTCTTAAAATCTATTTATTTATTTATAGACGACAGCTCTATTTGAGTAGTAAATGGAATCGGTACCATGTAAATTCTAAATATTTATTGTTTTATACAATGGCTTTGGTATAACATTCGATTGCTTTTTAATAATTTTTTTAAGAGAAGAATTAATTGCCCTTAACTTTTTCTTCTAAAGATTGCTGCACTTTGTCAAGTTACAATGGACTTGACGTTTAATTAATATTTTTCTAACTAGTTTATTATGCAGAAGGTTTTTTAGCTGCTTTGAAAAATTTCCTTTATTGCTGAGGTTACTAAGGTTATTAAGGCTACTATGGTTGGTAAGGTTGGTAAGGTTACTCCTGAGTGAATATTTCTTCTGCTCGATAGTTCATGAATAAACAATCTTCATTTGAATGTGCTTATCCCATAGATGATTAATTATTTATTATATTAACTTCAAAAAAATAATAAAATTAACAGGGCAATTGAATCAAAAAGAACTTTTTCGTTTATTGGTTTCATTTCCGCCATCATAGGCATGGAAAAATTTCATTAAGTCGTCAACCTTCATTTAATCAATTTACTCATTTTCATCATAGTCGCTGCTATATATAGAACTAGATTTCAAGTCTTTGTTTTTTAATCCAGACCCATTTTTTTGATCAATTGTAGTGTCTTGGTTATCACACAATATATGATTAATGATGTATTTAAATAAACGAATTACTTAATTGTCCTAATTTAGTAATTGGTTTAATTACCTGAGAGCTAATTTTAATTTCTTCTAAAGAACTCTTTGGATTGTCTTTTAAAAACTACTTAATAGCAAATAGCATGATTGCTGCTATTTTAGATTTAGAAATATGCCCATTGAATGGTTCCAACAATGGAAATGCAATTGATTTGACACCTAAGTTTGCTGCTAATTGTAAACAATTAATCATGCATTCATAGATGTTTTATCTCTCATGTGTCTATTGTGAATCAATCATCTTATCAGTATAAATATGGACTCCATCTATTTATTACCTTAAACCCTCTTGTAAAGATTCACTTGGTTGAAAATCAGTAGAACCATCAGTTATACAAGAACTTTTTGGCATCATCATTGTAGTTTCACAACCGCTTGAAAGTACTGTGTAAATAATGTAATCAAAGTCCATCTATTATTGTTGCCTAAAATTAATACATCTCCTGCGTGTGTATATACTACTTATCCTAATTCAAGTTTTCCACCTTCATTTAAACGTACTTATTTCAGTTCATTCATTACAGCCTATCCACCATATTTTCTATTTTAATTAGATATAGAAATACTTAAGTAGATCCTCCATGTTTTATCCCATTTTTAATCTCGTACTTACGATGAGAACAATTGTGTCTACATCTTCATTAAATAATAGCTTGCTGTAGCTTAATTTAATTTGGCAACCAGCAAAGGATGCATGAGCAGCAACATTAGGTTATAAGCTCATTTTTGAGCCGCTTCCAAAATGGTCAGAGCCAGAACAGCATAATGTTTTATTACCCATATTAATATTATTTATTTAAATAAATTTATAATAGCTAATACAATTCTTAGGAAATATATGTTCAATTAATATACTATTGAAGATATGAATGCTTAATTTATATTTTTGATCTTTTATAATGTGTTTGATGTATTTCTATTGAAAATGAATTTTATTTTTTATTTTAATGAAATATTTGTTTTTCAACTAATTCAATCTCTCTTCTACTCTTTAATTGCGATACACCCATCTTCAACTAAATGATCCTAATATTCTTCCAAAGACTTTATTATCCTAATATAACATTATTTTAATATATATACATTTAACCTCTCATTCTATCAAGCCTTGTATTTAAATCTTATATCAATCTTTGCTATTCAGTGATTTATTAATCTTTAGATTGTGTATTCTCTTCATTAGTTCCTTGCTCTCTTAATCTACTATTTTCCTCCATTAATTCATTCACTTTCTTCAGCAGCTCTTAATCAGATTACTGAAATTTAACTTATTTAATACATTAGCAAGCTATTGGCTATTCTTTAATAAAATTGATTCCATTTAGGATTTTCCTAAAGAATCCCTTACAGGAGTTTATTATAGGAAGCTTGAGTGTGATGGTTGGAATGAACTTGTATCTGTAATCCCTCTTCCAAAATGTTCAATATTAGTAAATGCTCTTTATCTAACTCTGTCATATGCCTTTAGTAAATTATTTATCAATTTTTTGCATTTGACTATTTATAAAGAGTTCAAGCTGGCTGATTTTGATGTAGTTGAAATGTCCCTCATTCTCCAAAAGGCTATTTAAGGAGTGATACTTTTGTTCTTAGCAATCATTTCAGCTACTCTCTAGAACCATCTATTTTAAAGTTTTGGTCCTTTCCAAATATCCAAAGCTTCTTTCATTAATTCCCTATCTTGTTTTAGATTTAATAATAGCAACTTTTAAATTGCATTAAATACTGAGACCATATTCTTCTTAACAGCTCTAATATTCCATCTTTGGAAATATATTCTTAATTTTATTTTGCCAAAATTTTAGAATAACAATATAGCCTCTCTCTTCAACCTAATTTCTCTTACTTAAGCAGATTCCCTTTTATTTGTCAAATATGATGATAAGCGTTTCCATTCTACTAAGGCTACATTTAATTAGTTCATTTTATGTTAATAGAATAATTATATTGCAAGCTTCTTCTTATCCAAAATATTGAAAGCTTCTGTCGCTCTATGAAATTCAACAATTTTGTACCATTTCAAAAATGCTTTCTTTTAAGCACTCATGTAATTGTACAACATTTTATTTAAAGTATATTTTTATCTTGCTTAACCATCAAGATAAATATTTTATAATTGATTGAACGTATCCTTTCTAACCATGTGAATTTTGAATCTATTTAGAGATTTTTCGAATACACTTGCTTTTAATGAATCTAATTCTTTATTTTCAGGTAGAGCCTTCCATTTTTAAAAGGAAACTTCTATTTACCCTACTAATGTATGCAATAATTAAATTTGTATTTTTTTTAATAAAGTTTATTTCTATCTATTCAAATAAAACTTTCTTAAAATATTTCTTAATCTACCTTGATCATTTGTTCTCAAATTTCTATGTAGAGCAAATACTATATAACTTAAATGCCCATCTTACAGAGTTGTTGTAGTTCATTAACATTCTATTCAGGACACTTTCTTATTTTTTATTTGACTTAAATATTATTTAGACATGCCCTGCTAATGTGAAAGCTAGAATTTAAAATAGATTTGTAGTATATTTGCAAGTTTCTATTGATTTATGCAATTTATTTATATCTCTCCAATATAAGAATACTCTTTTATTTTAGCCCATGCAAGAGCCAGAATTATCCTGAGACAATATAACTTTTTACTATTACCCTCTTAATACACATCTTTTAACGGTTCTAAAGTTGCCTTAAGTCTTCCTCTAAAAAGTAAATCTAATATTCTTTCAAACTTTCTTGCAGTCTTTAATTATTCAGTATTTTAAATTTCAGGTAAATTTTTCCACTTTTAGAAAGCTACAATGGCACCTCCAAATTTAGTGGCAAATAATTTCGAAAAGAATCTATCTTGAACAGCACTGACGCTTGAATTTCGTTTAAATTTAGCTAGTATTGCTCTTAATTTAGCCACATCATTATTTTTGAGAAATTACTTATTGCTTCTAATAATAATTTCTTTTTCTCTTCATTCATGGCTCCTTTTAATTTTTGTAATTTTCCATCATTATACCATTTCATAAAGAAATATCTTAAGTTGCTGTCGAAATTACCGATAAGGCTAAGTAATGCTTTTTCTTTTTTTATGATTCTTCATCTGATTTTAATGGAGATATGTCATTCTTAATATGTAAGCCTATGAATCCAAATAATCCAATTACATATTTACATCTCTCTACTTCTCTAATAAATGAAACATTTTTATTCCATTAATCTAATGCTCTTTATTATTCAGATTCTTAGGTCTTTATCATAAGTATAACTGCCCTTTTCTTAATTGCCAAAGCATCATCGTATTCTTCTTATAAGGGATTCCATTATATTTTCTTGCAATATGAATTATAAATTTATTTAGTGATTTTTCAAAAACACTTTAAAAATTAAAGTAAAATCTCAATACTACCTCTTATAAAGAAAATTTTAATAATTGTAAATAAGATTGTATTCTTTATTATTGTAAGATCAGAATAATCAATATTTAATCTTTGTTTTAATTTATTATATTTAATCGATATTGAAAATAGGAAATTAAATAATTATGGAGATTAGTTTCTTTTTAAAAAGCTTTTATTTTGTAAAATTAACAGTTAAATCTTGTTTAATATATTATTAATTAGGATATTGAATCATGCACTCTAATACCCTAATAATATAATATTTTAGCAAATTGATTTTGAATCAATAACTCTTTGAGCTAATTAAAATAATAATAACAGGCTTTAATGGCTCAAGCAAGCCTATTTTCAATTATAAATGATGAATTATGAAAATCTTATTTCTATTGATATCAATATTTTTTATTTCTTCATTTTTGACATCATCTAATAGTAATTCTGAATCTTAACATCACTCCCTAAAATATTTTATTATTCAAGAAAAAAGATAGAAAACATTTGCTAATACCTAACTTATATTATCCTAATATTGCTACTACATGGTTATCCTACTTTTATAACCTCGATCTTTGGAAATTATATAAATATTATATAAATATATTATTAATTATTCCATATCAATATGGCATATTCTTTGGAATGCTTTTGCCTCTTTTTTCTTCTACAGAACATTGCTAGAGGTATTTTTTTAGCATTTTTTTTTGATCCACCTCCATTCTCCATGCCTAAAAGACTGAATACATCAAAGAGTGTTAAGATTCCTATTCACTTTTAATTTATCTATATATTGATATAAAAATTTACAATTTTTTTTCTAGTTTTAGTTACTTAATGAATTCAGCTCCAATAGTTCTGTAATGATATAAATAAAACCCTCTGAAGATTTTCATAAATTATTTTCTTTAATTCGTTCTTTTTAAAAGTTTAATAATCCACATTTAAAAGTATACAATCACAAGATTATTGTTTTGTTTAGATGATAAATATTAAAATTTTTTATTAGTGTTGTTTTTTACTTATTATAAAATTTAAAGAAGTTAATATTTTATTCTACTTTAATAATGCAATTCTGCTTATTTATTTTTAATTTAGGATTTTACTTTGTTAAAATAATTTGATAAATTTCTCTCATAAGAGATACCTAATATTTTATTAAAAGTGATAACAGCTTTATTAATTCTCCATTATTTCAGATATTGCTTTTATAATTTTCTTCTTTTACACTTGCTTAAATATTATTATTTACTAGACTTTAAGACCTTAGTAAAAGCTTATTACATTTTCTTTTTGATAAGTGAATTAAAAATATCATAATATTTATTGGCTTTTTCTGTTTTCATTTGATTCTAGGATAAAATCTCCATAAATTTAACCACATATAACATTTTATTTTATTTCGAATCATAATTTTACTCCAATATATTATAGATGCTTTTCGCTGCAATTCTTTTTTAACTTTAAAAAAACCAAAATAATAGGGTTTTCTATTTTTTTTTGTCATCAATTTATTTAAAGATGGTTTAATTTTTATCACCAAACTATTTAATGATTTTGAGGTTATAATACATATTTCTTTTATAAATTTCTCCTAATGATTTACAAATAAATTTATAAGCGACAGATTCATTAGTTAATTTTGCCCACAAAGTTAAACAAATTATTTGTTTTCTAATATTCTTTTATTCAAGATAATTATAATAAATTGAATCTTATTATAAATGTCCCAAAATAGCATATTGTTTATTTTGTACTAATTTATTGAAAGTTTTCAAAGCAAACTCCCCTTTTAGTTATTTTATTTAATAACTTTACAAATGATAAAATAATACACTCTAGCAATGTTAGTAGTATATTTTATTTTTTAAAATGTTTTCAAGCTTAGATTCAAACTACTTGATTTTTAGATTCATTTTTGATAAATAATCCCATCTCTAAAATAGCCTAGATAATTTACTCTTACTTAAAATAGAATTTAAAGTAAATTATTTATTGATAACAAATAACTTTCTAGCCTTCTTATAAAATTATTCATTCTCCTTTTTTTAAAAAATGTTTTGGAGTTTGTTGAATCCTCCAATTTAATTTAATTATTTTAACCATTTATGTAAAATCCTTTATTTTTGCATTTTAGAGCATAATTGATAAACCTTCATATCTTTGTTCATTTTCTTCATTCTATTTAAAACGCAACTTTTTGTTTTCTTTATTGCATCTTCAATAGAAAAGATGATGGTTTTCAATGAATGAGATTTTTGATATTGTTTTTTCCATTATTAAAAGTATTTAAATAAAAATAGGTTTTATTATTTCTCTTAAATTTCTATTTCTTTGCTATTATCTTTTATTGCTTAGATCGAAAAGATCATGTTATCCTTTCCCTTATTAGACATTTGTAATAGAAAGCGTTAAAATTTCTTTAATTTCTAAAGTTTGGATGCCCACATTTTCAAAATTTTTCTTTTCGTTACATTTAATGAATTGTGCTTAACTTAAACACTTTTATTAATGAGTAAAAGTTTTAAAAATTATTTCTTTAATTATTTAAATCTTAACTTATTTAAAACTTTTGTTAGATAAATCGTCTTTTAAGATGATTAAGTTGAATCAAACCAATACAAGAGTACTTTTTTCATTAAATTTTGTTTGTAATACAATTTTGCGTTTTCAATCCTATTATTTTCGTCTAATTTTTTAAAAAGTTTCAATTTTTAGTCTCTTTATATATCCCAAATTGCTTATATCATAAGTTTTGCTCCTTATTATTTACTAGTAAAGACTTTCCATCCAGCAAAGCATTTTCTTAATTTATTGATTTTCATAACTTAATCTCTTGGTCTTTTCTTATTAGCAATAAGATCTTTAAAACCTTTGAAATATTTTTATAATAAATTTTTCTTTATTTACAAAACAGTGATAGCTGTAAGGTAAGCTACATTCTATTCAAATGTAAATAATCTTCTCATGTGTTTAAAACTATTGGATTTAAGATGATATAATTATCTTTTTTTTATAATTTCTGTATTATTTCGCTATTTGAGTTTTTTCCTAATAAATAGATTACCATTAGTTACATTTTATATTTATTTAATTGATTGAAAGCAAATTTCATTAAGTAAAATATTCTGCCTTATGCCATATACTTTTTCTTTTAAAAATCTCTAACTTTTATTAACTAAAAACAATGAATGTTAAATTACTTGCATATGTTTAAAAAATATTCTCTATTGTAGATTTGTAAAAGTAACACAAAAATTTTCAATTTTGCCTTTTGATAATCGCTTTGCATTCCAAAATTTCAAAAATCTTACCTTTTATTTGTAAACTATAATTGGAAGATTTTTTTAATCTTAAACTTTTTATATTTTCTTTTTCCATTTGTAATCGTTCAATATTTTAAATACTCTAATGTAAAAAACAATTTTACTTTTAATAAATCTTAATGACGTGCAATTTGTCGAAATTATTTCGAATATTTCTTTTATATGAATGTTTTTAACTGTAATTAAGCCAGAAATAAAATGGTCCTGCTACATATTTACCGAATAAACTTCTTTACACACTTCTCTTATTACTATTTGTTTACAAAATTTAATTACATCACTTTTTATCTATAATTATATGCTCTAACCTTCATACAATCAAAGATATGCTTTATTATGTTATGTTGATGAAGTGAGAGTAATTACTTATAGAACTATTGTTTTTTTAAGTGATTAATAAGGTTGATTCTTAGGCCTCTTATAACTTTTTGTTTGAGTTTTAGAGGGTATTTATTCTCTTACTTAAATCTAATATTATTTAACTAAATGATAGAATCTTATTTACTTTGAGTTCTTTCACAAATTCTTTTTAGTGTTTAGATCTCATTATTCTGACTAAATTCTTTAACCATAACGATCTTTAAAATGCAAGTCGATATTTATTAAAGTATAAGTAAATTTAAAACTATTTGATTTGCGGGATATTAGTAATATCTTATTTTCTATGGAATTTCTTTTCTTTTGCCCAATTCAACCAAAAATTAGTTAATCTTGGGATAATATATAGTTGATTACCTCCTTAATTTGTTGACTTTATAAATGGCTCTAGCCTTGGAGTTTAGTTCTTTTTTCATTTTCTATTCTTTGGTATATTGTTGTAAAATATTAAATGGTTTGCTTATGTAAAGTATTTGTAAAAATCGCCCAATCTGCTGATATTATCTTAATTAAATAAATTATTACTCTTTTTTCTTCTCTTTTATTTCGATGTAGAGTGCAAACCCTTTAAATCCTTTTCTTAATAAATGGAACAGATAAACATCATTCAACTATTTTTTATAATTGTTTTTATTCTTGATTATAATATGAAAACATTTTAGTATTCTAAGAATTTTCCTTTTGTTTTAATAGATTAATAGATTATCAGCAGTTTATTTTCGTTTTCTATTGAAATCCTTAAGTTGGAGGTATTATTTCCATTTTTTAAAACACTTTTTCATAATAAATTAATTAGTTTCTCGTTTTTATTGATTCATCACTAGGCTATTCCATACAGTGAAATACAGTTTTTATAATTTTTATTAATATAAACCATAAGCTAACAAGTTATTTTAGTGTTTATCCCTGCGATGTTGATAATATAATTTAAATTTGATAAAGCAAGCTTTCAATGTTTCTTGATTTTTTAATTGAATCAATCCAGAACTTATTTTATTTTTAGAATTTTTATTTTATTTTGCTAAATGAAAATTGATCCATTTTTCAAAATATATTCTTAGTTGATTGAGACTATAAAAGTGATCTGCTTACACTTTTTTTAGTCTATTTTATTTATGTTTAATTGAATATTTTCTCATTTTGTTAAAAGCTCTCCAGAGATAGTTGTGTTTTCTCATGAGTAACACTTGATTTCTGGAATTTTTAATTCTCTTTTTCCTCAACCAGTTTTGTTTCTACATATAATTTCATAATTTTACTAAATTGTCAAAATGATAGAATAATATTTTTAGTGTTTGATTTTGTTTAAACTGTTGGATTTCTTTTTCAATTTGGAAAGAATCTTTCAAACTGAATTTTGCAACTTTGGATGGTTCCGCTTAAATTTCAACATCTTACAACAATTTGACGGGTTCATTATAAAGGAATATAATTTTATTAAAGGCAAGTCTATAATGTTGCATAATTTTCCTCTGAACAACAGATATAAGTTATTGCAATGAGTTAATATTGAAGGAGGAGATAGTTCTATTGGTCTTATGTTACTTTTCTGATTTTATATAGTCACTTTAAGCTGAACGTCTCTTTCCGTCAGAAATTTGTTGCAAAATCTGATTGGTTAATCTAGTGAATAAATGGGAAAGGATTACTCTTTTTGGTAATCAGATTAAAAATCGGTTAATCTTGATGCTCTGGTTTCAAAGGTTGGCGGAGATGCAAATGTAGTGGGACTAGTAAATTTTTAGACTTTGTCGAATTTGCTGGGTTAGATCCTATTAGTTTGATTTGGGTTATTTTCATCACAGGAGGTTTTTACATCGAAAGAGAAATTTAGGCTGTTTAACTCTTTAAGTTATTTCGGTTTCAATGGGATGTATCTTTAATACCATTTATCTCCATCATTTCTCGATTCTGTTATGATTTGTTTATAAACCTTGTCATACATATCAATGTCAATTCTTTTTGCTCCTTAATTTAGTAATAAATTAATACTCCTCAATTTGTCGAGCACATCCAAAATGTTACTTAAATTATAACGGCCATTCACTTCAGCCATTATCTCTTACATAACAGGCTCCATACTTGGTTTAATATTTAAATTTGAAAAATATATTAATTATTTGTTATGATTTAAATAATATAAGCTCAAGGGTAAATAAATTCAGTATTTATTGTTCAATCGGAATCTACTCATTGAACACATAAGAAATGAATTAAATGAAAACTATTCTCAAAAGAAAATGCGAATCATCAAATTTATATATAAAATTATTTATATTATATAAAAATGAATGAAGAAATCGATCATCATTTAGAAATGCAAGAGACTAATGCTATGTTGCTTTAGTAATTTGAAAAAGTGACAGAACAATAAGAAGCAGAGACTCCAAATAAATATTCTGATCATTCAGATCCACCTTCGCCCACTAAATAAAAATCTAAAAAGAAGGAAAGAATTGTCGAGAAGCTTTTAGAAAATAGAGCAAAATTCAATGACAGGACAGCATTATTCAATTTAATCAACACTTTACAATTGGTAATGGCATTTTCTAAGAATTTAGGCTATAACTCTATACAATCTTAGCTCAATTATTAATATAGAAGGATAGACAAATTTAAAATTTTATGATACCACTCAAATCTATAGCTATTATGTGTGGAATAAACAAGGATTCACTGTTTACTACTTGATTATCATTTTGATTATGGTTCACATTTTAAAATTGTTAACATGTTTGGTGGGTATCGATAAAATTTAACAAATTAGGTTATTTTTGTGTTGTGCAAAAGAGTGAAAAATTGTTAACCATCTTCATGATGTTAACATTTACTTGTGTGATCACAAGAGGAATAATAACTATATTACTACTAATCGATTATAGTTAAATAGAACTCACCTAATCGTATATATACGGAGATTCCGATAAGGTAGCATAATCTTAAGCAGTGTAATTTACCATAGTTTTGGTTCTTTTTGTTGCAGTAGAGATAATAATGGGTTTGTAGAGTCTCTTATTGGCAGGTTAGGCTAAGAAGAAATATAAATGTACATTAATTCATCAATATAAATCAAGCTATGCGTATCAACGAAAAGAAAATTGCTGCTCATTATTCAATTGCTTACTAGATCATGTTAAGATAATTTGTAATTTGATTTGTTGTATAATAAATATCGATATTATGTATATAAAATATTGGATATGCATAAAATATATCATTTAACCTAGACAGTTATTCCTATTTTATCTCATAATACCTTTAAAAAAATAATAATAGAATTAATTAACATTCATTGTCACATAAAAATAACTTTAAATAGATGTATTCCTCCTGTAATAATATATAGTAGAATTTATAATAATTCAATTATTTTATATTTCTCACTTTTTTTGATTTCAATTAATTGATTCAATTGTTCATAATTTAAAGTTTTGCTTATCATGAGGTTGCAATTCAAGTTCTTAATTTATACGAATTAAATTAGTCTACGTTGCATAGATAAGTTAGATAAACTGATTAAATATATAAAATTATCAGTAGGAAAATAATAATTTATAAAATGGGAATTTGTGGAAGCACTACGAAATAACCAGAAGATTAGATTTGTAAATTGAGTCAGCCAATCATAACTAGTGGTGAATTGCAGATAAAAGTGCTGTTGAAGAACATTAAGTTAAAGATGCCAGATATCCGATAATGTTCTATTGAATTCGATTTGGGAAAATGTAAGTATACGTCACCTGTGCATGTGAATAATGAAGGAGAACATTATGTAATTATTATTTGATAGAAGCAATTAAGTGGCGAGCAAGTTTTGATGGCTTACTTAAGATGACTGAATAATAAATGAGAGAAACTAATATTAAGATTTCGGTACTAACATCATCAGTGATTGGACAAGCCTAAATCAATTTATTTGAAGCTGCAGTAGGCCCTTTCCATTTTGAGTTACCAATAAGAGGCTAAAATAGTGGGAATGTGAGTTTCGATTTGAAAATGAATCAAATTGTTCAAGCCACCTTATAGAGCAAATACATAATATGGGAATTGAATTCGAGCTTGAATGAGGTTAGATACAATTACAATCTGCGTTTGGTGGTTCAAATAAATGACTATTAACAAGACCTCCCAATTGTCGTACATCTCTGAGCATTCATCTACCTTTACTAATCCGAACTATAGAAAACAGAACGAGAAGAAGAACACGCAATTTTAAACTAGTCGTAAGAGCATCTTAGACCAAGATTCTGTAAAGGATATTTTTACCTCCTTATCAAGACTCCCTTCACTAAAAAGTCCTCCAAATCCATCATATGATTCCGTGGCTGCAACCCCTACTCATAAAGTATATAATCACTAAAACCATAGGCAAACCATCGAATTGAATGGGAACATATCAACGACGAACTTGCAATGATAGTAGAATTGCCAATCCAGGAATTTCAAGGTTCAGCACTTTAATTGTGTTTATGGTCTATTTCATCTAATAAAAGGAGTTTAGACAACGTTAAGTCTCCCCAAAAGACTACCATAAAGAAAACAAAAAATCAGCATGATTCCGAATACATGGATTTGGAAATCTAAGATCATCATCTGGTAGCAGAAACCTACATCAATTTGTCAAATATGGAAACAAGTGTATCAGGGGAACAGGGAGCCAAAATTTTAATGATCAAAAGCTATCAACCTAAATCTCTTTGGTATCATGGTGTTGAAGTTGGTAAAATTGATTATGAAATCAGTGTCCGAATCCCAAATCATCTCTAACAGTCCTCATTTGGGGTTTAAACAGAAAAGGGAATTGTTTCTTCCATTTCTGTTGTTGGAAATGTAGAAAACATCAGTGTTTCTGAAATAAAAATGATACAAATGGAATTCTAAAAGTTATCTAGCAACATTTTCAAGATAGAACATAAATCTCTCAATATTGATGAAAAATTAAAAGTTAGGTAAGAAATGGATCAAAATCTAACTCGTTTAGCATAATTTCTTGGCCAATCTCATGGAAGTGCTATCAAAACTTTCTAATATAAATCCGAAGATGATTTAATGAAAGCGTAATAATTACTCATTTAAATCTCTATTCATCTAGTTGATTATTCCAAAACATTATCCACTTTTAACTCTTATTATGAATGTCTCAATCAAGTCTTAAGTCGTGGAGAACTAATGCTTTAACAATTGGGATTTTTTAAAGCTCTTAATAAAAAATAATCGAATTAGAAAATTGAAGTTTGTTTAAATTATTAGACATTCTTAATCAATACATTACGTTACACACTATCCAGATTAAATTAAAAGGACCCATCATATGAAGCCAGAAAACTCTATATCAAATTCTTAGTCATCAGTTATTTCAGAATACCAGAGTTCAGAGCCAAATTCTTAGAACTTATTAATAAACCAGACGATCCTCAATTAACTGAATTACGAGGCACAGAATTCATACAAGAAGATGATCCTACCAACATAGATAAAAGTACTAAGAATAACATCTCAATATTTGATTGGTAGAATTATTTTCATACTTATTTGAATGATAAAAATTAAGGAATCCAAAATTAATCAGCTCTCAATTAAATCCTAGATGATGAAAGTTGGAAGGAAAACATAAGGCATAGGTCGATTAATTTTAGTTTCTTTGTTGAAGAATGGGCAATCTATGTTAGAAATATTCTACAAGTGAAAATACTGCCTTGGCAAGATATTCCAGGTTATAGAATTTTAGTTAAAGCCTTTATGTGTGAATTAAAATAGTAAGATTCAGTGCCTGATGCAATGAAAATAGCATTGAGGAGTTTGATGCAAAATGTTAATCTCTTAGGAATCATAGTTAGTCTACAATTTAATAAGACAAAGTAAATAGAATTAAAATTATTCTAGTTTATATAACACAGAGTAAGTGATTGAAACCTTTGAAATTTTGGATATATGCTTCTCCACCTTGACTACAATGCCTCCTTATTTCGATTACCCATTCCTTTTGAAAGGAATAAAATAAATCATTATAGATTCAGAGCATGCCATTTGCATTGCCAAATGTCTGTGGTTCATCTATAATATATACCCATTACTCTAAAGTAAACATATATCCTATTGGTCAGCGGAGTTTAAGAAGGATCTGTGCGAGTTCATCTTTGAGAAAGCTGTCTTCAAACTATTTCTTCATTGGAGCAAGACCGTAAGACTGATGTTTCATTATTTTCTACTATACAGAGTGTCACATCAACATAAGAATCCTAAAGTTGGAGGATTAGATGAGGAGTAGAATTATAATGTAAATAAATAGGTAAATTATATAATAATACACTCTGATCAATAGACCAAAAAAGAATCAAAGCTACTTTGAAAATCGACAACCTCAATAATAGTTAATTGTAATTATGTAGTACTCATTATACAATAGTCTGATTACATCTACATGAAGTACTTGAGATTCTTAAGCAAAGTTGAATAGGCGAAAGTAAATGAAGCAGAAAGAGAATATTAATAGGATTATAAGAGTTACTATTAGCGATTGGTGGCTAAGAAGTTGAAAATGGAGCAAGAATAGAAATTACGATAAGACGCAGAACCAAAGATGGAAAGTTTAAAATTAGAAAGACTATAATCTGAATAAGAAGAATAAATATAAAAGTAAAATTAGTTGAAACCAGTTATAGTTCCCAGAACAGTTATGCATAAGAAATTAAGTTGTAAGACATTATAACTCATTTTAAGTTAAACACGATATTGAAATTACAGATAAATAATAACAATATGTTTTAATTTCTATTAGAGAATTTGAAGAATAATTGAAAAATTATAATAATTGGAGATAATCTAATATCAAAAAGGTCATGGGCAAATACAATGAGGAAGGTTCGATATTTATTATATTCAAGATAAACACACTATTCATCTAACCTTTGAGGTTCCAAAAATGGATATTCTTAAAAGAATTGATGAAAAGGAAGGTGCATGAATTTATCTAATATTATCGATTATGTCAATATAAATACTTTTACTTTCTTATTTCTACATATTTTATATAAGTTAATAATATTGAGAATCAGAATGAAAAAAATACAATTTGTTTTCCAGAATGTTCACTCCTATTTAGTTTAAATAAGAGGGATTTCATGATAAATGTACATTCTAAAAGCAAATCTGCAGGCAAAAAGTTTCTAATATTTTTAGCTTATCTCATATTTCTACTAAATATTAATAGAAAATCCGGTATTCAAATTTCTAGTAGAATTAAAAATAAGCAATAATTAACATTGTTAAAACCAAAAAGAATGATTCAAATGGGATCTGAGAAAGCATTTTTAAAAGAAAGTTCAGGTATTGATAACATGAATCAACTGCAAGAAGAATTAGACACAAATATTTTTACTGTTAATTTTTCAAATTTTGGATAAGACCAGGATTAAGTAGTTCACTAAGGAGATCCTTTGTATTGTTAGAATTGCAAAGGAATCTTAAATAAATATTCTATTCTGTCTCTATTTAATAAAAGTGGAAGTTGTCTGTAACTTTCATGGGATTGTGAGTTTTGTACTCATCTCAATGAGATTTAAATCCAGGATGGTGATATTCCAGAAAAAGAAGAAGCCTTGTACTTGATTTAAAGCCCTTTGAAGTAATAGAGTTAAAATTAAGATAAAACATCAATCATATTTTGCATTGATACAAGCGGTTCAATGTCAACTACCACTGAAATTAAAGGAAAAGTATAAATCAAAACAGGTCTAACTAATAAAGAATAAGAAATGCTTAAGAAATTCATCGAACCGGGAACTGATGCTCATTATCTGAAAAAATAAAAATAAATCAGTTATGTATCAAGAAAGCAATGTCTTCTATCAGCAATTGAATAGCAAATATAAAAGTTGTAAAAACAAAACCCAGAGAAAGTTGTAGGATTGGTAACATTTAATAACGATGTCGTCGTTTATGGGGATGGATCATAATAGCCAATTAAATTTTAAGAATAAGAACTATATTAAGAAGTCTAAATTAAAACAGCATTGAGCAGATGTGCTAGGTAGATGATGTAAAATCCAATTAGCAAATAAGCGGATAATATCATAGATATTTGCTAATAATTATAGGACAATGGTCAAACTGCTTTGGGTCCAGCTTTAATTTCTGCTTTGGAATTGGCAAAAGTAGGAAAACCTGGATCAATGATTATCATATGTACAGATGGACTGGCAAATTTAGGGTTGGGTGCATTAGATTGTGAATCAAGTAGAAGATTATATTAAGAGCTTGGATAAATGGCAGCTGAAAAAGGAATAGTGATATCACTTGTAACAATAAAAGGGGAGGGATGTAAAATTGATACTTTAGGAAAATTGGTTGAAAAAACTAATGGAATTGTAACTAGAGTCAATCCTGAAAAAATAGGTGAAGATTTTGCCAATATTATTAATGATATTGTAGTTGGAACATAAGTTGAATTAAAAGTAATTTTGCATAAGGCTCTAAAATTCAGAAGGGAAGACTAATTAAAAGCAGAAAACAATACATTAAAGAAATATATAGGAAATGTTACAAAGTCAACACTTTAAACATTTGAGTATGAATTAAAATCAGAATAAGAATTAAAAAAAGAAAATATAGACATAAAAAAATTAAATTAAATTCCATTTTAAATTAGGATTACTTATACAAATTTGAAAGGAGAGAGAATGATGAAAGTTGTCACTAAATTACTCTAAACAACCTAGAATAAAGTAGAGGCTGAAAAATCAGCTGAAGTTGAAGTCATTCATAAAAGATTGGCTTAAAAAACTGCATAAATAGCCAAAAAAGGAAATTATGAAGAAGCTTAGATATATAATCAAAATTGGAATCAATATTTGCAAAAAAATCCTCATATTAACAATAATTAAATAAATTAACAGAAGAATTAAACTTATTAAAGACATAATTAAAAATTGTCAAATGCTATTAAAAATTAGGAAGCTCGCTAACAAAAATCCATGTGCTTTTAAGAAATAGAATAAAAAGGGAGCTCTTTGAAATAAAATGTTTAAGATGTTTATTTGAAATAAATAAAGAATGAAAATTCAGAAAATACTCCATTTACGGATTAAAAGTCTATATAAACCCCTTAAGAAAAAGAAAAAATTAGTGAAAGAATAGATTAAACTAAATACACATCATAAAAATTTGACACCCCAGGTTCACAATCAAGTTCAAAAAGTGAGATTAAAAAAATGACACCAAACACTTTTAGTACAATCGATTCAAATTCCTATAACAGAAAAACTAACTCTAGCCAAAATTCTAGCTCATCAAACGAATCTGATGAAGATCAAGATTAAGCTACTTTGTATTTTTATGACAAAGGGTAATTTTGACTTTTTATTTTTATTTTTTATGTCTTCTAATAAATATATCGAATAATCTCCAGAAGTCTTAAGCCAAAGAAACTCATTTAGACATTCTTCATTTAATTAGAGTGTTCAAGAATTCTCTTAGTATAAAGAAAAAATGTAGGATCTTATGTTGCCAAATGTAGAATTTGTAGATCCATAAGATTTTAAGAAGCAAAATGAATGTTTAGTTTGTGGCATTGAATTTACTTAGACAAATAGACAGCATCATTGTAGGTAATGTTTATGCTGCTATTACATTTTAGAATGTGTGGAAGTTCCTGCTGTGGCTAATGTTCTCAAAAAACAATCAATAAGAATAGAGTCTGTGATATTTGCTATATGAAAGCCTCTTAGTTAGCTGCTGAGAAAAAAAGGAATAAGTTCTTACAATCTTTAAAGGATTCTGCAAAAAAATTGAGAATACATATAGAATAAGCATAAAAAAAGAAATAAGAGTTGTAGAATGAAAGAGATGCTCAATTGGACAAATAATAGATCGACTTAAGAATATTAGAAAAGGAAACTGAAGACTATAGATTAAAGTATTCTCAAAAAACTTAAGACAAATGTTTATATGAGCAAGAAGTTTAGGAATTTATTAAAAAAATGGCAGAATTAAATGCTCTTAAAGAATAGGTATAGTAAGAATGCCAGGAAAAAGAACAGGAAATACGCGCTTATGACACTAATCTATATTTAAGAGAGCAAGAATTAAATGACAAAAAGACTTAATTGCAAAGATTAAAATAATAAAAAGAAGAATTAGAAATATTGTCTTAGAAAATTGAGTAAAATCCAGAGGTAGCTTAAGATATTAGCATACCTGAGCCAGTTTAAATATTATAACAAGAGAAACAATTACAGCAAATGTACAATACTAATATTGATATTGATGATATTATGTATGGAAACACTGATAATGGTAAGGAATCCTTAACTTTAATCAAATAGGAATAGCCTCAACAATAGTAAAAAAAGTAAAGTTCTACATAACCAAATAAATAAAAGTAGAAGGATGAAGAGGAGGGGGAAGAACAATATAAATGTAATATTTTTTGATTTATAATATTAAGTGAATATTCACTAACTATCTAATAATTATTATAGCAGTCCTAAAGTTTTTTGGAGTTAATCTTTTGCATTTTAATATTTTTTAAAGTCTACTTCTGAAATTGCTTATTATAAAACAGTTTTGATTTAGTTTCTCATTTATGCTTGTTCCATTGGAGAGAGTTTGGTTGCTTAGGGTTTTCCTTATTATGCTAAAATTATTATTGAATGCTTACATTATGGTTGTGCTTATGATGACATTTATTATTAATTTATTAATTATTATTATTATTATTATTATTGTAGTAATAATTATTATTAATATTATTATTATTGCTATTATTATTACTATTATTATTATTATTATTGTTATAACAACAATTATTGTTCTTATTACAATTATTACTATTATTATTACTATTATAATTACTATTATTAAAATTATGATTACTATTGCTACTATTATGATTACCATTACTACTATTATTATTACAACTATTATTAATACTACGATTATTATTATTGAAGTGAAGTTTATGGTGTTTCATTTTATGGTGCGACTGGTTTAATTGGTTATTATATTATTGCTGGCTATTCTTTTTATTGTTATTACTATTATTGCTAAGTAGTGTTCTATTATTAATGCTATGATATTTAAAGTTATTTTTGTGCAATTTATTCAAGCTCTTCCTCGATGGAATCTTTAGCTTTAGGTTTAATTAATGTTGGATCTTTGAGTTTTTTGTGTTGGTCAACCATCTTAAATTTTGCATACTTTTCTATAATATTTAAATAACAATTACGCTTTTCCAATTGATCCTAATTCAGTGGCTCAAAGTATTGGAGCACTTCAATAGCCTTTTAAACTGATCCAAACATATGCATGAGTTCTTAGGAAACCTCTCCGTCTCTTTCTCTTGTGTCTGCATCATAGAAGAATTTATAAACGAATTCTGTATAATGCTTTTTGTTTTCTTCTTTATTTTACAATTATGGATTCTAGGTCTTCAAATTTTCCAATTCGCTGATCAATTATTACAGCATTTAGAGGTAATTCTGAGAAAAGGATTATTTAGAATGATACCTATTGTTGAGTCTTTTTGTAGAGCGCATGCAATCTTTGTGCAACATAGGCTTTGGTTATGTAAGCAAAAGTAATGTTAAAAGTACTAAGTTATTGAGAGTGCTGGAGCAAACCTTGTATTTGCTTGAATTCTGGATTTTGTTGCATGTATTAATGAAAAATATATATGAATATGTATGAATTGGAAATAGTATTAAAATTTAAAAATGGATCAAGATAATCAAGAACCAAGCAGCGATATTTAAATGAACCGCACAGAATCTTAGGCTGGGTTATTAGAAATATAACCTCCTTAGTTGGGCTAATAATAACCGACTTTGGAATTGCCTGAGGAGGAATAATAAGATGATTTTAGTAATTGCTATTTTCTAAGTATTAACCATAGAGACTGCAAAGAGCGAATAGGTACAGGGAGATCAATAGGTGTAGGAGGATCCATTAAAGAATGAGTCTCAGAATGCGACGAATTAGCAATCTGACATACATAATTCATTAAAGATAAACGAGAACGTCAAGAACATTTTAGAAAAATCTGTAGATTAAGACCCTAAGAAAATGGGGAATGATGAAACAAAGGAGGATCCTCAAAACGTTATTTCGAATTTGATAGATGAAGATTACTATCCACCTGACGATTGGCAACCTGAGAGGCAAGAGGAGATACAACCTTATATTCATCCAGACACAATTCAATTCCATGATTGCTTTGGAATGGATTCAAATAAAAAAAGCAATTTGTGGCTTATAGATTCCCAAACATTTGTGTATGCAAGTAGTATCAGTTACCATTTTTATAATTTTGTATAAGGAACAAATGAAACATTTTTCAGTAGAGATGGGGGTGGTATTGGAAGTGTTGCTGTCCATCCATCCAGGAAGTATTATTCAGTGGCAGAGAAAGGAACATTTCCTAATGTTTACATTTATGATATAAGTCATAGACTCTATCGAATATTAATGAAGGGAACAGAAAGATCTTACTCCAATTCAAGTTTCTCCAAGGATGGTGATAAATTTGCAACTGTGGGTTCATCTCCAGATTACTAAATTTGCATTTGGGATTGGAAACAAGAAAAGATCCTATTGAAGGCCAAAGCATTTTCTCAGGAAGTGTATAAGGTGGGATTTTCTGAATATAATGTAAATCAATTGGGGACAAGTGGAATGGGTCACATCAAATTTTGGAAAGTGGCAGAAACCTTTACAGGTCTTAAGTTAAAAGGAGAAATCGCAAAGTTCGGTTAAGTTGAGTTGTCTGATGTGTATGCATTCTATCCATTCCCGGATGGAAAGGTGTTGAGTGGAACTGAATATGGCCGTTTGATTCTCTGGGAAGGAAATGTAATCAAAGTAGTCATTGGGATGTCAGAAGAGGAACCATGTCACAGAGGAGCTATAGAATCAATATTCTTATATAAGGATTGTATAATAAGTGGAGGTAAGGACGGATTTCTAAGATCTTGGAAATTAACAGAATTGGATCAAGCTGAAGGAGACGATCAACTCAATTATTTTACTCAACCCACAAAATCCTTAGAGTTGATTGACGATGAAGAGAATGCTCAAATTATTTAGGTTGTTACTGATGAGCATTTTTGGCTGGTCGGTGATTAAGGTGGTAGAGTTTGGAGAGTCGATTGGGAAGCTGGCAAGACATAAATTATCTATAGAAACAATTCAGGTGCTTATTTAGATCTTGCTCCTTCACCCTAGTTGAATGCAGCAATTACAGTAGGTGATGATGGAGCTATCACTTTATGGGATTATGTCAAGTGTGAGTAGACTTACAAACGTAAATTTGCTAAGAAAGCTACCTGTATCTAATGGATGCCATTTACAATGACTAATAAAGGGAGAGTAGTAGTTGTTGGATATAGCAACGGCATTGTTAGATTTTTAATGCTCAATTAAAATAACTTCGCATTATTGAATGTGTAAAAAGTACATCCGAATCCAATTTAGAAAATCATTGTATCCAGTAACACCAATTATGTGGCTGTTTTATCAACCAAAGGTGAAATATTTATTCTCAAATATTCTGATTCCAATATCCAAGACATTCAAGCATATTGTTTATGGGAAACTAAGCTTGGTATCAATGATATTTGTTTTGATAAAACAGGAACCAAAATACTTATGGCATGCAAAGATGGATATCTCTATTAAGCTATAGTACCTAGTGATGTTGATAATAGTGAAAATTATCTTTAGGAGTTTAATGCTACTCAATATTTAGTAAGAATGATGGAATCATAAAAACCTAAGAAGGAGGACCTCGATTTATAGTTCCTAATGAAACTTAAGGATGACAAAATGCCAGATGTAGAGTGGGATCCTGCAAGCATAATGAATGTTGCTTATTATGGCGATAAGGTGTTTTGTACAGCAGAAGGGAAATATTTAGGTTGTTGTTACCTCATAGATCTTAATAAGGACAGACCTATCGAAATGATTCCTATATAAAAGATGCAGACTTATCATTTGGATTATAAGGATGATGTATTGACTATAGGATATAAAAATGGGCAGTGGGACATTCGTCACAAAACAGATTTTAATAAATAGATCAATAAGTAATCTCATGATATGGATTATGGTCGTGTTCGTAAAGTAAGTTTGACTTTTGATAGAACTGGAGTGTTGAGTGTAAGTGATGATGGAACATTCTATGTTTATAAGATAGATTTCCAAAATTTCTTAATGCAATTGAGTGGTAGTGAAGTCCAAGGTTTCTAATACCCAGAATTTACAATGGGTATTAACAGTGGAACATTTGTGGAAGAGATTGCATTTGAGGAGCCTCAAGATATTTTGGATGATACGATATACTCAATTTAATAGGCAAAATTGTTAGCTGAAGAGGATAATCGCAGGAATGAGGCAAATAAGAAGAAAGACACAGTTAAGTCCCGTATTTTGTAATTAAGAGAACAATTTTCATAAGTGAGACAGAAGAATCAGACAGCAGAAGATGCTGCCAAATTGACTGAAGAGGAACTGTGTGTGGATCCTGAGTATAAGTAGATGTTGTTGGATAGAGTAGCTGAAGATGTGGAGGAAACCAGATTGGAGTTAGAGTGGGACAGAACATTAGCCAAAATGAAGGCTGACAAGCTGAAATCATATATGATTGATGAACTAGAGATAGACAAATTTATGGTCAAAGGGTTCAGAAATCAAGCATCAGTTTAGACATTCAAAGTCAAGAAATTAAGCAATTTTCTTATTGAATAATTGAAAGATACTTATCGTTTGATTGAAGAGGAACGAAAGAATCAAGAAATCTAACCTTAGATTGAGGCTAAAACTTAAGAAAAAATTTAAGCACAATCCCAAATCAAAATTACTGCGGTTGATATGAAAGAAGAATAATAAAAGGCAACCGTCTAGTAAATGGATCCTGATTAGAAGATACCATAGGCAAAGTTAGAAAGGGAGAGATTACGTTAAGAGGAGGAAAGAATTAAGAAGGAGTAGGAGTTACTTGAGAAATCGAAACCTATTGAATTGGCTAAGCCTGAAAATGCTCCAGACATTCAGGAAGCCATTAAATAATATGGGGATTACAAGTTGAAGAGTTCTCCTAATTTTGAAGTACCTGACAATTAGAGGATGAATGTCAGTAAGAAAAGAAAACATATGTATATGTTGGAAGAGTTTATATATAATACTAAATTGAAATTCAATTAATAATTATTAAATTTGAAGAAGAGGAAAGTGAATTTGATAGACAAGATAAAGAAATATAATTAATAAATAAAGAGGATCAATGAATAATTGGGAAAGTAAGAACAATTATTCCAACCAGAGATTGATAAGGAATTGGAGGATCCACATAGTTTTATGGAAATCAGTGATGAGCAAATCAATGAATTTATCAGTAAATTGTAATAGCAATAATAAAAGAAGGATGAGCAAAAGAGGATTGCTCCTGCTCAGATTTCCAAGCCAGCTGAATAAAATTAGATTAAGACAAGAAAGGGTATTAGAGTGCAACAATCAAGTATGGAAGAAGAGATGAAGACTATTCAAGATATGGTATTGAGTGCAGAGAAATAAAGAATGATTGAAGAGATGTAAGAAGAAATCATTCAATTTGATAAAGATGTGGTTAAATGTTAAAATGAGAAGAATGTTCTTGAAAGTGATATGATGATAGCTCAAATGAAATTAGTAACATATTACTAAGAACTAATTATTTTAGAGGATATGGAGGATTTTGATAATAAGTTAATAAAGGAAGTATTGGATTTTAAAAAGGAAAAGTAGAATTTGGAATAATAAGTGGAGAAGATCATGGAGAATCTGGCAACCTTATAGAAGAAAGAACAACAAAATGATAAAGATTTAATAGAGTAATTGAAGGCATGGAAGGAGTTGGTGCATCCTGATGATGAATAGAAGAGAAATAAAATTCATGATTATTATCGTAAGAAATTCAAGAGAGAGATGCAGAAGAGATTGAAGAAACAATAAGAGAAGGAGCATTCAGATTCTGAAGAGAACGAAGATGACGAGGAAAATGAGGATGATAATGATGATGACATTGTATCTGACGATGATGAGGAGGAGAAGCCAGATATCTCTCCTGTTGAATAAGATCCTAAAGTTAGAGATGTAATAGAGAAAATATGTGGATTAGAAGAATAGTAGGACAATTTCAAATAGGAGAAGGTACAGAATGAGCAATAGAAGTCTAAATTGGCCAATAAGATTGCTTAGAATGATACGTATTTGAAGAGAGCGAATGATGATTTGACTCAATATTAGAGGAAGAAATTATAAAGAGTAAATCAATTGGATGTGAGTTTTGTGTTGAAATTATCACAAGTTCAAAATCTTAACGATCAAAAGTAGTTACCTGCTGATCTCAATAAATCCATATTATTTACTGAATATGATTTTTTCAAACTTTGCAAAAGAGTTGTTGAATTGAAACATGAACAAGGGAAAATTACCAAGTAAAAGGTTTAAAAAGATAAAACCAAGAAGATGCAAGAGAAGGAAATTAAATTGAAAGATCTCAAAATTGAAGATTTGAATAAGAAATATGAAGAGAAGCATATGCTCAAATTTGGAGACATCATTGATCTCAAGATATTGGATGCTTTGGAACCAACCAAGGCTGTCTTAGAGATGAGAGCATAATTTAATTAGGAAGAGAAGGAGGCTCAAAGAAAGGTTTCTAGGGCTAAAGAAGACTTGTCTAAAATGAAACAACAATTATTAGAAGTGAAGAGGGAAAATACTAAGATTTTTACAAACATCACCAAATTAGGTAAGCAACAAATGGATTTAAGTAAAAAGCTTACTTCTGGCAATAAATAACTGTTTAAGGGTGATAATAAGGAGAAAAGAACAGATATGGAGAGTGATAGATAGAGTTTAGAAGATCTAGTCAAATTTTTGGGTAAGGAGATAGAAGACCTAAAGAATGAGATTGGATTATATAAAAAGAAAGGTATATAATTTGAATATTTAAATTAGGTGGACATATCTATACGAGCATTACATAAACAAATCAAAACTTAGTTTAAAGATGATTATCTATCTTATTATTAAAATCAAACTATATCATAATCTTCTTCATCATCCATATCCCATTAATTCTAAGCTGAAGGCTTGAAGTTCTTTTGTACATCGTATTTATAATTCTTGTCTCCTGGTTTTACTGAATTCTTCTTATACATTGATTCCATAATCTCTTTATGCTTTTTTAATTCTTCAGTGGTCATCTTATTTAAATTCAACTGATTATAACCCATTTTTTAATATAGCATCTTATATTACTCATCTGTGATCTCATCATCTGAGTCTTCCTCTTCATAATTTTAATCATAACATTCTTCGTCTTCATCTTCGTCATCATCCTCCAAAACAGGTTATTTACCTTTTTGATTCTTCATCGCATAATTGTACAGATCCTCCTCTGACATTCCATAATCTTCAATATCCTTTTGTAATTTCGATTAGGTTTTGGACATATTCATAGATGCTTATGTGGAAGAACTCATGGGCCTGGTAGAAGATGTTGGTCGTTACAAAGTAGCATTGGCATTTACATTTGGCTTTGACATTTATAATCTTTTTTAGATCTTTCCAATCAATTCTATTTTATGGATGTAACATGTGCTTACCCAACAATTACTTCTCTGGAATCTTGTTATTCATAAAGTACATAGCATGTTTCTTCTTCAAATATTCCAAAGCATGATTGATAGGAGTGTCAGGCTTTAATTTCAGCAATTTCATTTTATGATGATACAACTTCCCTGAGGATGGTTACAAGTATTCAACAACTAGATTATATAAAATTGAATATCAACTGATCATTGGAGGATCAAATCTAATGGCCAATCTTTTAGGTTCCATATTTGATAACTTTTTGCTCTTATCTCCTGTGTCATTCTTCTTAGTTCCACCTGTTGTAGTCTTTTAATTTATATCAAAATTATATGGGTCTTTTGCTGCGGTTTTAGCAAAATTATACATAAAATATTAACTTACAGATTTGAATTATAAATGGGTCAAAATAATTGCACTCCTAATATTCCAGGATTGGAAAACTGCTATGCGAGATACGAGTAAACAGATGAAAATAAATATCCTTATTTAGTAGCAAACAAACATAGATTGGCAGAATCACAAAACTCATAGATCTTTGAACTATATCAAAAATAACAAGATCAGCTTCGATGTTATCTGCAGACTTCTCGTTAGCTCTCTCAATCAACTAGACGCAACTATGAATTTGAAGGGCGCTTTCTTAAACTTCCATCACATCTCATCTGTCACATTATGTATTTCGTTATCGACGATTACATCAACCTATTACTTGTTAATACATTGTGGTATACAAGATTAAATGAAGCATTTTCAAAGACTGTCAGCATAGTCGATGAAAAATTTTAACAATCACATTCCTTTTTAAAATTAAAACAGTCCAAAAATGCATTTCAGACTTTTCAGTTCGGAAGACAATAAGGGTTTAGATTGGATAGGTGTCTGATTGCAGAAATCGCTCCCGGAGTAGAAAGTAACATCTAATATTTATTAGAGATTCTATTGTTAAAATATCATACACTTACAATTGCAAAGGGCAAGAAAAAGCTTTTTGTTACAAATTTGGGATTCTGAGAAAGAACACAGTAAGAACCATTTGGATTGGAGTGGATCAAAGCACTGTAATAATCTATATCACACGATTTAGAATATATATGATAAGCAAACTGTCCCTGTCATCTAGCCAGTGCTTCCCTTTTGTGTTGGAGACTTCATCAAAATCCCATTCACTCTATTGAACCTCCAGGGATAAGTCAATTTATAAAGTATCAGATGGAATAAGCCATAAATTGAAAAACTTGATGTTGGTATTTTTGGAAGTAATCAATTGAAACTAGAATTTAATAGATCCCAAACATATCGCAATGTAACCCCCTCTTAGATTTGAACCTAAAGATGCCGATTGGACTTTGTTTCAATACTTTGATCATCCAATGAAGAAATGCTTTGATAATTTCAAGCAGATAAAGTTGAAGGAGTGTAGATGTTGTGGTAATGGGTTAGTGATAAATCGCATGAACTATACTTGTGTTTAAGAGGGTCACCTTACGATTCCAGAATTAAATATGAAGATGGTTGTCAAACAAGGTTGCATTACTAATCAGGTAAATAGAGCAACTGTTAGTTATGAATTGGATAATACATTGGAACTACGAATTGGAGATCTATTAACTTTGTACTACCTAAGAGGAGGTGACTCCTGATCGATATATAATATATATATATATATATTTTAATTGATATATATTTAGATTAACATGTATTATTAGATTATAAGTCATAAAAAATACATGATAAATGATCCCAAATATAATAGAATTAGAAATTTATGCTTATCTTAAATATTTAGTTCTATAGTTAGAATGTCTTCACTAGTATAGTTCATATCGAATATGCCTATGGAACATTATAATTTCGAGGAAATATGTAGTAAAATATTAGATTTGTTTGGGCACTATTATTTAAGCATAAATAGATAAATTGTTTTATATGATAATATGTTGATTTATGGTTTCATTATTATTCCTCCTAATATCGTTTATAAGTATTCTAATTGAAAGTATTCTGTTAAGAATTGTATTGCTAGTTTAAAGGCTCGATTTTGTGAAACACAATATTATTGGTTTTCATGAGATTTGATTAATTTTTATAGTACTCTTCTTGAATTTGATATTTATTAACTGGTGGATAGTTATAATATGATGATGTTTTTTCTTGCTTCATAGCTTCATCTCTAATTTTAGAAATAATAAATACTAGAATTGTTATTATGGACTTGGAATCCCTTGAAATTAGTTGCTTTGCACATTACTGTACTGAGCTCCTTAATTTGTGCTATTGTTTTATGGTTTCTTGTTTAAATAGATCTAAGGTTTGGTGGGATCGAAATCTATATTTTTCAATTCTTGACGAGAATAACTGATTAAAATTTCGCTCTTTTATGGATTTACTTGGCTTTCATTTGGATAATTCATCATAGGAAGATAAAATAAATAATAATAATTAAAGCTTGATAAAAGAATAGAGTTTAGGAATATGGAATTGACCATCTATTCGAAATAATTAGATCTTAAGTACAATGTGAACATTAAAAAATCAAATAAAGTGAAGGATATTGGTCTGAAACTCTTGCTTCAGTTTGGATATCCAAAAACAACACATTTCTCAATTTATAATGAAGATAAAATTTTGGAATTAGAAAATCTACTTGAAGTGTATTCTCTCAATAAATCATCAAGATTATCAATAATATTTACAAATAAGTTTGAAATCACACTTATTCATAAATTTTTCGGGAATAAGGAAATAACCATAGAAGCTTGGGATTAATTCACACAAATCAAACAATAGATATAAAAAGAATACGAATTCTCTTAGAGTTGTGAGGTATGTCTAAGAACGAGCAATCAAATTTATTGCTTAGAATTTTTGATTGTTCATGATAACATACATGCTGCTACAAATATGGAGTGGGAGGCCTACGAAATGCTAAAATACGTATATGAAAATACACAATATTAAATGAAGATTGACATTTCTGATGACTGGGACATGATTGCTAAGCAGATTAAAGAAGCTCAAAATATTGATAAAATTATTAAAATCAATTCCATGGTAGCTGAAAATAACAAATCGATTGATCCAACAGAGAGATACTATGAATCAAAGTTCTCTCCTGATACAATCTTTGAAGTGACAACTCCTCTTGACGTCACTCTGTAAATAGCATACATGGAAGCAATAAAGATAATAAATATTAAATAAACAGTTACTGTGATAGACTTGATTAAAGCAGCAAAAGAAGAACACAATTTATAAAGGAATAGATCATTTGTGATATGTTATTAAGGAAATAGACTATAGGAAGATTAGAATATTTAGGACTTGAATTTAATTTGGAACTCCATGTTGGAATTGAGGGAAGAGAAGATAAATAGCATTCAAGTGCAATTTAAGAATTAGAAATACAATCAACTAATAGTGAAATAAGTTAATAGTGATTAACTATTGATTAATGTTTTGAAGGAAATAGCAAATGTAAATTGCAGAAATTGTACGGATTTCAAAATAACTATCAATCAAAACGAAGTTGATTAAAATCAGGCTTTTTCTGAACTCCATATCTCAAATAATTAAATAATAGAATATGAATGTGATGCAATTGAAATAAAATTTACAATTGGATTAAAGGCATTTGAGTATCATGCCAAGAAATCACACACTATCTAAAGTTTAGAGTAGGAAGTCAAAAATAAATATTAGGATATTGTACCTGCTAATTTCTCTATTTATAAAAGTAATGATACTGTTTGTACTAAAACAATTGAAGAAATAGGTCTGAGAAACTTGAATGTGAGTTTCACATTTATCCCACTTGGTAAATTTGAATGCGAAGTCCTGTTTAATAATAAAATCGAAAAGGTAGAATGTTTTTAGTATAATACCGTGGAGATGTTAGAGTAGATTATTGCTAATAAGTATTAAATAGAGAGCAAGGACATCCAATCATTTTATGGGTATTAACCACTTAGCAAAGATGACTAATTAAAAAACATTTTTGTGAATGGTAAGTTCGATATTTATATGCAAAAAAAAGAATAGATATAAATATACTTGTAAAGTGTTGATGCTATGGAATAATTGATAGTGAAGATTAATATTGATGATCCAATTGGTTTGGCATTGGAAAAGGAGGGCTTTAAAAATATCAAAGACATTTTCTTGGAAGATTAAATTATAGATCTCAGCAGCAATTGCCAGTAACTACAGATTGCACCTCATTCAATTTTGACTTTTCAAATGTGTTAATGACATTAACTTGTAAGAAAATCAAATGTTTAAGGTTTACTAAAATAATAGAATTATATATAAAATTATTATTCTTTTTGTATTTCTAATAACATGATAGAGGTTACCTTCAAGATAGAACAACTAAGGATCAATTTAACCTAGTCAGTTAGCCCACAATTATAGATTGTCTCGTACATTCGTAGAATATTGTACACAAATGGAATGGACTCCAACAATTGGGAAAACATTTCATGCTTTGTTACCTATAATAATTAAGTCCAAGATTGCAACAAATCTTTCACTGAAGCAGGAGTAACAGATCGAGGAGTTTTATAAATTAAGCTGTCCTTGAAAATTAGTATTGAGATAGTTAATAAATAATTGCCATTTCATGATAACAATGTTGATGCATTTGACAGTACTTAAAAATTTAAAGAGTCTATTATTCGAAATTACTTAAAGAGCACTTCTTATGAAATTGGCATTATCAATGTACAAGATGGGAAACAATTAGAGAAAGATACTTGGATTTAGAATGGCATAGGAAATTCTATATCTGTCTTATTGAATATTTAAGTTAAGTAAAGTATCAAATGGAAGGGAGAGGTAATAGACATTAACTTTAACATTTTTTCCCCCATTTACAAAATTATTCAAAATTTTATGTACAAACTCAACATCAATGGCATCATTTCATTTTAGAGTCAAAATTCGTTCCTCAAACCAGAATTATCCTACTTCGATAATAATCTCAACATTGATGCTGTATGGCAAGCCAGTATTCCCAATGAAGTGATTTATAGAGTCCTCCATTAAAAATAATCAAGAGAAAAACAAATAATCTTTAACAAAGACTAATAAATTTATTAGATAATTAAGCAATTAAGGAAAGAATTTGATATCAAAAGCTCAAATAAAATCACATTGATGTATCACTGGCCTCTGGATCAATTTGCTACTGTTGCTTAAGAAGCCATACCAAATTTTAGTTTGCTGAAATTGGTGGAGGAAGATTAAAAAGGAGAAAAACTTCAAATAATTTTATAACCGGTTCAAGGGAGTTCACATGAACTTCCTTAGATTTAATATATAGGATATGACACATCACTTGAATATTTAGTCGATAAAATTTCCCATACATAGAATGAAGATGTCTACCTTTATTTGGAAACACCTGAATCACAGTTGTCGCTAAAATAAACACTGGAATAATAAAATGGCTATTACGGTTGTACTATATTGTATAAAATTGTTTAAAAATAACAAAATCCTAAAATAAAAGCAGTTCAAGGGTAAGCAATAACAAAAAAGTTTGGTGTTCTAATTGTTAATCTCAACCTAGTTATCAATGTTGACATTGTTATAGAAAAAAATGATCTTGAGGCACTGGCTGGAGTATTGAGATACAAATTAAGCATGACTAAAAACTAAGTAATTTTATTTTCCTTGGGTACCACATTATTTTAAGAAAATTTGAGGCTCGATGAAATAATGGGTGGCAACTTTGAATTCTTGCAAGCACTGTTATCTACAAATTTACAAATTAATTTCAAAAACAGCAAAACGGAATAAGTGACTTTACTTACAGTGAATTTGGAAGACACTCTTAGAAAAGTTAATTAGAAACAAAAAATGGATGCTTAATACTCATTTGGAGGTAAATAATTGGGTCTAGATGAAACCTTTGCTTAATTACGAGTTCATAATAATTGTATGATTTTATATGAACTAAAAACGACTCCACAGGTAGAAAGTGCAATCAATAATTCTGAGAGCTAGTAACCGAGTTATTTAAACGATACACTGCATGAACCTTCTGTCTCTATAAAAATTGATGTTCAGAATCAAAATTAGAAATAAAGGATAGATGAATAAATATCTAATTAAGTTTAGCGAGATGCGCTTAGTGACAACAATAGAGATTTGATCACAGTCAAGACCTCTGTTGGCGAGAAATTATATAGATGTAGGGTGAAAGGAAGTTTGACTTGTGAAGAACTCAAAAAGTTCATCTATGATTTAGCAATTTAAGGAGACCCATTAAACATTAAGTAGTATAATCTTCTTTAAGGGGACATAGTTCTAAGGGATGATCAAACAATTTCTTCATTAAATTAGAAGGAAGTTGAAATGCAATTCAAATTAAAGTGATACATTGTTTGATTTATTGATATTATAGTATAAGCATTCTATTGAATAAAACAATTAAAATAATTATTAATGCAAATTCCTGGAGATTTTGAAGCATAGATTAGAATAGTCAATGAACAAATGTCCATTGATTAGCCTCAGATGGAATAGGAAACTGAGGATAGGAATAAAGAATAGGAAGAGGAGTTGACTGAAGAGCAGAAGGAGAGAAGAAGAAAAATATTGGAAGTCCAATTGGCCAATAAAAGATTATTATATAGTATACATAATAAGGACATGGAAATCTTTAGGGTTAAAAAAGAAATTGAGGATTAGAAATAGCTATTGGCTGATCTCCAACAGCAAGAATTAGAATATCAATAGCAATCAAATGGTATTTATATATAGAGGATAGAGAATCTTAGACAATTGTGAAAAGCATGCCCTCAATAAATACAATTAAACTTCAAATGAACAATTATCTGTATCTAATAAGGAATTGCAAATCCTTAATGATTCTTATCTATCTCACAGAGCCTTAGTCTCATATGATACCTACTTAAGAGGAACCCTTAGGGAGTAGGATCGAAAGATATATGAGTTGGAATTGAATAATGCAGACATTAGTGAGATATCGGCCAGAATTGAAAAGATAAATAAAGAATATGAACGAAACATTCAACCTCTTGTTGTTGGAGACTTTAAGACACAAATAGATGCGGACATTAAAAGTTCAAAAAATTAAATAGATGCTTTGAGGAACTAATTTAAAGAAATTGTAGATGATATTGTTAAACTGCATGAAAAACATCTAGATAACATAGACATGTATTCAACCTTACAAAGATAACTACAAGTAACTCTATCATATATAATTCTTTTAGGAATAACTATTAGCTAATGAGTAATTAGACTATGAATTAAATCAATTAAAAAAGAGCAAAGAATAATGTTGATTGATATATATATATTTGGTTACATTTAATTACAATCATATTAATATTTCAATTATTTTAAGGTTATTTTCTCAGGTGGATACTTTTAGGATTAAATTATTATTGCAAAATAATTTTATTCCGCATAATGATTATAATTATAAAATGTATTTAGTTATTCATAATAATTTACCCAGCCATTGCCACATATTATGATTATCAGAATAATTTGGGACGGAAAATGCAATCTATTTTTTAGTAACTGGAAATAAATGATCCAATGTCAATGAAAATGCATCATCAAGCATTCGAGGAATAAGTCTTTACAGTAATTGACTAGACTCTTCTAAACACGGATTTGTGTTAACTTCAATTAGCCAAACCTTAAAATCATCATCTATCATATAGTCTAATCCAAATATCTCGAAACAGTATCTCCTTCCAAAAAAATTGATTTTCCTTCTCGTTGATTGGAATGCCCTGAGAGAAATTTGTTTAATATTTTCAACTATCTTAAATGATAAAGAGTTCGATTACCTATTTATAGAAGTCTCCTTTGCTTTTAAAGTATGCAGCTGCTTAATCAAATGATAACTGATTTCCATCTTCCAATTTTCCATAATTTGGACTATGCTTTTAAATAGCATTATTGGTTAAGTGTACATATTAGTTTTATACATTCTTGGTCGTGTATTCTTCAGATGCCATTCTGATGTACCCTTATTCAAAAAAGAAAAACTCTAGATCCTAGTTCAGTAATCCCCAGACTCTGATATCAAATTTGCGATTATTAATTAATAATGGTTTTTCCAAATATTTTTGAATGACGAACTACCTTGATTTGATTATTTAGCCATCCTTCATTTATTACTTTCCACTAAGGTATTGATCAAGCAGGTGAGTCAATTTATCCAAATCTTTGACAACATGTATACCTATACCACGATTATATTGTGTCGGCTTCAAAATCCATAAATAATCTTGGCCTAAGAATGTGCTTGGGATCTTAGATTTGTTGATTTAAATAATCTTATCAGTTATTTGCATGTAAGTGTTGAGCTAACGCCTAATATTATAAAACTTATTCTGAGTATCGTGTAATTTAATAGATTAAGGAGCATTGCTTTCGTAATATTAAAGAAATTGTAGTAGACACATATCTGCCTTATCGTTTGTGAAATCTAAAACAAAGGTTAAAGGAACGAAATTCATGATATCTATTTTGTTTTCCTATTTAAGTTAGGCAATACTTCACAATAATGCGAGAGATTACTAAAGAGGTAGATCTTCGATGATACCTCTGAATGAAACTCAAAATGGTTGACTGCCTACTTCACCTTATTGCCTGATACCAGTTTATCAAACTGATAACCTTTTGAATATTATTACCACCTAAAATTTATGAATGAATCATTCTTATTGGTTGTAGACATCCACTCATTTCTTTTAGAGAGCACTCTTTGAACTACATTATGATTGTTACCAGTTCCTAGACAGTAGATGTAATAATTTTGGATTAGGGTTGGCAATAATAAAACCTTATTTTAATCACTACTTTTTGCTTCCTTCGAAACGACAAGTGATTGAGTTAGTTTTGGTTAATTCTTGAGTTTAGTGTACTTGGAGGCTAAGGCAATTGCTAATTGTTTTGGATTATTTAATTGAGGCATCACCGCTATTTAATTTTACATGAATCTCGTGAAACGGGCTGAATCAATCTGTTGAAGATCCTTCACTTTTAATTAGGGTAGATTCATGTTTATTATATATATAATAATAATTAATCATGTAAACTTCTTCCATGGGTTTTCGAAGAAGGAGTCTTTGATCAAGTGATCATAACTTTGCCCGTTCCATTAGAATTTCTCCTCCCATTTCTTGTCTTTCTTATCTCTCTTCTGATTTTGAGCAAACATTTCTTCATTTTTACGAGTATATTCTTTTAAAAAAGGAAATTTATCCATAATTAATAAAAGTAATCATTTGAAACCAGGGAGAACCGTCGGCTTGCCCAATTTTAACATCCTCCTCTTATTTAGGTACTTCATCGACACGAACCCCAGTCTCAAATAAAATCTATAAAGATAGTCAACAAATCAAATACCGCATTAAATGATTACAATCTTTCCCACATCTTTTGTGGAATGCTTGCATCTTACTCACAAATCTTTTGAACTCACCAAAATCCAACTAGCCATTCTTACTTTATTGGATAATCATCTCTACAATATCTGGTGCTTTATTAAGATTTCCAAACATGGTCTCCATAATCTTACCATCCACTTCTTAACCCAACTCGTAACCTGGAGTCCTGTTAATTGCCTTTTAAATAATTTCCTATTCATTCTATTCAGGAGTCTCATTTATCATTTGATCATAAAATAGTTTTTCTTCCTCCTCCTTTTCTTCCTACTCCTATTACAATTTATTTAAAGCTAGATCATCCTTTGTTTTATTCCTAGGAGTGTAATATTCACGAGGAGAAGTGGTTTAGGATTGAGTAGCTATTGTAGTGTACATCCTTCTGTGTTACTAATTCAAATGTTTTTCCTCCTATAAGTCGTAGATTTTTTATTTCAAAGACTTTCTCCTCTGTATATTTCTTTGTTCCTTGAATTGACTATTCTAAACTTAAGCTGAAATTTATTCCTATTCAAGTTTCAAACTTTGCATTTTGCTTTTGTGTATAGATGATGATGGAGATGGGAATACATTTGTCTGATGACACGACTATTGATTTCGAGGAGAGGGGAGGTTGGAATTAGTGGTTGATTGGACTGGGGAATTAAGATTTCCTTATCCCATAGTCCCAGCAGAATTGAAATTAAAGGTGCTACTTGTTGTCAACTAATGTTACAAATTCACCTTACTATTGGATCTTTATTGTTATAACTACTGATTATCGATTTACTCATTTTCTTAAAGGGAATTACAATGCTTTTCAGTCTAAAATAGAATTGACATCATTGTTAAATCAGTCTAAACTTATTAATCCTTAAAATTTTATTTTGAATCACTTTATTTTACTTTTTATTACTTTTTTTCTGATTTAATAGAACTCTATCTGTTCATATTGATATTTGAAGATGATTTTGCTTTAGATAATGGATAATGAGGTGACAATTAATTTAGAGAGGAAGCACCTCCAGTCTTTAGAAAATCCATTTTATTAGTTAATTATCCAAAAGAGTCTTTCTTTTTTTAATTACTACTAGCAGAAGACATGTTTCTACTGCTAGGAATTTATTGCTAATATGATTATTATTCAGTTGGCATGCTAACTTTGATTGCTGGTTTATCATTACTTGTTTCAATTTCAAATGAGTTCTACTATTAGTTCTTGTTAAGAAAGTTCTGTTTAGATTTATACTCCAAGTTTCTCATTGATAATGTTGGATCTATATTGTTTGAAATTTAACTGTTGTCTATATTGTCATTTTATAATAAATCATTCTCTTCAATATCCTTAATCAAATCAGCCAATTCATGAATTTGAGAACTAGCTTTCTATTCCAAAATAAACTGCATCTAACTTAGTCTTCTTGTTTGATTGTTTCCATCTAAAACATTGACCAATTTAACTAGTCTTTCCATTTGTTAAGTCTTCTTTTAAATTATGAAATTGTCCTTTGGTGTTAAATAGGTTTATTGTTTTTATGATTATTATTAAGATAATTCTCTACTAGTGGTTCTTGGATATACTTATCCTGTATTTACTAGGATTTCATCATTGCTGCTAGATGAAACTTATCCTCTTTCATTGTCACTATTCTTTTTAATTAATTTTGAATATTCTCTAACCATATTATCCAACTTTTATTTAAATTCAGACTTTTCACCTTCAAGCTATTAGAGTTATCCTTGCATTATTTTGCATTGCATCTCTTTCTAATTATTAATTACTTAGAGTTCTAATAACTAGTTATCTTTTTTCTAGATTTCATTCTGCATCTATTCCAATTTATTTTTTAATGCCATAATTTCATTGACATATTATGAACAACGACAATCGTCTTTATTGTTATTAGGTTTTTTCTTTTACTTTCCCTTCATTCCATTGATCATTTGCTATTGCTTTTCTTTCTCTTAATGCTTCTATTTAAATCTATGAATTATAGCGACTGCTGTCTACTATTAGATATGATGGATATGTTATAGTAGAAACTAAACAGTGTGATCATAATTTTGAACACCTTGATTTTCTAAATTCACTGACTTCAATAACTATTCCAAGTTAAGCTTATTAAATTGAATGTCTGATATTACTAAATCCAATTGCTCTGGTTTACCCTGAAATTCAATATCTAATTGTTTCTTATTAGCCAAGGCTTCACTTAACATAGAGATGGTGTCATTAGTAAATTCTAACCATTCTCTCATTTCTTCTTCTTTCCTCAAAAGATCAGTTGATGCATTCTAACAATTTTAATAATAGTCAATGATAGTGCTAGTACCTACATCTTGATAGGTTCTTAAATGTTTGGTCCCTTAACCTTTGGATTTATAATCACTCCAAGGGATTTGTTGATAATTTTTAATTTGTTTTGATGTACCCAAAGAGTCTAAAATGTTAACACTTCCTAATTGGAGTGCATTGATAAATTCAGGGATCTAAGGAGTCAACAAAATTTATTTGGGTTCAGGATGGGGTTTGATTTGAGATTGGGCTGCTTCCAACATTTCTCTAATGAGATTAAATAATTTGTCCATGATATTCCCAAACTCAATGCTGATTTCTTTCTGTACAATTATTACACATTCCGAAAACACTTCATAGCATTCAGCTTCAAGTTTAGAGTTGTTTATTCTACTCCTTCTCTGGAAGTGATCAACGAGAGTTTACAATCTCTTAACTTAATCTTCCATATTTTTTATAAGAATGTTGAAATAATATAATCATTTTATGCTACTAAACAAATTAATTATTCAAGTGCCACCTATTTCACTTTCTAGAGATCTCATGATCCTCTGATGGAGACTGTTGATAGAACTAAGCATGTGTTATTCGAATTTCAAAAGAAACAGGAGGTCCTTGGTCATTTGTTGCTTGATGTTATTTTAGGATTGGATTGAAGTTTACATCAGTTTAAGTTTTTCTTTGTTGTTCTTTTTGTCACTCTTTGAAAATGAAGAATTTGGTTTATTCTATTGGAATCTATCTAACTCAATAACATCGTCATCGAAGTTGAAAGAGATCTCACTATCGGACATTTTAAAATAATAAGATTGAAGAATTTAAGAGCATATATTAACATCTGAACTGTATGGTATTATTTAGGTTTATAGAATATGGGGATGAAATCACTTTTTAGGCAAAATCCTCTACAATTTCTATTAATCTTATTAATTGAACAAAGGAGCCAATCTGGCAGCTGTTGTTGTGGTTTGAACTTCCGTGACTGTTCGTTACTTCATTCTATCTTGCAATTGTTAATGAGCCTGTTGAATCTGATCAATTTGAGACTAAATTTCAAATACTCAAATACATCATTTCTGCCAGTCAGAATTTTGTCATAGAATTCTCTTAATTCTTTACTCTGTTGAGAGCCTCGGGCAGATACTGGCTGCTACTCAGTAGTAGGAGGAGGTGGTTGTTATTGTGCTGGCTGCTATTCCACCGACCTTTGAATTGGTAGAATGGGTCTGGTTGCGGGTGCTTAAGACGACTTCTCCTTTAATTTGGTGAAGAATTCCTGGTCATCCTCAACTGTCAGTTCCTCTTTCACTTAATTCTATTATGATATTGAGGGAGAGCGTTTACTTTTTTCAACTGCACGACAGGCACACTCTCTTCGTATTTGATGACACTGTTGGCCAGTTTAGTGAAAGTGCTCTTGATGATGTTTATGTCATCTTGACCCAGGGGGATGAAGAGACTTTCGAAATCTGATAAGTTTTTGTGTTGTGATGTTTCAAATGGCATGTTATACAGACGATGCAATACATACTCGTACATTACCTTGATGTTGATCTTCTGCTTCACAGAAGTGAAAAGCAAAGTTGCACCATCTTATTATAAGTATGTTAACTCTTACAATTCACACAAAATTAACGTAAACAAAATTAAATGATTTCTGCCTTCTAATCCCAATCCTTCCCTTTATCATCTCTCTCCAAGATGTCCGATTTATTCACCATCACCATCAAAGGTATTCCCAAATTTGTCTTCAACAAACCTTCATGCACCTAACCTCCATCCATTTATGACATATATTGCATCACTTGAATTATATATCACACTCATTTTACCATTCGCTTTCATCTCTTCCAATTCGTTCAGACTCAATCGCAGATCAGCCATCATGTCCTACAACACACTAATCCATCTATCCAGGTCTTCCATGAAGGTCCAAGGCTCTTGCATGTCCAGAGCTATTACAACAAATGTATTCTTGATATTTTTGTGATTCAAAATCTGAGGTAACAAATACTTCTGCCCCTCTTCTTCTAAAATATACACATTCAGACGAGCATTCGTGTTGTAATCAGGGTCGCGAAGGTCTATCAAATTTAAGAAGGCATAATCCACTATTGGAGTAATACCTTTTTACCGAATAGCATCTAGAAAATACTATTAATCAATTTACTTTTGTGAGTCTTCGTTATTTCAGCTAAAGAATCTAGCAAACTTCTTTTTCCACTACATTTTCTGCCTAAAATTACCAAATTCTTATTTATGAAACCTCCTTATCTACTTTTCTCAAATAATAGTTAATTCCAAACATTCTCTTTTTTACTCATTAATTTTAATATGGGCAATTGTAAATCTTGTTCTCAATAACCATCACCCGAAATCAATTCAGGCGATATAGAATAGCCTGGTATTCGCAGTGAGTCAATACGCAATATTTGTAATCTGCTCAATGAGTTTGAAACTTTCCAAGTGATCAAGAAGACTTCATATTCATATATTTAGGATGCTGCCTTCAGGATTGGAAGAGTCGATGCAAATAAATTGATCAACACTCAAGGGACAGTCAAACCAATTAACTTATAATAACTACACGAAGTTAACAAAGGGTTGGAATAGTTGAAAGCTCTTGCAAATAAATAAGATAAATGCAAGATCGAATAGTAAATGAAATTCAAATGTGGTTTGGAATTAGGAGATAAATTTCCTTCCATAAAATTCCACATGCTACTAAAGGGAGAATCCTAAACATTGGTGCTGAAGGAGAACACTTATACACTGATTAAATCTTGGGGCTAAGGTGAATAGATGGTCAATTTCTAACATGCAATTGAATTGGTTGAGTCCTTCAAAAATGTTGAGTTTCAATTGATAGGCTTAACCAGAGGCAATGAAGAATAGCAATCAGTGTATGAGGAATTAGTGAGATCCAATCCCGGATGGCAACAACATGAACACATCTATGTTCTTGCAGAGGAACCTGAAAATCACATATTCGATATCTTTTATTAGGAACAAACCAACGATATTGAGGAAGGCCATCTAGCAAGTGCTCTTTTGTTTTATGGTTAGAATTTGATTTGGAAAAGATATACACTGGAGTGGGACATCTCAGCAGATTCTGATGAAGTGGCTTTAGAAGTGACCAAGCTTATAAATTCTGGAGTCAAAAAATATGTAGGAGTCAAGGAAATAAATTTACTAAGCACTATAAGCAAGCAATAGTATCTGGAATTCAAAAGATTTATTTTGCAATAGCAACAACAACAAAAGTTTACCAGAGGATTGGAAGTCACTATAAATAAAAAGACCATCTATGGTAAGGAAGGTAAGCAAGTTATTTATGAGAAGCCGATCATGTAAGTGGCATGTTCACCTAAATCACTATAGGTAACTGAGAGTTTCATCAAACCTCTTAAATAGAATCCTATAGTTTGGGACATTTAGATTTTAAAGAAAACACTAACTTAAAAAATTAGAGAAAACAACCTCAATATCGAAGCTTCTCTGGAAAAGCAGATTAAAATATCTATCAATTATGAAAATAGTTTGATCCAGATTCCGAATTGGGAAATGGCTACACTCACTCCTTATTATAAATCTACACAATATATCTCTTAAGTCAAGCAATGGATACATGCTAGAGATAGCATCCTAAGCGAAGTTTAGAATTCACAAGACCCTGTGCTATAAAGAGTTAACAAGATGATTTATTAATTTTTCAATAATATCCCAACTGTTGAAAAAGTGCTTAATCAATAATATGGCAAAATTCCATATGCAGAAAAACGAAAGCCTCCATATGAGGAGATGTCAGTTTCAAAGAGTTTGGGAAATGAAGAAATTACGAGAAAATAAGATCAAATATTATTCATTTTATTGATAGATTATGAAAATGATGACACTTTGGATATGTTGAAGAACCTAATCAAGTTTAAAAAAGCATAGTTTATCAAGTTACAAATTGCTGTATTAGGACATATTAGAGCGGAGTCCTGGACCAAACTATTCTAAGCCTACATGGAGAAACATAAATTACATGAGGATGCTTTGTAAGGCATCATTGAAACATGGTTCCCAGTTGAGGACAAAATCGGATCAATTTCATTTAGTGCTATTCTAAGTAAAATGTACGGTATGTGTTTGGAAAAGAGAGATTGTATGCTAGTTGATTTGGATAATCAAGTTCGAGTTATTGATTCAAGTAGAAGGATTATTCCTAAAATTTCTTAGATTTTGAATGACCTACAAAGCAAAAATTAAATCTAAGAGAAGGAAACTATGTAAAATATCATTTTTATTTAGAAACTATTTGAAATAATATTAACAATTTAAGAAATCTATTCGAGACAATCCATAATTGCAGGGATTGACTCAGAAGATAAAGGAACAATGCAAAGATGATGATTGTTTGATTGTCTATGAGCAGAGAAAAGCCAAAATTTGGGATTTTGAGGGTGCAAATTTGAACGAATCCAGGAAATATTAATAGCCAACCAAAATTCTCAGATTGATACCAAAAACAGATGAAATAGGTGAATTAACTTAAATTATTGACAATTCAGATTTCTTATAGATGAAATGATTAAATATGCAATATATATGTAAAGATATATTCAAAATCTTCTCATAGTCTTTTTTCTAATTTTTCTAGAACAGATTATTTGAGAAAGCTTCAAAATTATCATGTAATTTTCTAATATAATATTATTATCAAAGCAAATATGTATTTAAAAAAAGCAAAATGTTACAAATAGTTTATTAATATGAATGATTCAGAGCAAATAACCCAAAAGAAAGGACTTTTAATTGATTATCAATAAAAACAAGGTTAATTCATATCAAAATGAAAAAGTTAGCAACAAAATCATCTAGTTTTGAAACAATGAATTTGATATTTCTAAATATATATTAAATTATAATCTTAAAAAAATAAATTTCCTCAAATATATTAGGTTTAGTAGTTTGAATATTCAATTTAATTAAAGAAGTCGACAATCGAAATAAAATTAATTAACAGTTGATTGGAAATAAATATTATTTTAATTCTAAATGGGCATTTGCTGTTCTGGGGGTTAGAATCGTCAGAAATAGAAAGGTGAACAAAAAATACAGACTATAAACAATTTATATTAAGAATAGCCAAAATAAGATGAATTTTAAGAATTAAGTGGAGAAATTTAGGAAATTTTAGAAATGTACTTGAAACATGAAAAGAATTCTCCTTAACAAAAGTCATTAAGTGAATCAAATCACTTAAAACACAGTCTTGAAATGCCTAATACTCCTTATTTTAAGAACAATGCAAATTCAGAGGATTAATTTCATTTTCTTAGATAAACTAAATAATTAGAAGAAATTAGCATAGTAAATTAAACTTAAGATTTAGGAAGCACTTGCCACATAAAAGCAGTGATTATTTACCAGCTCTTTAAGAAATTAATCAGGAAAAATCATAGAAACAAAATTTGATCAAAAATAACAAATTTTAAAGCAAATGTCCTATATGTTGTAATGATCATATCTGGTTTCACAATTGCAAATAAGATTTCATTTATTAAGATGAGTTAACGTTATTGTGTTAACAATGCAATTTCAAGACTCTTGTAACAGAATATGAGTTTGTTTGTCTAAAAACTTCCGAAAGATTTAAATTCACAGCAAATCAAATTGGAGAATTCTTTGTCTGATTGCATTTTTATGTATTTATTTTCTTAATTTTCAACTTGAAAGGCAATCAAATTCTAAAATGAATGAAATTTCATTACACCTTATTATTTAATCCTTTTACTAATCACATTTCGAAAAATATTCATTTTTTTATTTTTGATAATATAAATTAAATGATAACTTCCCCTTAAGAAATGAGAATACTATCGAAACGATTCTTTGGTAACAAGATCATAGATTCCATCGTTCTCGAGGAGATGAAGGAATAATATTAAAATAAAGAGAGGATAGCAAATATCATTTAGAGATGCTATCCTGAAAGTTACAAGTTATATTAAGACTTAGGTAAGAAAGAATTAGATTAAATTTAAAAGATCCTTAGCTTTTAAGTATTTTCATTCAATATTTTTTGAACTAACTTAATTTTGTGATTGAAAAAAAGTATATATTTCAGAGAGCGACTTGTTTATTGGAATTGAGCGTGCATTTATTCAATATTTCATGGGAAAAAAGGTGGAATAGAGAAAAATCATTTGAAGAATTCAGACAAATAATAGTTCGACATTCGTTATATAGGTTGTTATTGATTTTATTAAATTCAGACCACCTCATAGTGTTTATATATTTAGTTTGGAGAACTTGAAAGAGATTTCATTGCATTTTCTATCTACATTTTTTAGATTTTATAGAGCTTACTTTTTCACATTCACTCCTTGGGTCGATATTGTGGTTACAACATATCAGAAACATTAAATTAAAAAGGATGTGAAGGATTTAGAGTTGGAGAAGTTGAGATAAGAAGCAGAATAATACAATGATCAGATTGATCCAGAAATGATGGAATAATTAATGAGCGGCAATTCAATATACTAGATTCCAGAAAAAAAGAAAAGGGAAATGTTAGAATAATAGCAATAAAAGGAAAAATAAGAAAGAATAGATAGAGTGCTTAAAAAGAGATTAGAAGAATTGTAATAAGTGTTTGATTAAAAAATCAAGGAGTAGGATGAGCATTTCATTAAATTAGCCGAAGATTTAAAAAACCCAAAAAAAAAATGATTCATAAACTATAAATATTTTAAATTTATTAATTATTTCTCATTTTATACTTACTTTTATTATTGTATTTAACAAGACTCAAACCTTTAGTTAATTCCATTAAGGAAAGCTAATTATAATATAGTTTGACCATTATTGATATTGTTTCCTCTCCAAACATTAAGTTAATTAATATTAGTAACTTTTGATTGCTATCTTAAGGATGTTAACATTAGTTTAGGCTTTTTATAATTGAATTTATAAATAAATTGAATTAGGAGAAAAATATTTAAAATTCTGAATTTCTTATCATTCATATATTTCTTGCTTTTACAATATTGAGGCAAAAAGATGGTAATTATCAATGAAAACATTAAAATGCAGATGCCCCATCCGTATTGACGATCACAGAATTATTCTCAGAAACAACTGTTGTTTATAAAATTTCCTGATCTAAATCAAAAGTACTCAATTTTTGAATTGTTTGTAATAAGTATAAAAAATAAATAGAAGATTTCAAAAATCTTAAAAAAGATATACTACGGTTCTTGTATAATTAGGGAGAAATTCGAATGAAATGAGTAATTCCCGAGATTGATATTAAATTTTATTTTGCTTTTCGTTATCTTTAGCTTAATTGAATATATTATTATTTATAGACTTTTAGACACTCTGAAGGTTGAAGACCAAGAGAGATAGATTCATAGTAAATTTTATAACATTCGTATGCCTTGATTGTTATTAAATTTCTAAAAAAAAATACTCTGGATCTGATTAGCGAAGGCTTGAAACAGAATGTTAAAGATTAAAGAATATTGTTGATTTTTTTAAATTAGGTTGGAACTCTAAGATATGGAATTTACAAGGAATAAACTACTTTTCTGTTCATTAGTATTATTTTGGAATTGATCCAAGTGACAGATATGTTGGTTTTGGTGGATTATAATAGAGTAATATATTTGAAAATTTATACTGTGGTTAGAAATATTATTCTCTTATATTTTATTATAAGATAGAAAAGATATGATAACTTATAATGATGGTACATAATATTAATAAAATTCATTCATTCTCATTAATCAGAAAGCTGTGAATGAAAGTTACACAGATCTAAGGGAATATATGAATATGATACCTTCCATTGATCTTGGCATCTTGGAAATGTCCTAAGACACTAAGACTGCATCCTACATCAGAATAGAGTATTTTGCAAGAGCTTTGATTAATGAATCTATGAATTATAAAATATAGTACTTCATGTTCTAGATAGGCGTCATACATCCAAAGTATTAATACATCTACTCTATGGTGACACCAGTAAGACCTGTAATTTAGATTGCGTTCGACAATTGTTGAGTTATGATTGCTTTTCTCTCATTGGGGGGTAGGGCTACTTAACGAGCATCCTGGGGAAGTTTTTCTGAGATCATCAAAGTCATAGGCATTCCCAAAAGAAGGCCTTTGTTAAGTAAGTTTTTGACTCGATTTGCTTCTTCTTTGGAGGCCAATAGGAGGAAGGCTCCATAATGGCTTTGATAGATGGCATCTACTCTTGTGACTGTACTAAAGATGTTGTACACCACTCGTAGATTAGTATTGGGATGCTGCACTACCAAATACGTTGGTAGAGGAGTGGGAGTCATTAAAAAGGGACTGCTTTATGTTTGAGGATGTGGAGTGAAAGGACTGGCTCCACAAGAAAACGGATTGCTGGACTCATTACAAAAGACTTCATTGTAGTTATCTTCGGAATGGACAGATTTTTAAGACTTGGGCGACTATTCAGAGGAGATGCTTTCTCCGTCTGAGAACTCCTCTTTGTCGTCTTCAGATGATTCCTCAAGGATTTTTTGCCTTATGGAGTCTACGGTGGAGTGCTGAAAAGGGGATGGAGAGGGAGTTGTAGTTGAAGATATGATCTATTTTTATTTCTTGCCTTCTCGTTGGAGCACGGAAGCGTAATTGCGTAGTTGTTGTTAATACAGGACGGTCAGCTGTTGGGTTTGATTGCGATACTCTTGGATCTACTGGATTAGGGAAATTTGTTCTTTTAAATCAGTAGTCTGGTTGAGCTGAGTAATACATTGATTCAAAATATCAAGGTTCTGTTGTAGTTATTAATTGAGGGAATTTGAATCTTCCTTCAGTTGTTGGAAAAATTACTATTTAGATTGAAGAGTAGTGTAATCTTCGATGTTTAAATAAAGTTATACCTACGCCGCAATTGTTGTTATTCTAAAACACAAGGGAATCTCGTTAGCTAAGGTGTACTCTCATTTTCAGTTAGTAATCGAAGAGAGTACCATCTAAGATAAGTGCTTATTGAGCCTATTGGGCTGTTTCGTATTCGATGAATACTTTCCAGATGATTTTTCTTTCGAATATTAGAATCTTAAATCAATGAGAAACTATAAATACCTTTTTAACTTATCCGAAGACAGAGAAGGTTCTGAAAAACTGACTATGTTCAAGCACTTTCCCCTATTTATTGGTGACCAACACCAAAATCACGGGGGTTGGTGAACTAGGTGATGGGGAATTCTTGTTCATTAAAAAAATAATAATTGATAAATCTAAATTTTACTTTTGCTTTTAATAGTCATTTTCAAGAGCTTTTTACTTTCTTATTGGCCTTGCGATCTTCAGAAGGATCTTTCTTTTTCTTCTTTTTCTCCTACTCTTGTTCAGTCACATATTGAGCTACCAAACTATTCACAATAGAAATCATAAAGAAGCCTATCATAAGAACGATGAAATAATCCCACAATTAAGCCAACAACGGTTTGGTTCCTTCTTTGAAAAGAGAAGGATCTCTTAATTGTTATCTCTACTTATCTAGCAAATCACTTAAAAATTAATATATAAAGGGAATATATTTTTGGATCAAGCTGAGTAACGCTTTGACTGGTTCCTAAGAGAAGACAAACACAGTCATTGGCAACTAAAAGGAGAATATCTCAATTTATATAAATACCTGAATGTGCATTTTTATAAAGGCCTTTCCCAAGACGGTTGCTCCGAAGAAAGTCCAAAAGGAAATCAGAAAGTGACCACACGTGATCCCTGCCAAATCAAATAAGGGATTTGGAATTGAAGCACATAACATCACAGTAAGGAATGCATTCTTCTATAATTTATTGTAAATAAGCAATTTCATTCTATGCATAAAGGAATCTAAAATGTATAGAGATAATCTTACTTTCATCCTTCTTCTCCAAAACTTCATCTAACTCTTCCAATTTCTTATTGGCCAATGCAGCTGCTCTGGCAACAAAATATGGTGGTAATTCGCCTATTGCTGTACCAATTCCAAAAAGAACTGTCTCAAAATACACCTACCTCATAATGTCAAACATAGTTATGCCAGTTGACTCCTTTGGACATTCCACATATTAAGTCGCATATTTAGATGGCACAAACAAAGGCAATGCATTGCATTCATAAGCCTGAATTGTTGTCTTAGCAATGTGAGGACCCAAGTACAACACAAATGTGTGCAGACCAGTTCCCAAACCCACAGATGACATAATTCCCAATACCAGCCAATATAACATAAAATACGCAATTTCATCAGCCTGTCTCACCAACTAAACAATATTCATATTCATACTCCTGAGTGTTCTCCTTCCACAAATCTAGGAGCTATCACAACCAAAGTCAAAAATCCAATGATGTGCCAAAATTTACTTAAATATTACACTGTATCTTTTGCATAATTAAATAGGACTATCGAAAACAGATATAATGTCTTAATTGGATTCGAAAACAGTGTAGGTGCTTCAACCATTAATTTAATTATTATTTATATATTGATACATTGAATAATAGAATATTGATCTCAATCATTCCTCTTCCTCCTCTTATGCCTATAACTTTGCTTATTTCTCCTCGATGGCCCCCTCTATAACACTTATCACCTCGTAAATATCACTGCTGTAAACCATCTACTTAAATTTCAAATATTCTATCATTCTGTTAACATCGTTCAATTCATCTGCATAATTAAATTATTCAGCCAGTCTTTTACTCAAATGTTTATTCACAGCATTCTATAAAACATTTCCAAATGTATAGGCCTTAGTCGTTTTCATCCAAAACTAATAGGCTATTATCATGTCAGTGACTCCCAGCATAAATGTCACAGGCTCCATCACATCCCAACCCCAAACTACATATGTTCCGTATTGAGTAAATGCTATCTGCATGAGAATGTAAAAGTAAATCTAATATAAAGTGGTCTATTCCTTCATTTCCAATTCCTTTATGATAGAATCCTTCAAATGAGTCAAGCGATTCTATTTGCACTCCAGGAATGATATCTACTCATCAATTACCTGCTTCTGTGCCTGAGAGTATATACCCAATTTCATTATGACCTTCTTTATTATCAACAATATCAAATCCTTATCATAAGTCAACTCCTTATGTTTCTCAATTTCAGACAATAGTTTTTGAATAAAATTGCTCAATACAACCTTTGTTCTCTAAGGCACATCAATTTCTTGGAAATATTCATGCAATGCATGTTATGTGATTGGATAGTTATCGATCAAATCAATTACCGGAGGATTGTCTACTTTATTAAGAATTATGTAGTTTTCCGTCTAGTTCAACCTTAAAACCATGTCTTCAGCCAAAACCAATTGCAAGGGCGTGGAGGATGCATATTCAACTTATTGATCATTCGTTGTTGATTAAAATACTCCAACACTCTTCACATCATCGATCTATTTCTTGATGGCCTATTGGAGTTCAAGAACGGTCCCTTCAGCTTTGATGAACACCTTCTTACTGTGGAAGTAGAAATATAAAACTAAAAAGGTTGCTATTAAACAATGATACCCTCTTACTTGAGATTAAGGTTTTTACTTTCCTCTTATGAAAACCTCTACAACATCAGAATATCCTAGAAATTGTACCTCTTTAACGAGCAAAATCTAAAGAGACTTTTTAAAAGCATAATTTAATTATTATGTAATCAGCATATCTCAGTACATTTAAAGAAGGACGAACTCAGAACCAAAACAAACCCTAACCATTGCTCTAAGATTAATAATTGATCTTGTGAATCTAGTCTCTCAACTGAATTATTTTCCATAACAACAAGACATCCTAAGTTAATTTTAAGACTTTGGTGGAATAAGAAAAGATCAATCAAATAAATTAGCAGTAAAGTTAACAGCACTTCAAACTCTTTTAGTCACATTGTCTTAATTGTTTTAGTACTCTCTATATTGGAAAGATTTTCAACATTCTTATCTTGGATGGTAAGAAAACATAAGCATTTATATTAAATCATTATATTGAATTGATTTCTTTGTACTCAGATGTTTATAATCTCTTGTAATTTTAGATTAAACATAAACAAAAACTATAGATTATTTAAATTATCTTACTTCTAACTATTGAGTCTTAATGGAAGTTCTCAATAAGTAGAGGCAAATGTAAAAACGGTTTTATTTGATTCCCCAATAAAAATGATAAATTATGCAAAGAACTTTACTACTTTTAAAAATTCATTAAAAAATTTAATAAGTAATTAAAATAATGAGTTATTCTTATGTAAATTTATTACGAAAAATTGTTAGAATATGGTCGAAAAGTTATAGAGTAAACGCCATTACAAAAAATTATAATAGGATAGAATGATATTTCTTATCTTAACTAAGGAATAATTGCCAATAATATTTGCAAGTACAACAAACTAGATAAGATAAGTTCTTATCTTTCTAAATTCTTAAAATTCTTATTAATGACTATTATAAATTTGCATTCATTTTACATTTCAGATTTTATAATTTTATGTGAGCAAAAATTAATATTCATTTTAAGTTTGATAGTTGGATGATCGATAGAATGATCCCAATAAGAAATTTAATTTGATTATTTCTCAAATTCTAGAACCTCGAAATATAGAACATAGAAGATATTAATGAATTAAAAAAATCAATAATTATAGAGCACGAGAATCTCACTGCAAATTATATTATAAATGCTAGCATGTTATGAAATAGGAATAAGAAGAGAAATTATTAATTTGGTGATGAGAAAATACTTAAATAAAGAATGATTTGTATATACCTAATTTTGGAATGACTATAGTATTAATATTGTTTTTTGAAATGATTAATAAAATTAATTATTTTATTAAATATGTCTAGAGAATCATCGATTTCGGAAGGAGGAGGATGGGTTTAATGGTTTTGTGCAATGGAAGATCATTAATTTTTGTGTGAGGTGGATGATGAGTTCATAAGGGACAACTTCAACTTGTACGGTTTGAAGAGCAAATTCAATTTTTATAAGTAATTTTGAAATGTAAATATTTTAAGTGAAGCTTTGGACTTGATTCTGAGTTCTGAAACACCCGATGATGAGGATTTGGAGGATGAAAGATTCTTGGAAGTATATTAGGAGGCCACAGACTTATATGGTTTGATTCACGCAAGATTCATCATTACAGCCAAAGGTATATAGAAATATGGATGAAGGTTTGAGTATGATGAAGGAGAAGTACTTGGGAGGCAAATTTGGAGCTTGTCCAAGAGTGTTATGCGAAAGATAGAATGTTTTACCGGTGGGAATGAGTGAGGAATTACGTACTTCAAGAGTGAAGGTGTTCTGTCCTAGATGTGAAGAGGTTTATATTCCGAAGAAGAAATGTCCTGATGTTGATGGTGCCTACTTTGGCTGTTCATTTCCGTCGATATTTTTAATGGTAAGTATTGAATATTGAAGGTATTAGAACTTCATTTAGGAGATCCAAATCCCTGTAAACAATCAGACTTATGTGCCTAGAGTGTTTGGATTCAGAATTTACAAGAAAAAGGGGTCTCGTTATTAGGATACTTAATAAAAGGTGGCTGAAATCACTCATTATTCTGAGGAATAATTGAAGAAGCTGAGAGGGAAGAATGATCAACAAGCAAAAGAGGATTATGTTCAAAAGTGAATTAGTGTTTTTGTTTTTGTTATTAAAATTTTTAAATCTTTTTTAAAATAAATGCCTAAGGAAGTTCAAGATGTTAAGGTGTTCCTCTCACTCATGAAAGGTAGCGAAGCATAAGGAAAGGATGCTAGCAAAGAACCAAAAAAGAGTATGAATTTCTATTTATCCATTCAGACCTCTATATCAAAGAGTCAAAGAAGATCACCAAATTCAAGTTGAGAGGCAAGAAATATCTCTTTACCTTCAAAACAGCTGATAAGAATAAGGCCCAAAAAATTCAATAAACACTCCCATAGAGTATGATATTCATTCAAATTCTTAGATGTTAATAAAATTGTTATCGGTAATGGAGGAAAGAAATAATAAACCAAAAAGAAGTAAAAGAAATGAGCACTGATTTATTACATATACAGTACATTATTTGGAGCATATTTAATATAAAAAGAGTTTATTGCAATCATCGAAATACTATATACAATTCTTTTTGGTTTTCTGATTTTTCACTCAAATAACACAAAAATTATTAAATGTTTTTTGAGAATCAATAATCCTAATTAGATTCTATTATTCACATAAAATGCACTGGGATTAATGTGAATAATGGTGATAATTTAGTTCTTTTTTACAATAAATTTTAATATTATAAATATACAAATAAATCATTTTGGTTGATTAAGTCTTTTCTTAATTTCATCAGTAATTTATTCCGAGGTAGCAGATTTGTCAATAAGTATTTAAAGTATTTCATCAGCTGAATATCTAAGTTATATATTGACACAAAGTAATTTTTCAATCATATGTCTTACATATTCCGGTAAAATAGTTAATTTTAATTCTTTCCAAAATTTGCTCCAATCCTCATTTTTTATTAACTTCCACCAAGCATCCTCAGTTGATGGATTATTTGATTCAAAGGGAGGGTGTCCTGTAACCATGATAAAGTAAACCACACCCAAAGAGAACATATCACATTTTTTGAGATCTTATGGAATATGCCAAATTTCAGGTGCCGTGTATCCTTCACTTCCTGAGATTGTAGCTTTGGGAATGGGAGTGGATCCATGGATTTTTGAGAACCCCAAGTCACAGAGTTTAACTTTGAAGTCTTGAGAGATCAGTAAGTTATCTAGCTTAATATCACCATGGGTAATTCCTTTGGAGTGAAGATAAGAGAGAGCTTCTGCAATTTAGAGAATGATTCCATTGGCAATAGCAAGGGGCAGGGGACCTTGGAGTAGTATCTTGTAGAGGGAGCCGAACGGCATTAATTCAAGTAACATACAAGAACAATCTGAACAATATCCAATCATTTGGATAACATGCGGATGTTGAATGTGGCGAAGGATTTGGATCTCGTTCTCTTCAAAATATCACTTTATAATTACGAATAGGTTGATGGCATTCTACTCAGTTGTCTGAGCCAGACATTTTAATGCATATTGTTATTTAGTTTGTTTGTCCATAGTCAAAAATACAGTACTATCATGGCCTTTGCCTAATAATTTGGAAAAATTGATTTAGTAATTTGCCGCAAATTGCTCTGGAGTAAACATAAGATTATTAATCATTTTTATTAATATCACAAATTCCATTCAGAATGCTTTAGTAGCCATCATTCTTCCCAAAATGGCATTCAGATTTTCATCTAACAAATCGTCAACCTTCAATCCCAGATGTCTTTTCGGGTCCTTCTTTCCTGTATTCTTTATCTTGGTTTCCTACTCTCCCTTTTTCGATTCGTCCTCTAAATGCTAACGGAATCAAATACCAATTAATTTTTAATATTCACATGCCAATTTTGACATCTCCTCAACGCATTACTCATTTCTATTGCTATTTTCAATTGCTGAATTGCACCTAAGTATACTTATTTCAATTACTTCAATCCCTCTGCCCAACTGTTCTTATACAAATTCTGAAGCATCTTCTACTCCAAATCATTGCATTTAAATTTGATATTGATTGAATAGTAGTATCTATTGAGTCCTCTCAACAGTGCTTCTAGTCCTGGTTTTTGAAGATGCCCAGTATTGGAAGTGGTCTGTCGGGGTTCTTATTATGTGATCATACTTTATTAGGGAATGAGTCTAAATGCATCAATGACAACTTTGCCTCTCACTGATTAAATGGGATCGATAACAACTGCAATGGATTTCTTATTTAACTATTCATATGATTATTGTGTATTGATGTCGACTTGCAAATATTCGGAATTGAATAGATACCACTTGATAGCCAACATCCATATGATGGATGGGAATGATACCATCCAATACAATTCTCCATTCTCCCAGTTAAATTGAGGAGTTCAACCATTTTTTATTGAAAAATAGGATCGACAGATTCAACAGAAACACTGCTGGCAGTTTAGGGCATTGAGAAAACATCATAGACTCTGATGTGATAGTCATCTACAATGTCTCCCAATAGGAGACCCATGACTTCAAAGGGGATGCCTGCTCTAGCATGCTATCAATTAGTTTTGATGTATTTACTTTGAGCATTTTAATTAAGGCTAGAGCACTGATCGTAACTTATTCAGCAGTGTCTGGAATGGAGGTTTCTGGAGGGACATTTTAATGTGCTGCTCCTAGTTGTTACATGAAGTCTTGCAAATTCATATGGGGAATGCAAATTTGAATAAAAATAAACTAATACTGATGTTTTTGATTAAAAATGTTATTAGTTTTGTGGGAATTTAAAAATTTAAATTATCAAAATTTGCAATTTGATTGGATTTTTGTTACTTAAATAAGTTCGATAACATTTTAAATATTTTAAATATAAAGCAAAAATTAAGCGCAAAAAATGGCATAACAACAATAGGTTTAAGTTGCCGCAGAGTTCAAATTGGTTGTCGTAGGTGATGGTGCAGTTGGTAAAACAACTTTTGTGAAGAGACATTTAACTGGAGAGTTCGAAAAGAAATATCTAGGTACTATTTTATTTGAGTGTGTTTTTAGCCACATAAGGAGTCGAAGTGAGCCAAGTTATATTCTACACAACTCACGGTCCCATCAGATTAGTCATCTGGGACACTGCAGGATAAGAGAAATTAGGAGGACTCAGAGAAGGCTATTACATCGGAGCTAATTGTGCAATCATTATGTTCGATGTCACATCTAGAATCTCCTACAAAAATGTACCCAAATGGCATAAAGATCTCACCAGAATTTGTGAAAACATCCCCATTGTCTTAGTCGGCAACAAGGTATCTAATTCATATTCAACACTTTTAGGTTGATTCCAAAGACAGAAAAGTCAAAGCAAGATAAATCACATTCCACAGAAAAGTCAACATCCAATACTATGATGTCTCAGCCAAATCTAATTATCAATATGAAAAGCCCTTCTTATATTTATTGAGAAGATTGGCCAAGTATTTAACTCTCTCTATTCTAGTGATGCCAACTTAGCCTTAGTCTAAGCCATGGCTCTCTTGCCTCCTGAAATCCCCATTGACCCAGAATATGCTGCTCAAATTGAAAAGGAAAGATAAAATGCTGAAAATCAACCATTACCTGATGAAGAAGATGACGAATTCAAATGATGTTTCAATGTTCATACAATTATCATAATTTAATATAACATTATCCACATCAATAATCAATTTAGACACTAACAACTAATCAAGAGGCATTCTTCAATTGACAATCAAATTAGTAAAGTAATATAATTGAGATTTCTCTGATATTGAAATATATTAAACATTATTTATGTAATACTTGGTGAGAAAAATTAATACAAAATTACACAAAAGAGTCCGACAATTCTTTTACCAAGACGACACAATTCAAATTGATGAATTATAAGTTACCCAAGCTTAAATTGCAGAAATGGAATAAATTATATCTCCTAAAGATATTATCCTTGACTTTTCAAAAAGCTATTTCCACTAGATTAAACAGAACCTTGAATCAGCTTCTACTACAAGCTCTATATTCTATTGTTTTTTGAGTCTAAAGAAAATAATTGAAATTCCTAACAATCCTAGCAATGATAAAAATTTACTAGAATCAGATGAAACTATTATAAAGGAATCCATTGAAGTTATCTGTGAAAGTCAAATAGAAAAAGATTGCCCTTAGTATTCTTAAGAATTTGGTACTCAAAATAAGTCATTTCAAGCTAAATGCGAATAGCAGACTTAATTATTTGAAGCAATTCACTTTTTTGTCTCAGCTATTCAAGAGAGACTGTCTCTGGATCCTGATTTCATGCAAAATATTACCTTAGCAAAACCTATGCTCTACGATATTACTTAGATTTATTTAGTTTATTATTTACGTCTTTGTAGAATTCATATCGAAGGGAACTCACATAAATTTTTCTCAGAATATTACCAAAGAGGATAAACTCTATTCAGATTAGCATGTAGTCATTTTAATTAATATCAAACTCAGAACCTCTTAAATCTACTTTACAATTTTAGAACAGTAACAATTTTAGCCATCATTCTCTCAAATAAATTAGAATACATATATATAGTAATACATGATTTCTTAAACTATCACTACTCGAATTTGGAAAATATGGAGGTACTCTTTAAATTTGAATAAACGCTTAAAAGTACAATTTTTGAATATTGCTTAAGTGTTTCAAATCAAAATATGTTCCAACAATTACTTTAATAAATTTTAGCTTTGGATAAAAAGTTTGTCAACAATTGTTACATCCTAGAATTGAAATGGTTGTTGTTTTCTAGGTGTCTTTCATCGGATATTTTGGATGAAATGCAAAGATCACTTATCGAAATTGATATTCTCAATTCAATGTATTGGAAAGATTAATTATTATAACTTATTCAATTGGGTTCAAAAAGAATCCTATTTTTCTTTATTAGCCTAGAAAAATTTGAAAATTCTAATAATATTATAAGAAAATGGTAGGAGATAATTATAGACATAATCAAATCTTGTTTTAAGATTGAACCTAATTAATAAATGGAAGAAGGTTTCATTGAACAACTCTTTAAATTTATTTTGAATTCCTTAGAACATATTTTGAAATATAACCAAAAGAAGAATAAAAGATCAAATAAATTATTGTAATTATTGGAAGAATCCATTAACCATCCCTTAGCTCAATAAAATAGATTTTAGAAAAAACTATTAGACATTCTTATCCTTAGTGATTTAGCATGTTATGGTGATAACATTTAAAATTATATCTTCAATTTTGTTTCTCCATCATCATTTACTTTTGATCCCATCAATACAGCAAAATATATTTTGATCTGCAATTAAAATGCCTGCAGATAGAAAATAATAAATCATATTTATTATTCAATTGTTAAATATAAAAAAATGAGTACAATGGATCCAAGAACAAATTTATGTCAAGTAATTCAATAGCTACATTAAATGATTGTTTACTTTGAAAAGGAGATGACTCAAAATAAAAATGACAAGTTTTTATCTTAATAGATAAGATTTGCGTTGAGATCAATTCTTACGATTTTTGTAATTAGTGACGAACCGATTTAATAAGACAATACAAATTCTTTACTTACTTAACATCCACTTTTATTTTTAGAGAAATCCTTTTAGGAAATTGCAGTAAATTTTGATGCTCCTTCAAGAAATACTTTTGATCTTTCTTGTGCTTTGCATATCTCATAATATTTGAAGAAAGTCTTAGATTTGGCAAATTCAATGGAAAATTGCGAATTAGAAGATTTATACGACATTTTAACATGCCAACTCAAAATAATCTAAGCAATATAAAAGTTTTTGTTACTGGATAACGATATAATAGCACTAAATCAATTCTTCGACAATATTGATTAGCCTCTGTATAAGTTTATGGTTAAGGTCTTAATATAACGCCTTTCAGCAAGTCAGATGAAGTTTGTTTTTGAAAATATGATCATCTTAGTTTTTCAAGAACGTGCTACAAAAAATATGAGTAGCATAAATGAAAGTATCCACGAATACTTCAATTATCGGTTAATGAAAATATTTCTAAGTGTCATGTTTGAATGCAGATTACCATCTGAATATAAAGATTAAATTGTGAATAGAATTTTTGAACTTGTCAATTATAATACCCTTTAATTTTCATCAATAGTGAACAAAATGATATTACTCCTAGCTATAGAAAACAATCAATAATAAAATTAAATACGAAATTAAATGATTGAAATTATTAAGTTAATTTGTGGAACAAGCTTCTCTAATATATAATTAAAGTTCCTCTTAAGACTATGTTTTGGAGGCTCTAATAAATTGTTAATATTCCGCAATGAAATACCTGATTATCAATAAAGCTAATAACTAGCAGATTCAGTCTTTGAAAATGGCGGCGATCTCATTAACATATTTTTTGAGCCATAACTGGACCTTGTGCATAAATATAGTTTTAAATAAGGGTTATCAGATTTTCTATCTATATTCAACAGTCTATTTGAAAATAAAGATTCATATATACTTTTTAAAGATTTTAATTCCTATATTAATTTACCAGTTCAATTCCATGTTTCCAAAGGATTTACAATCTATTTTGAAATCTAATTTATCCCTCAAGGATTCTAAGAAGTTCATGGATTTTAGGAGTCATAGGAAATAATTATTCCTTAAGAACCGAGGCAACAATACTATGAAATTGTGACTTTGTATTCAGAAAAGATTTACAACAAAATAAGTGGAGTTAAAATTGTAATATCTCAGAAATGTGTTTAGATAAGATAATTTAAATTTGTAAATAAACAGGAAGTTTTAGTTACAGTTTTCTAAAATTATGAAATCAATGTACCAGAATCATCTGAATCACACAAATATAATTACTAAATAAATTACAAAAATGGATAATTTGCAGTTATTGTTAATGGCAAATTATGCAGAAGTGAGTAAAAAAAACTAATGGAAATTAATCAGATCGTCTAAATTGATTTAGGTAAAAGTATGGAATCAACATCGACTCTTAGTTATATCTTTGCAACTCAATAGTTTGATTATGAGACTAATGTCTTTACAGGGAAAATGTTCAATTTCATTCTGACTGATCAAGTACAAAATGAACCCATTCTTGAATAACAAGTTAAAACTAAGTAATTAATTAAATTTTCTAAATTTACTAAAGTGGTTAATCCTTTCTTATTGATGGGTATGGTTGTACAAGATCTATTTGAAATCAATGATACTATTTAACTTAAAGAAATTGAGTCGCATAATAATCAAATTAATTCTATCTCTTATAAACAAATATCTAATGTGAGAGATATTTTTAAACATTGTAATATTCAAACTTTGATCTTACATGTATTTCAAGAAATTTTGAATTAACTAAATTTGAAAGAATGTTAGAGTGAAATTTCAGATTTATTAAATATTTTATTGAATAAGATTATTTTATAGGATGAGGAAACAATGAAAATATTTTTTAAAGAGGAGATTAATACTTTTAAATAGATACTCAAATAATTGACTCCGAAAGTAAAAATTGAAAACTTCCTTTAAATTTTAGACAATTTCAATGAAAAATTATGTGAATCCTATTAACAATATTACTAAAAATTCACTAATGAAGTAATTTATAATTTTTAATTTTTTGAATAATTCATAGATGATGACGTCATATTAAATAACTATTTTATGAAAACACTGTAATAATATAAAATTCCATTCGAAAATGTAATAGAACAAATAAAGAAAAATTCAAGCCTCTAGATTTTAAAAACAAAATAATTTTTTTAATTTTTGGAATCTTACATAATTTAACCTTTTTATTAAAATGTCAAAATCAAACATGAAAACCTATTTTATAAATTTGTCAATGACATACAACAATTCGCTAGGCTTTTTGAAGACCAAGATTTGAGTTCCGATTATCTTAAAATTATTAAGTAATATTTAAAGGAAATAAGTTTAAAGTTTTAGTAAGCTTTGAGATCAAGCTTAAATAAATACTCTTAAAATACGTTAATAATAAGGGCAAAGAATGATATTTTGTATCTTTCTGCTTTATTGAATGCATGTAAAACGAAAATAGATTAAAATAAAGATAATAATTCTGAATAGGGGAACTTCATTAGCTTATTAATTCTTATTGAGGATTATCATCAAGAAAACCTCCAATATAATCCGATAATTGTAAACTCACTTTACAGTGAAATATTGCACTTTAGAGATTTTCTTAGAATAAGTCAAGAGACGATTTATTAAATAATCAAAGAAATTAAAAATATAAATTCCCTCTGCACAATTATAAATGTACTTGCATTTCTTTTGCATGATGATTTCTAGATACTTGAAAACAATTGTAAACCTTCCATAATCGATTATATAAGTCAAAAGTTAAAATATTAGCAATATGATCTTCTTGAAATCTCAAACAATACTAAGTTAGAATTACTTTTTGACTCCTTGTGTTATAAGGATCTTGCAAATACTTCGCAGGAGGTTTATTTAAATCTCCTAAAATAAAAAATAAACTCTTAACATCTGAATTCAATTGATTTAGGTAGATTAATAAAAATATATTCACAAACACCTGAAATATTTTCTAGATTATTAAAGTTCATTTAAAATTGCCTACAAATTGAAAAGGTGCTAAATTAGGTCATAATATTGGCAAACCTTATCAAAATGTTGAATATCATAAAAAAAGATTGCTTTGCAAAAGATCAAACGATTGAATATAAAAAATAATGTTCGAGCTTAATAGGTTTCTTTATTGAATTCTTTTAGTAGAAGAATTTCTTCAAATTCAATTTAAAAAAAAAGTATAAAGAGAATTAGCCAATAGAAAATTAATTAAGTTGTGGAGGGCTGTTTGGACTCTTCGCTGAAATCTTCTGCTAAGCATTAAAAAATTAGTCATAAGAATATGTAATTGATAACATTTTAAGGCTATTACATGTCTATAAAGAAGAGATGAATAAGAAAACGGATGATTCCTTGGTTCAGGAATTATATGGCTTATTCAATTACAGCTAAGATAAAAATGGGATTAAATTTCCCATTATTGTGAAAATTTTTAAAGAAATTAATGCATCAGATGCTCAATTCAAAAAGATATAAGAGGCAATTATTTCAATTTAATAGTAATAGGAAACTTAATTTAAAGGGAATCATGATATTTTTAATGCAATGGAGGATGAATTTAATAATTAAATTAAAAAGATCGAAGATTATCACAATAAATTGGAATAAAAATATGAAGAATATAAGAAGAATATACTAATATTCAATGAGTATAATTCATCAAAAAGTATAAGTACAAATACTACTTGTGATATGTCTTCAACTATTAGTAGGAAAAAAGAGGAAGAAGATTAAACCGAATCGTCCGTTTAATCTTAAATTTCACATCTGAATTTATATATTGATTTTAATCTTTGGAATAATTTCAGGAATTTAACTTCATTAAAATAATTTATTAAAGGTCTCAATAAAGAGATTTTAGAAAAGTAGAAAAGCTAAACAAAAGATTATAAAATTAAGTGGAAGCACTCAAATCTTGTTGATTATGAAAATAAAATAATTTTCAAAAAATATATCTATGCAAAAAATTAAGCAGATGAGTAAAATTATTTGAATTCTTTCAATCCTTATTTTGAGTCTAGAAAAGTTAGTGAGACTTAAGAGAAGAAAGAATGTAAAGAAATTGATGGGACTTTAAAGAATATTTTGGAGAAATGTGAGGAAGTTAAAATAACAATTTTTTCATCTGGTATTAAATTTTTTGATCCATTTAGCAATGAGGAGATTGTAATAACGAGTTAGAATTGTAAGGTGACTATTATGAAATATCAAAATGAAGAGAAAAGTTTTTTGATAAAATAATTTGAACAATCTTATCAAAGTTTTTTCTTTCTTATATTAGAAGAATTTCAATTCAAATAATTGAAGAAACATTTTTAAAATTTGGATTTGTTAAAAACAAAATCCATCTCTGATATAAAGAAGAATTTAACCCCAAAATGGCAATAAGGATAATTGTCAAATTATCAATATATCTATTTAGTAAATTAGCATTCAGACAGAAACTTAATGGACATAAACAATTACTTTATCTTTCCTTGGACAACTGTACACTTAAACAATAGCTTTATTAAGGTCAGTCGCTAATTTTCTTAAAGTATTTTTAGTCAAAAGCAGGCAAAAAATCAAGGATATTTCTACTCAAATGGAGAATAATTAAAATATTTTTTATCTTAAGTTTAGGAGAGAGATTCAGTAAACCAAACCCAAATATCAAAGTCAATAGAAAATTCAATACAGGAAATGAAATTAGAAAGGAAAACAAATTTAATTAAGTTTATGGATGAATTGCAAAGATTAGGTGAAGCAATGCCTGAATTTTATTCGAATCCATAGTTTTTTTCTGATTGCATATTGCCAAATTGGGTATTAACCTAAACACCTGAAGAATTCATTTATATAATGAGAGCTCAATTAGAATCAGGGTTGGTCCAAGAACTCTTGCCACTTTGGCTAGATTTGGTATTTGGAATCAAATCAACTTTAATGGAAGTATAATATTTATTTTAGTTTTAGAGTTAAAATAGCCAAGAGAGAAATCTAAATAGAGCTATTATGAATAGTTAGGATTAAGGTTAATTCATAAAGCAATTTTTCACAGAAAAGCATTTGCCTCGAAAAATATGTATAAGTTATCTTTATACTAGTTCATAATTATTTTGGAGACTAAGGTTAAATAAAAATGACTACAAGAAGGTTGCTTTACTAAGGGGATGATAAAATAATTTCGAGTTATTATTATTCTTGTCACCAATTTGTACTAATTACAGAGAAAGGTACAGCAATTATTTTGGATGTCAATGAGTAATTGTATTTAAAAATGTTTGTTGAATCTGATTGTTTGATGATCAAATAAAAGAAATAATTAGAAACCAAATCGCCATTAACTCATTAATTAATATGCTTTGTGGATTTTGATTATTAGAATTTCCCAGATAAATAAGAATCTCAGTCTCATGTTATAGAGATTGAGAAATTAAGTTTATTTTAAAGTTGTACTATATTTTTCGTTCTTGGTGGATATAATAATGGAGAATTCAGATCATACAAAGGGAACAGCTTAAAATATAAATAATATAACACTTAAAATAATTCAAACATCTAATGCATAAGAATTTGCCATGCAAGATGTGTACTTATAATTGGACAAGAAGATGGTGGTATTTCATTATGGGAAATTAACAAAGAGTACGAAATTTCAGCCACACCTATTCTTGTCATATCTACTCATGTTTATAGAATCACTAATATTGATTGTTCAGCTTCTTAAATTTTGAGTGTAGATTTGATTAATGAAGTGCATATACACTATTACAATGGCTAACTAATTAAAAAGATACAATTAACTTGTTATGGGAGCATTACGTATTGTTAGATTAGTTACACGATGAACTTGTACATCTTTTTAAATAGTTTCAACAAACTCATGGCCTATAATCATGATGGGAAAATATTCATCCACCCAATAGAAATCCCTTAAAAAATTAATAATATCATACCTCTTACACCTTTTACATCAGAATTCATATATACGACTGACAGTGGGCTTTATTTTGATGACATTTTTATAATAAAAATGAAATAGGATGGAGTAGTTATTGAAAAAAATCAGGATAAGAAGATATATGATTAAAATTTTGCATTCATTAAGGCTGTGCAGGGTAAAAAGTTGTTGCTGAGTGACAGGAGTGGGAACAATATCACTAGCACATAAATAATATTTTAATAAAGTGAGTTTGCTTAATTAAGATTCCAGACAGTAGGGTGCGACAATGGGAACTTTTGGTGCTTATATAATGATGAGGAAAGTAATCATTTAAATTATCATTTTATAGTCATTCAAAATTTTGATAAAAAGTTATAAAGATCAGGTCTCAAATGAGATCTATTATTGCTACTCCACTGAACTTCAGTTTGAATAATTAATATCTATAATTATCTATATATATTTATATGATGTTCATATATCAATCCTCTTTTATAATTGAAGTTTTAATTCTGATATTTATGTTATTTCATTAAATAATTAATAATATCTATAAGTACTTTTTAGTATTTATTGTCAATATAAATACACTAAAGAATTGCAATATTTAAATAGTCCATCTGATAATTAAAGATATTTCTATCGAGAGAATGTAGTAGGAGGTACGGGATATAATTTATTAAAAACTCTTTGAAATATCTTTAAATTCTGAATTAAGAAAGATTAACTTCTTACAAGTTGATTAGTATATATTAAATTAATGTAAGACTTTAATCGCAGCGATGGAGACGAGATAGTTTTTCACATTACAAAAAATGCTTAGCAATACGAACCAAACATTACCTTAGATAACTCGCCTAATGACAAACCTGTTCAAAAACCAATTACATTTGAAGATATCAAACTAGTATCTTCTGTATAAGTCTCCGGGGACGGGCATTATTAATCTGTAAGAATTATATGTTCAGGATGTAAGATGAAAGTAATTTTTAAGATATTATTCAGGTGAATTCAGTCATTACAAGGAGAATTGGATCGTAAACCTTTCTTGCTGGAGTCCTTCTAATCTTTTGTTCATTTGGATTTATCTGTGTTACTTGTATACCATGTTTAGTGGATGATTGTAAAGATGTTTAACATTCCTGTCCTAATTGTAAATAATACTTAGGAAAGGCACAGTTTAACATACTTGATTGACAAACTAATGAATTAAACATTTTCTTTAGGTTTGAATTTCAATTCATTTTATATTCATAAACGTTTTCATGTTCAAAACACACCTTCCAATTTAATTTAAAGAGTGATCAAATTCGATTAAATTTCATTGTTTCACTTGAGACCAAGTAGGTTCAAATCTTAGTTTACAATTAAGGTAACTTTTCAGTTGAGAAAAGGTTGTTCATTTTTTTACTTCAATTATAATGTTATTTCATATAAATTATAGAATTGAGAGTAAATACTTATATAGTTTATGGTATCCTCTTAATGGCAATGCAGAGTCTTAGATTAACACACTTATAAGGAGGAGGTAGAAATTCAATATACAATATAAATGAATTAATGCTCATAATTTATGATAATCGGCTTAAACAGTAATTTTTAGAATTGTTATAATGTCATGAATTTATATACACAAAGTTTTAAAACTTAAATTTGATAAGCGACAAGCCATATTAATTTAAGATATCATATGTTTTGATATAGATACTTATTCATTCAGTTCTAAAAAATTCGGTGATTAACTTTTATGATTGGGTGAAGATCTCTTTATTAGGATGATACTACAAGTCTTCAATTGCTTAAATTAGATGATTTTATTGCAGTATAGCTAATATAGGATTTGGGACATTCAATTGTGTTTACAAAGACAAACCATAATTCATAAGTGAAGTCACACATTCCAATCCTTGTAGTACAATATATGGTTCTGCTGATTCGACGGTCGATTTTAGATGGACAGCAAGACCCAGACTAATGAGAACTGTGATATCTTATTGGTTTCCATACTTTAGTATATGTTGAACAGATTTGATTACAAGAGATTAATTAATTGGTTTATCGGTTGTGAGAATATTAATTAGTTTTTTAATTAACTCCTATTATTAAAATATCTATTGGATCACATGATGTCCTTATTTGCATAGATTCTGTAAAATGTATAAGACTGCAGTTCGTATCTTTTGGTATTTGTAATTGATGAGTTTATTAATAATTTCCAAGACGGAAAATTGCTGGAAGATTGCATACAATTACTGGAAATCTGATAAATATTTCAATTGGAGTAGAGCAGAGTAGAATGATTCAAAGTCGTTTTCATTAGTAAGATATTCATTCAAATAAATAAAGAGTAATTGAAATATTTCAAAATAATTAATGTCTTTATCATACTAATCACACTGCTTGTTGATGATAAATAAAGTTTACAGTATTTCTTAACTTTTATTAATCTTCAAATGCTTCAAAATTACTATTACTTAAGGTTTGAACTATTCCGGAATGTTTCTGCATAAAGTTTAAATAAGATAACAAATATTATGCAACAAACTATCCTTCATTAATTAACAGAGAATCTCGATAGTATTCTTGCTCAGCAAATAATGCTGGATTTATTACAATTTACTCGAGACATTTCCTAAATATCCCAAAATTAAATTAGCCAAGTCATCTATTTGTTTATTCTCTATCAGCAAATCCAACGATCGCTCAATTGACCATTGAATGTCTTCGATGGGCAATTGAAAATATTCATCATCTTGTGTCAATTGCAGATATATGGTATACGTATCAATATAGTAGGATTCATCATTCAATAAATCTTTGAATTACAGAAAGTTCCTCTAAGTTAAAAATAAACTGTGAATGCGATTCCGATCATCTATGATATTTGCAATCAAATGCAATTTCTATGAAATCTCATTCATATCTTTCTGAGCATACACATTTTTTAATTCATTGAATAAGTTATTGATAGAGAAATTCAATTAAGAACTCTATAATCGCTGTTTCGGTATATACCACATCCTCTTCTTCTCCAATTATTCCTCAATCCTCTCCTTCCTAATTTACAACCTGAATTGTTCCCTCATCTCTTAAACACTCTTTGGCTGGTGTTACTTCTAAGTCTTCAATGTCTAAGGCTGATATTCTAATTCATCATCTGATTCCACTAGTTTTATTTCATCCATTATATACAATAATAATTAAACTATTCATTTAAAAACTCAATATACACACATTTCAATCATAGTCTTACACTATTACCTTCATCTGGCAGAACATTTCTCATTTCTAAAAATAAAAATACTCTTTGATATTTAAATCTGAGTTTCCCATACCTTGAAAGAATTATGATTACAAATACTTATTACTTTTCATTGTATTTCAAAATGATTATATTTACAATTATTCTAAATAAATTTCTATGTACACATTTTTCATTAATTTTTAATTTTGAATGATAATTGTCGATCATATTATTCTCTATTCACTAAATTTCTCACTCATTGATTGAAATTATTATATTTTTAATTAAATACTATTTTATACAAGATTAGTTTCTTTCATTTTTAATTAATAGAGAGATTTATTGAATATTAAATTGAAATAGACATATTTGAAATATTTGTTTAACGATTTTCGGTGGAAAATATTAAAAAATGATGTGATTCAAGATTAGAATTTTTATCTATATTTTCTAATCATTTGAGTCTATTTCTATCTATCATTTATGAATGATTTAATTTTTAATTACGTAATGAATTTATCAATGAGGAAAGGAAACACTCTACCGAAAATTCGGGGGTATTCAATTGATGTAAAAGGATCTTAGTCAGCTCGAAAACACAGTAATATCAGCAAATCTGTTATTTAATAAATTCAATATACCTAAATTTATGAGAAAAACATACCCATTTAAAAATAATTAAGATCGTTTCTATAAAATAGTGATCTATTTAAGCACAAATCAATTAGATTTTATGAAAGTTATGTGAAGTTTAGAAATTAGATCTCATGATTGAATATGATTTAAATTTGTTTATGTGATAAGAAAATTGACTTTAAAATTACATAAATTCTAACACTGGAAAATAATTAAATTTTTCATAATTTTCCAGGTGTTATATGTTAGGCTTGATTATCATTTCAATTATATTGCCTTTAGGGTTGATACAATTAGTTTAATCTTTGATAATCCAATTGAAATTGATTATTTTACTAAACACTGCCTTCTAAATACATGTAATTAAATTTCTTGAATTTACTTATGTCAGAAGGCAATTTATCTAAATTTCTTTACAATAGCTCTTCAGGGGTAAAATTTATATCTATGGTATTTTGGGTTTTAGATATACACTAAATTATAAATGAAGAATACTAGAGCTTTTAAAAAATGAGCTTCTAAAGAAAAATAATTCGTTGATATTGCTTCTTCAAAGCACATATATGCTTTTTCATAATTTTCTTCTAAAATTAGAATTTATCCCTATCACTAATAGCAAAGGTTGGTTACTTAGATTACATGATTAATTGAATGACACCAATTTTTCAAATCTAATTCCATCACCTTAAGACCATTTATATCCTTTTTTGCAAATAACAATTGGCCTAATTCAAAAAGGTAGGAAGTTACTTTTAGTTATTTAAAACTGAATGTTTTCAATATCGGCTTCAATAGCTTTTTCAATAGATTCCATAGCCCTATCATATTCTTTTAAGTAAAATAAGGAGAGTCCTAAATTATGAAGATATCATACCTTTTTGGTAATAAATTCTTGGTTCTTTTCTTATTTATAACAAATTGTCAAAATGATGAACTGAAGCTTTATAATTTCCAAAGAAAAAAGTATCATCTGCTACTGAGTACTCTATAATCTCACGAGCAAGGCGTGCTTAGATTCAAATGCAAATTTAACTCTTTCTCTTAAATAAATAAAATTATGTTTATCATTTTCGAGCAATTAATCCAAAATCTTTAAAGCTTCATTTGTGTTTTAATCATACTGCAGGAAGCTTTTGTCTAATTTATATCATAATTTATAACATTGAAGAGTTAAATGTTGGACATCTATATTGTTATTTTGGGGTCTCGAATTTTGGTTTAATTCCCCTTTTAATCGTTCTTGATAATAATAGAAATAATTTTACTCATTTCTCGTTTATAAATTTCATTTTATTTATATCGATTTATGATATCCTATAGAACCTCTTTTGCTTAATCATTTTTATTCTCTTCAAGTAGTTTTACATCTTACATGTTATTTGTATTAAATACATTGAGCAGTTTTAGATGCTATACAGTAATCTGAAATAGATTAAGATTCAATTTTATTGATTTTCTCTGAAAATTGAACCAAATTTGGTGAAGTAGAGATTCTTAAACCTTCTTTTAAATTTGTTAGTGTTTGACTTTAAGGAGTCTTAATTAGTTCTTCCAAAAAGGAGATATATTTTCTAATTTATTTACTACATTCACAAACTTTGGCTTTAACATCTTGAAAGTATTGCTCAATGCGTTAATCTTTTTCATTTAGAATTTCGATAGCACGGGTATAAACATTTTTCAATTCACAAATTCGTGTAGTTTGATGATTATGAAGTTCTTAGGCACAAGCATTACAACATATTTTAGTTTCAATTGTGCAATTTGGGTTCTTACAATAAACATCTATCTTTTCTCCATGTTTACTACAAAATAATGCAGGGTCAAAATCTAACATTATAATTATTTATTTAGAATAAAACTCTCAGCATTGAAATATTCTATAATTGAATCCTTACTCCAAAAATAAAAGAAATTGGTTAAAGTATACATTAATTTAAGGTCTTTTTTGTTTAATAAATCTTATTACAATCAAGAAATTAATTTGGATAAATACTTAGCAAATATGAAATGAATACTTGAAAGATTCGAAATTTAAGTTAAAAAATGATCTATAAACGTAACACTCTTTCTTTGAGATTACATATTTCATTTATATTTAGAATAATTACCAGAAGATCTTAATTTGATTTAAGTAGTCTTAATATCATAAGTTTTGAACTAAATGATGGTATAAATAAATAAATGCATTTTTTAGATTACTTTAAAATATGATAAAATAATAAATATAGTCAATATTAAATTAATAGACATAGAATAAAATTAAATTTCATTAAATACAATATAATATTATTAATCAAAACTATGTTAAAAAGTCAGTTCTTGATTAATTTAATTAATGAATTGTTTCTACATTCATAATGCTTGATTGATTAATGATGTGAGGAACTTTAATCCACTCTAACCAATCTACTTGTATTACAATATTATGAATTAGATTTTTCGGATTCTACAGTGCTGTTTTCAGTAAATGTTATGGATTGAAGAGTGTCTCTCTTTTCAGATTGTTTGTGTTGCAATTCTTTCAGTTGATTTTTGAGTTCAATTATCTATTTATCTTTACGCAATTATAAGGCACTTTGGGTAATAAATAATTTTTATTTAATTTCTTGGATTTCTCTTTTGATTTGAAAATTGGAATCTAGAATATCTGCATTTTTATCTTCGAGTTGTTTTCGTATTTGCAGTTGTTCTTGATTCTCCTTAAACAATTGATGATATTACGATTTAAGTTTTTCGTTCAATTCAATTTGGGAGAGGATTTGCATATACTGCTCTTTGGTGACTATGCAATTCGCAGTTTCAATATCAGGAATAGAGGGGTTGGAATTGATTTATTGGAATTCAGAGAAGCTAAATTCATGAGTTTGTTCGGGTGGAGAATCAAGATTAGTTGAGGAGACGATTTTGGATTCATTTCCGAATTTAATCTCAGCTTAAGAATTGTTAAAGAGATCTGCTAATTGATGAGCTGACAAATAGATCGGGCTTACAAATTAATCTTGCATAATATAAATTATATAAATGTGATGATATATACTTCACACTATCAATTAAATGAATTTATCGGGTCTATGGAAACAAGCAGGTGATGCATTGATAGGATTGTAACTCATATAATGAGTGGAACGATCTTTCATCTTGTTTACTCTAAAGAAGTTGGCATAAAGGGGTTAGGTAAACATAGAAATGGGTAATTCGATGTGAGCATTCCAAGCAGTTGGTGTGACAAATTCAGCAAAATAGGATATCTCATCACATTATTTATAAGTGGTTATCAAATTGGTACAACTTCCATTAGGATTGCCTATAGTTGCATAGAACAAAGCTCCATTTGGTGAAATTTCAATTTCTAAATATTCTGTCTTAGTTCCAATGAATATTTCATCGACGTCATGTTAAAATAATGGATCATTGCAATTCGTCAGAGGAGCATCAATGTATCTAAAATAAAAAAGGACATAATACGAATCAACATTGAAAAAGTCAATGACTAGTTTCTGATTCAAAGACTTGCAAATTGTGAAATATGTGAATTCAACATTTTCTGTTGTGGCTTCATTTTGATGAGCTAGTTTGTATTATGTTGGACCCCATTTGCAATTCTCAACTGTGATTGGATCAATTACAGCATTTGAAATGACGATGATGATGGCAAAGATTAATATCATATTATTTTATTAATAATCACATTATAAAGACTGTCATTTAATTGAACATTCAAGACCTTTCCTTATTGATATATTTACGTCTTCCTCTTATCAGTTTGGTCAAGTAACTTGTAAAAGAGGTTCTTTTTTGAAATATTCAGTTGATTATTTTGAGATTGAAGAATTTATAAATAATTAAGGTGATAATTTATAATCTCTTAAAATTTTGTACAAGTAATAGTTCAACTTATGAGTAAATGAGTATTTACTTCTTATACACCAAATTAAGACTATTTAGTTTCTAAAATTGATTTAGATTGATGAATACTCAAACTTATTAGCAGTTTGCTTCATCATAAGAACAATTAATAAAAATATTTAAATATTAGGTAAAATAGAATATAATAATATTACTTAGGTAATTTTTAATAAGGAAATGGATTGAGCATTATTTTTTCTCCAAAACTTACCATCAGTATCAATAACACCAAATCTTGAATTAGATCAATAGTATTCTTTTAGGTTAAATCAATTTTTTATTCAATATTTTTATCACCATAATTTAATGATTTAAGATAAGGTTGCCCTTGTTTTTCCTTAACATATGTTTAGATTCTTAAATACCTTATTGTTTAAGGCAATTGTTAATTTGTGAATTAAACATAATGTAGATCTATATAATTTTTCTACATTTTTTCATATATGTAATTATGTTAATTCCCAGTATTTTACATTTATAAATATAACACAATACAATGGGTATTTCGTAAGATAACTACTAAATATTCAACCAATAGAATTTTTAAATGTTAAACCAGCTGATTAATTAAAGTCGATTATAATAATAAAGAAAAATTAGTTTTGGATACTTTCAACTAGAATTAAAAATAAAATAAAATTAGGCAAATATAAAATAAATATTATTATTTAATATAGTAATTAATGGGTTGCTAGTTCAATAAACCACCCGTGTAAGAGCCTTAGAAAATAAAGCCTGTTGACGATATTATTGATATTCCAAAAAAAAAGGATACTGAAATACAAAGCCGTGGAACTAAGGTTTAAAATGAAACCTCTGTAAAATAATTCCAAACATAGCATCAAGTTACATAAGTTTCAAATAAATCCCAAAGTGGAGAATTGATTCTGTACCCATAAACGACTGATAATTTGCAGACTTTCATCAAATTAGGAATGAAAATGAAATTAATTCATTTATAAACTAGGAACAAATACATCAACACTGTTGATGAAATAATTAGCCAAATACAAAAGAAATCCTTAAAATTCTCAACATTACAAGTAAATATTATCTGCAATTTAGAGCTTATGCTAAAAGCAAAATCTTAAAGTGATGGATGCAATGTTTTTAAGAAATGATAGTGAGGAAACAATATTGACATTGATTTTAACTTACATTGATGATTATGAGATAATAACAGAATTACTCATCAATCATAAATTGCCAGAAAACAATTTTGAATTGCTTGATCTAGCAGTTTCTCTATTAAGAAAACTTAGACCCTAAAGCTAAATCAATAAAATATAAACAAGCATAGAGTTTTTGGATACCGTTTAAAAAAATGTATAATTAAAAAGAGTGTTTAATTCGTTTGAAGATCCAAAGATATATAGAGTTAAAAATGCAATTATGTATGCTTAAAATTGCATTTCATATTTCAATCATAAGAAATGGATACATTTACTCCTTTTTAGAAAAATAGCCAAGTTATTTGATTAATCACTAGGAGGATTATTTCTAAGGCAATATAGAAGCTGGAAATAAAAATTTGCTTTTAATCATTTGAAAGTACCAAAGGCAATTGCAAAATCTACCAGCACAGTTACAAATTTAAGAAAAATAGAACTTGAAATGCTAAATTATAGTTTATTTCATGAAATAGCCATTAAAGAAAATTGGGAGTTATTTGTTCAATATTCAAATCCCTATTATCATCAGAAAAGCTTAGATCAAAGAACTCCTTTCTGGATATTCTTTTAAAAAGCTCCAATCTCAATAATTGTAAACTACATCCAATAGTATCCAAAATAACTTGATTAAAACATTAGTTATATTACCACTAAAGGTTTAACATTGATTCACTGTTTATGCAAGAATCTGAATTTAAAATAAAGTGATTAAGAAACAATCAAGAATTTAATTACAATTTTAGAAAAGAACTCAACTGTCAAAACTTTGTTAAGCGTTGCTTATTAAGATTAGATTCCTATAGTGTATTATTTGGACACTTAACGGGTTATTTCATCAGATATGGTTAAATTCTTAAGTTCTGGCTTAGTTAAATAATTTCCTATTGACAATTTAGAGATGGAATCATATAAAATAGCAGATTCAATCCTCCAGGGCAAATTATCCTTAAGAAAATCAAAACCCCATTTTTCAAAATTATCAAAAGTTCAATTAATATAATTAATGAGAAAAAAACAATGGCACTTTTTCAAAGATGAACAAGATAAATAATCAAAAGAATATCAAAATTTTACTTCATTTTATTAACAATATGTATAATTAGCGAAGTAAATTATAAAAAATGATTTGTTTGATTAGTTTCCTTGGATTTAGAATTATTCACTTTATTCAAGTCATATCCCTTATGAAATTGGCAATCTAAGAACATCACTATTATATACTCTTCTGGTGAGTAACAGATTTTAATAACTTAAAATTTAGATAGAGAGCATTTGTAAATCAATCGAATCACAGTAATATTAACAAAAAAGCAATCCACAAGAATATTAAACATTGGTGCAATAGATTTCAAAAGTATTATTCATTTATTAAGAATTGTTTAACTACCCAGAATAATAGGAGTTACAATAATTGATATTAGATACAATATACAATAAAATTTAATAGAATCCTCAAATCATATCGAATAAGATTTATGGTTTTTTAAAATATGAATCAATGGCAGATAATCTATATTTACAATATATAATGAGGATTAAAGCATAGAAAGAAGAATATATGAAGTTTATTAATATGTTGATAGAGAGATTGGATAAAAATTTATTTAAAGGAAGATAAATTCAAATCAAAATATTATTTAAAAATTACAGTAACTTCGAAAGATATAAACTAAATCTTCTTGAGAAATTATTGCCCTAACAAGATTAACTGATTATTCCATTAGAAATATAAATTTAGAATATTATTTAGGATTCT